AAATGTGCTAATGTTAGAGGTAATGGATCTTGTGATGGAGATAGTGGCGTTGTTGAGAAGAAGGAAAAGAAATTTCATGATGGAGATAAATATTTCAGTGACGAGGAAAAACAACAAATCATTGACTATATTCATAACTTAGCTGAGATAAATTCTATTTGTGTGTAAGTGATGTGTCATATTTATAAATATTTTATCATTAAAATTTTGTTTTTAGTGAAATGTAGAAAAAATCATGCTTAATGATTGAGATAGTAAATCCAATATTGAAGATAATGACAGTTTGAGTGTTGACATGAAGAAAGAGAATATTGATGGTGTAGATCATATTTTAGTTCGATATGATTATTTTTTTTAATTAGCATTCGACTTCTTGATAGTATCTTAGTATTTTTATCTCAACTTCTTACGTCGATGGATCATTTAAGATGCCAGAAAACTCTATAAAATTCTATGATGCATGCCATCTTTATCATTTCAGTAACTGAACTATTTGGATTTCTTTATCTTACCATATAAAAATGCATATTTGGTTCGATAATTTCTATCGATAAAATGTACCCGTCCGACGGGCGGTCCCAAATCTAGTAAATGATAGAATGGTTACTAAATGTGATTCATTTAGGAGGAACAGTCTAGTCTCCATGTACAATCTTGGTCGGCTTGTTCTCCAATATGAAATGATCAAATTTGAATTTACATTACCTAGCAAATTGGTAACTAAATACTGAAATGTTTTCTACCAAAATTATTGTTCATCATCCTTGATACTTTTTAGAGTAACTAATGTTTTGGCACTTTTCGGTTGACCTCAGTTAGGATTAGGTCGACCTAATCTGTTGTTTCATTGTAAAAACAATTTCATGGTGCCTAGTTTGGAGATTCATACCTTACAATTGGCTCGATAGAAATTGGAGATTAATGGCTTGTTTTCAAGTTGGAGTGTCCCTCTACACATTTAAGTACTTGGGAGCTCGATAGAAAGTCCAGAAGACCATTTTTGAACCTGATCAAAAGGCTATGTCAAAACTGGGAAACTGCCTGAAAATGGCAAGTCTGGAAACGTGTTTGTGAAGCCTACTTTAGAGCTCAATTTGAGAAGCATGGATGAGAGTCGAGTTCAGGGATCTCTACCATGTGAAAGTAGGTATGTTTGTCTACAAAGTCAAGGCATTGGATGAAAGATTGGATATATGGAAGGCTTCAAACAAAAGGCTCAAAATTGCTACGAAGGCTGTTTTTCCAGCAATGCTTGTGCTAGAAGGCAATAGCAATTTCAATCCTTTAATAAACCAACGTGGTTTCTCAAGGAATGCAGAAGCATCAATCAAAGTGGGAGGCATATCAAGGCGAAAAGGATTATAAGCAGCCACAAAAATCTTAGACTGCAAGGACATCTCCCCATTGCACGAAATTGTTGTTGATAAAGTTCCGTGAAGATCAGATAGACGAGAGCGTCCTTAATCCATTCACCAGACTTCAAACAAAACAGGACGAGCTTTACAGCCTTGCTTGGTCGAATCTAAATCCAATCTAATCTAAATCTAAACAACTATATAAGAAGGTTCTAATTCAAAATTCCCATAATTCCTTTTTTCTGGCTCCTGCGCAAACCAAGGAATGACATTTCGGTCCTTTTGTTTTTAGTTGGGCTTCTCTTTTTGGTCTCTTATGACGTGTGTGTGACCATGAATAAGGGACTTCTTACAAAGCAAACCAAAAGCGGCCTACCACCAAACATATAATTATTTACTATAAATTATTTGTCAAGAATTATACAGTTTCATGTTAAGATTTGTATATATTAATTTAGGTGGACTCTGTTCACTATTTATCTTTTAGTTTCACATTTATCGGTACAAAATTTCATTGTATTAGTGGTCATTAACTTCAAATTCTCATTTTATTATTATTATCACTAGCCGTTTATTTTCATTAAATTTATCATACATGGTAGACAACTCTCATAGTTAACAGTTAAATGAATGACATAACTCTAAAATAATAAAAATAATTATTTATCGTTATGACTATAACCAACATGTTAACATTCATACGTATACCGACATTATATAAGTGAAAAGTACAATAATAAATCACTGAAATGGAGAAAATAGTTATAAACAATAAAATTTCAGGACAAATATATATTTGTCATCCCTTATTAACCTTTTTAGTGACTTTTCACTAAATTTTTTAATTGGACTGAAATGAATGTTATCTCTTATTCCCATGCATAAATCATCATGATAGTATTCATTTTGTTAGAAATAGTAAGTTAAGATAAATAATCAAAATTACTAACAAGAAGTGTATTGGTAAATTATATATTTGTTACATTCTTATATTTATTTTTAGTATATTACTAAGGCGATAAAAATATTTAACTTTCTCTTTTATCTAGCTAACGGGCGGACCCTAATCTAGAACCTGTCCACTAAAATTTAAAGAAGACTTCAATAAGTTCTTTTGTCAATAATTGAGTAGCAACATCAAACACTATAATTGTTAGGCGATAATCACCTCTTCTCTCTCACTCTTCATATGTAATCAATTAAGGAATCATCCTCACGAAAGCTTATATTTTTTTTAGTACAGGGAGGCAAAGCCGAAGAAACAGAGACAGGGGGGATTACAGAGCGAGAGGGGTGTGGGGAGCTGTCACAATGCTCCTAGTGATGGTGGTTCCTCTACAATCATCTCCGATAATGTGTCGGATCCCTTGGGGTGGTGCCGTTAGTTCATACTTGCCGCTGGAGGTAGACGAGACTGTGCTTCAAGAGCGAGTCTACAGCTCTATTCCCTTCCCGATAAGTATGAGCTAGCTTAACCACCCAGTCCCGGGAGATCCTACACCTGATAGCGGCAAGAAGAGTAGAATGAGGATGGAGGGGATCTGTTCTCTAGTCAATGAGTTGCAGAGCCATCTAGGAGTCGGTCTCCAGGATGAGAGCTCTGCACCCCTGCTGCCACGCTACTCCCAGCCCATGATAAATGCCCCAAAGCTCAGCCAAAATCGCTGAACATGAACCTCATATGCACACGAAGCCTCCGATCCACCTGCCTTCTGTATTTCACAAGATGTCGCCCGCATCCGCAACTCCCTGATTCCCGTTAGCCGCGCCGTCACCGTTCATCTTATCCCAGCCCGCCGGCGGTGGAAGCCAGCCAATCTCAGTAGGATTTCTCTGCAACGAAACCGGCCTTCGTCCCAAGACTCTTATGGGAGGTGACCACGCCTTATACCATAAGTTTGCTTTAATCACGAAACCTTAGGGGTTTTTTTTGGTAGAAGCTTATATGTTCTTCTAAATAATGAATCTCAATTATTTAAATTTTCCGTATTTATGATCCAACTCAAATTGTGGATACTTCCCAATCAATTACTAACATTTAAATTTTTCACGAATAAGGGTTTGATCTTGAATTTGGAGGTCCCAAGTTCAAATCTTTTTAAATAGCATCTAACTAAAAATAAAAAACCTATATATTTTTTTATAAAGGTGACATCAATTAAAATATAAGTTTTAAGAAACAAAAGAACATCGAAATAGAGAAAAAAAACACTTCATTTAGAATTATACCTCCTCTCTCACGTGTCTTAGAAGTATTTACAAAAAAAGAAAAAAGAACAATAAGAAGAAAGAATGGAGTTGGATTTTCGCATCAAATTTAGTAATTACATCGCAAATTCCATAACTAAATTCGGCGGCATGCAACTAGGTGTTCTGCTATGGCACTCCCTTTAATTGACTTTTTTAACAATTTCGAACATAATCAATGATGAAAAAAATGAATCTCCAACAACATTTGTGACCAGAATGAGGTAAATTATTTTGTCATGAAAATTATATTTCAAATCTTATTATATGTTGCCTCACATTTGCTTTTTGAAAAATACGAAAAGGAAGCACTTATCAATGATGAATATAGTGGAGTTGATGACGAAGACCCTTGATGGTGAAGAGGTGATACCGATCAATCTGGAATACCTATCTATTTAATTTCAACAAGAATCTACATAGACGATACTGATTACAATGTTAGTAATCTTAATGATGGATGCACATTTTCTCTCTTTTTTTTTTGACAAAAGATAATCTAGCATTGGATTAAAAACAATAGATAGTTACACCCAGGAGATCAGCCAGACCTGAAAATCAAAATAACGACTCATAGTCGGGTACAAAGAGAGGGCCTTTCTAGCCACCATGTGGGCTACCCTATTGCTACGCCAACCTATAAATCGAACACTAAACCCAGGATTGCAGGCAAAATAATGTGTCACTTCCTCTAATATAGCACCTAGCCTGCTATCCCTTGTATCAGCCCGCTTGATTTTATCAATGACCACCTTGGCATCCCCTTCAAAACCCACGTTAGTTAATCCTTGGCCCATACACCAAAGGACCGCCTCACGCAGGACAAGCAACTCCACCACAAGAGGGTCATCAATGACCGGAAACTGTACCCCAGTAGCCATAAGAATGTCCAGATTAGGGGCCATAATCACCACACCCCCTGCTGAATGCGAACCCCTTCTGGTAGCCCCATCCCATCCACAGATAATCGATGGCACCCCTACATGAGCAGGTTGGTGGTCTGCAGCGGCGGGGCTATGAAAGGCTTTCCCCATAACCTAGTTGAGCTGGGTAACTATGAGTTCGTTTGGTATTTCCGATTGTATGAATACTTGCATTGTAAATTGATGTATTGTCTAAATGCATGTATTATAAGATTACATTGTTTGATAGTTGTGATTGTAATTCTAGCAATAAAATGAGAAAGTTACTTTTTAAGTGAAAGGTCATGTTTACCCGTTCTTTTACCTAGAAGAGTAACAATGCATAAAAGTTGATAGAGATATAAAGAGAAAGAAAAATCAAAACACAATATCAAAACACAATCTCAACAATCAAATATATGCATTGTTTTTCATTTTTTACACAAAAAGTAATGCATTCTATATAATACATTCATCAAAATGCATCGTTTAGATATATGCATATACCAAATGAACCCTATAAGTCTTAGGGGTCATTTGGATTAAGTATTTAGGTGTGTTATTTGAGGTCAAATAACACAAAATCTGTTATTTGACCCCAAATAACATGTTTGGCTGACAAAAAGTGGGATGCGTTATTTGGATATAGTGTTTTGCCAAATAACAGATTTTAGACCAAATAACACAAAAAGTGTTGTTTGCCAAATACTTGAGAGGGGTAGGTATTTGCCAAATAACAAGTTTGAGACCAAATATCACATACCAAACAACATGTTTTATATTATGTGATATTTGTGTGGTAATTGACCCCAAACAACAAGTTTATCAAATACTCAATCCAAACGACCCCTTAATTTTTAGCCTACCTGCCTCGTCATTCTTCCTAAACGAGTCTGGGTCCCAAAGTTGTCAAAACACCTAAAACCCTAATAAGAAATTCCACACCAATCGGATTAATACCCTATTCGTTGTGAAAGCGAATAGCGTGAGAGAGGCGGATGGAGGATTTATCGCTTCCATGTTGCACTCGGAGATGTTGATTCTCTGGGAACTCCTTGAATTGGGTTGTTGTTGTGTGCCTACTTACCGGCGGGAGACAGGAAAGGCGATAGCTTTCACTTGCGCAGAGTTGCTGCCACCACTTTGTTTCAGAGTAAGTTTCCTGTAACTTCCCACCATGGTTGGCAGATGGCTGATTCTTATGGCTTCTATCCTTTACTTGAGAAGGGCAATCATTCATTTGCGAACTTCAAACGCACACCTCGCGTTTGCAGGTGATGAATTATAGGACGGAGCTATGTTCTTAGTGCATGCGGTCTTCTTCTTCCCCTGTGGTATTGAAGGGCATATCCATAGCTGAAATACAGAAGTTCATACCTAGCAAGTGGAAACAGAGTGCCAAGCTACAGGTGGATACTACTGTGGTGGAGAGTCCAATCCGCCAGAGTTATGCTATTAAGGATGGACATGTCATGTTAAGTTTCTTAGTAACCTGTCTTAAAGATCACACAAGCCAAGGAAATATCTCCAAAGCATTCGAAACATTCTCTTTGGTGCAGCGCCATGCTCGGTCTATCTCAGCTCGTGACTCCCTCGTGCATTCCATCTCTTGTCTTCTCTTCTCTTGCACGGAACAGAAATCGGTTTGCCAGGGTAGACAGCTCCATTCGCATGTCATATCATTGGGGTTGGACCGACATCCAGTTTTGGTCCCAAAGCTTGTTACTTTCTACTCAAACTTTGACTTTGTAGCCGACTCTCACGCTATAGTCGAGAATGCAAATATTATGCACCCTTTGCCTTGGAATTTGCTCATATCTGCCTATATTAGCAATGGGATGTATCAAGAGTCACTTTCTGCCTATAAACAGATGTTGGGCAGAGGAGTTAGACCAGATAATTTCACTTATCCGTCAGTTCTGAAGGCTTGCGGTGAACTGTTGGATCTCCCTTTCGGGAGGGAGGTTCATGAGGCCATTAATGCTAGCTCTCATGGATGGAGTTTATTTGTGCATAATTCCTTGATATCCATGTATAGTAAATCTGGGGAGTTGGAAGTTGCTCTTCGTTTGTTCAATGAAATGCCGGAAAGGGATGCAGTGTCATGGAATGCTATTATTGGTGGCTATGCATCAAGGGGAATGTGGAAGGAAGCTGTTGACCTATTTGAGAGAATGCAGTCAGAAGTTGATGACATAACCAACATAACATGGAACACTGTGGCTGGAAGTTGTTTACGTGGTCGGAACTTCTTAGGTGTCCTTTACCTGCTTTCTAAGATGAGGAATTATGTTAATTTGGACTCAGTAGCACTTCTTAGTGGTTTAAGTGCTTGTTCGCATATTGGAAGCCTTAAAGTAGGAGCTGAGCTCCATGGATTTGCGGTTCGCAGTTGTAATGATGGATTGCATAATGTCACGAATGCCTTAATTACCATGTACTCCAGATGCAATGACCTGAGGCATGCTTATATTTTGTTTTCTTCGATGGAAACGAAAACTATAGTTACCCGGAACTCCATGATCTCTGGCTTTGCCAATCTTGGCCTGTCTGAAGAAGCATCCTTCATATTCAGAGAGATGTTGCTTACTGGCATAGAACCCAATTATGTGACTATTGCAAGCACCCTTCCCATGTGTGCTCGAATTGCAAATCTACGACATGGCAAGGAGTTCCACTCCTACATTCTCAAACGCTCGGTTTATAAAGATTGTCTGTTGATATGGAATGCCCTAGTTGAGATGTACGCGAGATCTGGCAAGCTTTCAGAAGCTAGAAAGCTGTTTGATTCAATGACAACAAGGGACGAGGTGACCTATACTTCGCTAATTGCTGCATATGGGATTCAAGGGGACGGACATACTGCACTGAAACTCTTTAACGATATGCTTAGGTGCAAACTCCAACCAGACCATGTTACCATGGTCGCAGTTCTTTCGGCTTGTAGCCACTCGGGTCTGGTGACTGAAGGGCATTTGTTGTTTCAACAAATGTCAAGTGTGTATAATGTAGCTCCTAGATTGGAGCACTTTGATTGCATGGCTGACCTCTTTGGGAGGGCTGGATTTTTAAATAAAGCCAGGGAGATAATCACTACTATGCCTTACAGTCCAACACCTGCGATGTGGGCTACTCTCCTAGGATCGTGCAGGATTCATGTAAATATAGGTATGGGGGAATGGGCGGCGACAAAATTGTTGGAGATGAAGCCAGAAAATTCAGGTTACTATGTCTTGGCCGCTAACATGTATGCTGCAGCTGGATGTTGGGATAAGCTAGCAAAGGTCAGAACTTTGATGAGAGACTCAGGTGTGAAGAAGTCTCCTGGGTGTGCCTGGGTTGATGTGGATTCTGGGTTTAGGCGTTTCTTGGTGGGAGGTACATCAGAACAGCATGCATATGAGCTGTATCCGATATTGGACGGTATGACAGAGGTAATGAAAGATTTCGGTCATGATTCATCATCGATGGATTTTAGCTCGGAAGATGAAGCTCTACAAGCAGCAGGATGAGGCTCTTTAGGTAAAAAAGAATGCAGAAGAGCTTGCAGTTTTTTCAAGACGCTCATCCACCTGGAAAATAGCAGTTTCAAGATGGAATTTTGGTACTTTCAGTAACCTGTGAATGCATGTGCTTTTACAGTAACAATACATTTTCGCGGGATTTTATTGCAAAAAGGGCAATATGGCTTTAAAGAGTGTCTTGAAATGCTTTTTTTTTTTTAACAGGTGATCTCAATTGCCAGGATGGGAGGTTTCGTAAAGGAGAATAATTGAGAACTCACTTCTATCTTCTAACGAAAGCTTCGTCTGTTGTATTTGCTGCTCATACTAGCAATGGAGAATCTGCAACAGGCAAGTAACAATCTGCATAGCCGTTTCGCCAGGGTTTTCAATCTCGCCTTAACTGTTTTAGAGAACAACACTAACTAGTACATTTTTTTTCCAGGGTTCCGAAGTTCCTGCTGGATTTCTGATTTTGTTGGCAACAAGCCACCTATATGATCAATATAGCAAAGAATGGTACTTTAGAGATCACTTCATTGGAGAGAAGAAAAAGTTGGAGTCCATTGCAGAAGACGCGTGTTCCGTAAATAATTATCACCAGATGCATCTGACATATCCAGATATGCAGATTGGATTAGATGGAGTTAGGACGTCCTACCACCTGATGCAGTTAGGTCCATAGTCTGGTCCTGACTACTTTACAGTTCACTCCTGACAGTGGTTCAACTATGGAACACGACTTGGTGACGAATTCCTGAATGCGGCGGGGATGATATTGTACAGAATAACGTTTAGCCTGTAAATTGGCTGGTGTAAATACCAAAGGAATGGTTCCCACTTCCCAGACAGAAGTCACTGGTAATTCAACGTTGACTTGTAAATTCTTCCAGTGAAATCTTTGATTCTTTATCGCGACTGTTTAACTCCGTTTGAGGTCCAGAACCGGCTGATGGAACTTTTACAATGTAGTTCCAAAAAGGTTTGTTATTTCAATTCAACAATCTCAAGTTACAAAGTCCACACTCTTCCATCTCCAGCAAAACAAACATGAACAAGAAACAGGGGAAGCTGGAGCCTATATGGGAGTGTGATGTGTATAGATCAAAAGACCAGAAATCAAGCGGCAGCCTTAGTAGCCTCAATGTTCTGAGCAGAGACACCTTTCTTCTCCTCAGCAATATCAATCACTTTGGCCTGCTTCTTCTTCTCAGCAACTTTCGGCACAGTAATCGTCAGCACCCCATTTTCCATCTTCGCATTCACCTTCTCCAAGTCTGCATTCCCAGGCATCCTGAACTGCCTCCAGAACTTCCCTGCAGCCCTCTCTGCACGGTGCCACTTCTCCCCTTCAACTTCCTCTTCACCTTTCCTCTCCCCGCTGATCCTTAGCACTCTGTTCTCTTCCACCTCGATCTTCACGTCCTCCTTCATCATCCCCGGAATGTCCAGAGAGATCACGTGGGAATCGACCGTCTCCTTCCAGTCCGCCCTCGCCAGAGCTAGAGCAGTCCCCATTGCCTCTACCCCTTTGGTGGGGATGGTCAGGGGACTCTGTTCCAGGATCCTGAACGGGTCCTCTGGAGGGAGCATCATGTCCCACAGTGACGACCTCGTGTAGGGCATAAGAGATTGTGCTGGTGTGATTGCCATTGCTAAGGAGCTTAGGAGGACAATGAGAAACGCTGCTGCTTTCTTCATTGTTGGGGTGGGTCTGATACAGGGAGCAATTGGGCAAAGAAAGATGATTCCTTTATGGCGTAAAAATGGAAAAGCTTTTGTTTTTTGTTTGATTTGAGTATATGATCCTTGAACCCGGGAATAGAATGGAAGATGATGGTGAGGTATATATAAGTTGGGGGAGAGCGAGGGGTGATCTGGAGTGTTCTTTCCTTGCTAAAGAAGGCGAAGGAAGAAAACTCTGCAAGGAAGGAAGACTCTGGAGAGAAACAGAGAGAAGCCGAAGGAAATGCTGTTCTTAGAATGTTCATGAACAAACGTTCAGGTCGGCTTGTTCAAGCCCAGAACTTCCTTCAGCCCAGGAGTCTATTACCCATTCTTGGCCCAGTCGCACCTTGGGGCCTTACGAAAGCCCAGAACCTTATTCTTGGGTTTCAAGCATCTCCAAACCTCAGCTGTCCCCGATGGAAGCACTGACGCACTGTGTTTTCAACTTCAGGAAGTTTTTCTTTTGTCTGCTGAAGCAAGGAGGAGAGGAAAATCAGCAATCAGTCGCAGAGGCGGAAAAAAAGGGGAAGTAGAAATGGAGACGATAATGGAAGTGGACGAAGAAGATCACTCGAACGTTCCTGGCGAAGTGGTGACCGGCGATTTGAATGGGAAAGATGACGCTAGCAACCACAATATCCAGAACCCTAAAGCTCTCTCGGCCGAAGAGAAAGACGACGGCTCCGGTGGCGACTCCAGTTCGGAATCTGACGACGATGAAGATGATTCCCAGCTTGCTGAGCAGCTGAAACAGTTGGAATCTGAACTGGAGGCCAATCCGTCTAACTACGATGCTCATGTTGAAGTAATTTTAACTTCTGCTCCCTTCATGTAGCTGGTTCTACTGAGCTTTTCTGCTTCTTCGTTTCTGGTTCGTTGTTCTTATTGTTTTCGTGATTGTGTAATTTATAGTGCATTAAGCTGCTAAGGAGAATGGGGGAGCTGGAGAAGCTGAGGCAGGCAAGGGAAGCTATGAACGCATTGTTCCCGTTGACACCTTCTATGTGGCAAGAATGGGCCAAAGATGAAGCTTCTCTTTCCTCTGGGTATGAGCTTATTTTTCGATGCTCAGTTATTGCTTATTTGAAAGTTTATCTATGTTCTTTTGAACTGGTAGAGCAGCTGGCACTTTATCTGATTCTTTGCCTCGTTTTGCTGTTGTTGCTTTGATCAAACTTGCTAGACCGGAGTCTGTGGCGGCTATTGAGAAATTGTACGAGCGAGGAGTCTTTGACTATTTGGTAAGTTCTGCTTTTTTTTACAATTTTTTGTTGAATGAAAGTTAGATGAAATGTTAACTTCTTTCCTGAGTATGAGCAAGTGTTCCCCAGTTACTGGGAAACACTAGCTCCATTCTCCCATTATGTTGCTGCGTGCAATTGATGATTGGAATACTTGTTCTGAATGCAGTCTGTCTCACTATGGTGTGACTACTTGAGCTACATTCAAGAATCCGATCATTCTGTTCGAGAGTGTTCTCCTGATGGGATCTCAAAGGCCAGAAATGTCTTTGAGCGTGCACTAACTGCCGGTGGACTACACATTGCGGAAGGGAATAAGATATGGGAGGCATACAGGGAATTCGAGGAGGCTATCATCTATACAATTGATGACAAAGACAGTAAGGTACAATCTATCACTTCACTGATTGTCTTACTTAGCTAGATGTGAACTGAAAGTCCAGGTGAACTTTAATAAACTGTGAACTCGGGTGTGGCAGATGCAGCCAATCAATTTGAACCATTTGCAGCTGTTTCAATTTCATAAGTTGAACCTCTGGTTTTCATTTTGAGCTTTGAAGCAATTGGCTATAGCTCTTATCAAATTGGGTGCATAAAGTATATCAAGTTTCTTATATGATTTCTTTATGGACATGGTTATCGGTTTTTGACTTGTGTACACATTGTGTTATGATCGATAACCCTTAGAACCAGCCAAGTTAGGTAAGCTTCTTCCTACCCCTAATCCCTAGCGCAAGCTCCAAAGCCCTTCTGGAAATCTACCTCTGGGGTATCAAAAGCCACTGGAAAACCTGAACTCATAGCCCTATCTTGGTTGAGGACTAATGAAGCCTAAGCCTAGCCAAGGGGTTTTGCTATGGTGTTGTTCTCATTCTATAGTTGTTCTCCCTCTGGGGTACCATAAGCCACTAGAAAAGCTGAATTCATAGCCCTGTCTCGGTTGAGGACTAATGAAGCCTAAGTCTAGCCTTGTGGTTTTCCTTCTTGTAGATACATCAGAACCTAACAGAATTCCCGGAGTTTGCTATGGTTGTGTTCTTATTCTGTAGTTGTTCTGCAGTTGGTACAATATATGGATTTTTATGGTAATTGTCTTGGCATGGTTCCCAAGTGTATTGTGATCTTTTTAAGTTGCTCACATTTACATTATTTTGCAATTCTTATCGTTCAGGCCAAAGAATCGCAGGTCCAGCGAGTCAGAATTTTGTTCCACCGACAATTGTCTGTACCTCTTGTTAATTTGGAATCTACACTTCTAGATTACAAAGCATGGGAAGTGGAACAGGGGAGTACTCTTAATGCTGAGTCAAGTGATTTGGATGGTGTTCCTACTCATGTTGTATCAGCATACCGAAAGGCCATGGAAATTTATAAGGCTCGTGTTGGACTTGAGGAGCAAATTTTTAAGAAGGGCATCTCTCAAGAAGAAAAGTTGCAACATTTTATGGTATGTAAAACTCATTAACTTCTCGTGCTTTACGCTCTGTTTGCATTTTCTTTATCGTTAGCCTGACAGTTTTATGTCCTGTAATCTGTTTTCCTGTTTTTTCTTTACTTATTTATCATTGTTTTAACCGAATCATTTTTTGCTTAGTTCTCTAAACTTCATAAGGACAACCTTTCAGTTTTATTTTTCTCCTACGTGTTGGAGTTCTTGGTTACAACTGTAATAGACTTAGGTCCAAAGTTTTCTATTTTTGCAGAATTACCTGACATTTGAAAAATCATTTGGCGATCCAGCACGTGTCCAGGTTCTGTTTGAACGTGCTTTAGCTGAGTTTCCCGTGTCAAGTGACCTTTGGCTTGATTACGTGCGGTATATGGACAGGACATTAAAGGTTGCCTCTCCGATCTAATGGTTATGTAATTTTCCTGCAATGTTTGCAATAGTTAAATAAAATTCTTTTCAGGTTGGCAATGTTGTAAGAGATGTTTACACAAGGGCCTCCAAGAATTGCCCTTGGGTTGGAGAACTTTGGGTTCGTTACTTACTCGCCCTGGAACGTGGTCGTGCACCTGAAGAAGACATATCTGCTGTATGTTTATTCTCACTCCTTACTCCTCCAGAATATCTGTAGCAACCTTTATGCTTAACGCTATAGACAGTAGAGAATCTTACAATTGCTATGGTAGAGACTTCAACACCATCTAAAATGACCATAGGATTTTTATCAGCCTTCTCTTTTCTGAATCTGAAATGAAATGCCTCTTTGTGACGGAGAGTATGGTTCTATTGTTTTTGGCCTCTTAACAGGTCTTCGAGAGAGCCTTGCAGTGTACCTTTTCAACACTGGAAGAGGTAAAGATATAGTTTTTAATTGTTCTAGACTGACATCACGCTCCTCTACAACAAGTTATCTTATTTGATTACTTTGTTTACTTCAGTACCTTGATTTATTCCTCACACGAGTGGACGGTTTGAGGCGAAGAATTCTGTTTGGTAGCGGCGAAGATGGCGTCTTAGATTTCTCCTTAATAAGAAAAACCTTTCAGGCAAGTATAAGTTGGATCTATTTATAGAAGGGCTTCTATATATTTTCATTGCAAGAACTATTGCATTAGATAATGGCAATACCTTAATTTAGTGACTCTTGTGTTTGAATTGCTTTTGGCTGCTTTGTGCTCACGGTCCCATATATGAAGGAAGTATGCACTAAATGTTTGTAATTGTATACTATTTTATCTTAGTCTGTACCTTTATATCTATAGATTGTTTATCCAAGCTTGTTGATTTGGGAGTCTTTAATTCTGAGTCTTACGTTTATAGCCTCTCCTGGTGCTATCTAAAGTGGTCTTGCTGTCTTTGCAGTATGCATCAGACTACTTATCACCACAACTAAAGAACACCGATAGTTTGTTGCGCCTCCATGCTTATTGGGCCCGCCTAGAAGTAAATCTGGGGAAAGATTTAGTGGCAGCACGAGGTGTTTGGGAGAGTTTGCTTAAGACCTGGTAACCTACCTTCTCACTGTCTATGTGAACTTGGTAGAATACGTTCTATGATGTGTTATGGAGGTCCTTAGTTTAAGATACCAGTATCCTAGCTGCTTCTATTCTATGCGCTCTCCTTCAAAAGGGAACCAACACTAATGTTGCTTCACTTTCCTCTCTGAAGTGGGTCGATGTTGGAAGCTTGGCAAGGTTACATTACAATGGAAACTGAGTTGGGTCATATTGGTGAAGCTAGATCAATCTATAAGCGATGCTACGGCAAAAGATTAGCTGGAACGGGATCAGAAGTGAGATTCCATTTCCACGCGCCTGCCTTAAAAACCTTTTGAAATTTTCCATGAATTTAACATTTTTGTTTTGTTTTTGTACTTCATAGATTAATGCATTTGGTCTAGTTTCTGTAGAAGTGGTCTGTTGATGCAGTCCCATGTTCCTATTTACCTAAGCCTCGGTGAAATAGAAAGAGACTTAATCTGACAAATCTCAAAAATTAAACTTGACATTGGAAATAGTTGGTTACATAACTTTTGTCCATATTGTAATCTAGCCTTATGTCATAAGAAACTCTTCTATTCTGATCCATTTGGCAACCTAAAACTTTATCATAGTAAATTCTTCCATATGAGATTGAAGGATTTCAATTAGCTTTCAACCTTGCAATCTAAGGTGCTGGATAGAATTTGTGGGTTGGTTTTGGTAGGACAGAACGATAAATGATGGTGTTGGAAGTCAATTGCTCATTTCATTTGTATCCTTCCTTTGGGAAACATATCACAGTTCTCTGTTGTTTAGGATTCTTGATTGTGGAGCAGTTATAGTGGCTACCTTTCCTAATTAATAGAATTATTCAGGACATCTGTCATTCTTGGCTGCGGTTTGAGAGGGAATTTGGAACGCTTGAAGATTTTGATCTTGCTGTGCAAAAGGTATGGTACCTTTTCATGTAAACATTTTTGTATATCATTTCTGTCTGCGTATGTTATGAGTTGCTGTAAGAACTTGTGCCTTTCATTTTCCCAGGTGACACCTCGACTGGAAGAGCTGCAGCTATACAAGATGCAGCAAGACTTACAATCCTCTGCTGCAACAATAGGGCAGAAAGAGAATCCTGTTCCTAAGAATGTCCGCGAGAAGAGGAAAGGAAGTTCAAACATCACTGATGAACAGTCTCCAGCAAAGCGTAAAAAGATGGCTACTCAAACCCAGAAGAAAGAACAGGACAACGCTCAACATCAAGACCCTGATCAAGCTCATGGAGATAAAACAAAAGAGCTCAAGAATGTCAGCGGAAAGACTGACCATGAAGCTGGGAGAACAGTGACAGACTCTAGCAGTGGAAAAGCTAAAGTATATACGGATGAGTGCACCATATTTGTATCCAATATAAATCTCAAGGCAAGTAAAAGTGGTCTATTTTCTCTTCTCTACTGCAGCGAATATGGGAAACCAGGATTTGGTTTGCTTTTCCTTGGCTTGTAGGTATGTTGTACTGATGATTTCCAAATTATTGCAGGCCAGCTCAGAAGATCTGCGTAAATTCTTTGCCGACGTTGGGGGGATCTCTTCCATTCGAATATTACATGACAAGTTTACTGGAAAGTCGAGGGTTTGTTTCTTCCCCATGCGTGATTCTTTTCTGTTCTTTATGATCATATAGTTCTCTCATGATCAATGCACATTTGATTTACTATTCTAGAATCACTGTTCTTTATGATCATATAGTTCTCTCATGATCAATGCACATTTGATTTACTATTCTAGAATCACTGTTCTTTATGATCATATAGTTCTCTCATGATCAATGCACATTTGATTTACTATTCTATAATCAATTGGTGAAGGGCCTGGCATATGTAGACTTTTTAGACGATGAGCATCTTGCTAAAGCCATAGCAAAGAACAAGCAAACACTACTTGGGAAGAGACTGAGCATTGCACGGTCTAATCCAAAAAAGGGCAAGAAAGGCGATCGAGGTGCTCCAAAAGGCGGTAATTCTTATTTTCTTTAATCTATTGCCTTCTCTGGGTTTGAAAATTTCAAGTAATTGGCACCATAATTAAGTGATTATGTTCTCTCATCCATTGGCAATGGATTGAGAGAGTCAAATTGTGTTTCTTCTCTAATGCCTCCAATCACTGTTTTGTCTTCAGCTCGCGATACTGATGGAGGAAAGAAGGATGGGGAATCTGAGCCTACAAGGAGCGGAACCTCAGATGACTCGAGAACGTCCCAAATATCACGCCCTGAAGGGAGTCGTAAGCCGGCTGAGGATGTCGTGCTCAAGGGTAAGAACACGTTTGCAGTCCCGAGAAACATGGTTAAACCGCTTGGTTGGACCGATCGACAGCCCAAACCACCTGCAGAAGATGGAGACGAGCAGCCCAAGTCAAACGACGAGTTCAGGAAAATGTTCATCAAGAGTTGAGGAAGTTGTAGATGTGCATGGCGGCAGTTCGAAGCGTGTTTGTTGAATTGTAGGCAACATAACCCCCCAACTGAATACTCGAATGTAGTGAAGAACTCGGCCAGTCTTACCATAGAACAACGCCCACTTTGACTGAATGAATTTTTTTTTTTTGCTGGCCTACAAAAGTGGCTCGAGCCTCGACAGTGGTTCAACGACAACCTGCAATTCAACGATGTATGAACATCGTTGCGACCAAATGTGGAGACAACTATGTGAACCCACATTGCGTTGTGAAACATGCCCCAAAATGCTGAAAAATGACAAGGCAGAAGGAGGAAGCTATTGTTTTCAACTTATGAGGAAGAAAAGCAACAATTTTTTCAGTTTGCAGGCAGGGTAGGTCAGCCTTTTTTCGATTACAAAACTAGACCACTTTTCATTTTGAATGCCAGTTTTGTATCGTACTGGAATCTGGTTGGTGGCCGGGGGGCGGGCGGGCGAGGGTTCTGGTTTTTGGTTGCAGGCAATGAATAGAGTGAAGCATGGAAACTTCAATGACTCTCAAACAGAAACAGAGCAGCAGAAAGAAAGAAAGAAAATGATGACAATGGAATTCCCTCTTACTCTCTCTCTCTCTCTCTCTCTCTCTCTCTCACTCTCTCTCTACTGCTGCTGCGTCCATGTGAGAAACAGGGAAAGTGAAAGGAGGGTGAAAAATGAAGAAGTAATTACTTTCCTTCCTCCATCAAAGAAAGAAAGGAACAGGGTCATCCATCCATCTACCATTATACAAATTTAGCACAGAAAAGGGGGACCTGTTTCCTGCAACGTTGGGGGGGCAATGGCAGACCCTTCTTCTTTCCTTCCTTTCAAGAAGAAAAGAGGAAAAGGTAAAAGAAGAGGAAGAGAGACTACTCTGCTACTAAATATGAGAGGTGAAGTGAGAGTGAAAGGTGGTTGCTTTCTTACACGCCTCCTCTCCTCTCCTCTCCATCTATCTATCTCACTCTGCTGCCATCGACAGGCCATCTTTCTTGATGACCATTGATCCGTCCACGCACCTCCTCTGTTTTGCGCCTTTCTTTCTCTCTGTGGTACTCTGTCTTAACGTTTTTCATCATCATCAGACTTAAATGCTTTGGCGCAAAGGACGATGGCTATACCACTTCTGTAAGATAACAAAAGCAAACTGAAAACCCCAACAAAAGACAAGAAACAGACAAAAAAAAAAATTACAAGTCAGCCAGCCATACTCTACAAGCAAGGGATCATTGTATAGACCAAGAAGCTCCCCTATCTTCACAGCCCAGTTAATGCAATATGTTAGAAATCGACAATGCAAGAAAGTAAAGAAAAACACAGTTTGATTTATGTGGTTTACTGACACAATATGTGACAGCTATAATCTACGGGTAAGAGAAGAGAGTCAGTTTCACTATAATTGAGGAGATATAAATTACAACAAATGAATATATATATATATATATATATGGTGGCGTCTTAGGTGCACTCACTTTTTTGGGTGCATTCAGTGCACTAACTTCATAACCGTCATTTTAAACATGCGATTTATGTCAAAATGATGTCAATCATCACTTATGATGTGATGAACAATAACGCACATGAATTTTCACAAAAACCATTAAATATTTACGTTAATTTGAAGGATTTATAGTTTAGAGATTTAGGGTTAGGGTTAGGGTTTATGATTTAGGGTTTAGGGATAGAAATCAAAATTGGAGCTCTAGGGCTTAGGGTAATCGGCTAATTAGTTGTTATCATATGTTATATCATCATATTACACTAATTCTACAAATTAAAATTCAAAATTCGACACTTTAAGAACTAGTTTTTGAGTTGGATGCATTTAAGACTTATGTGTTGAAATGTTTGATTTTATCATTGATGATGCATTTAATTACATATTTATTGTTTACATTAAAGGTGAAAAATAATTTAAAAGAGAAAAAATACAAGCTAACCTCACAAGTTCGGTTTTTCATATAAAACCAAACCGAACCGAATTATAATTAGGTTTGAACCGACCGAACCGAATTATAATTCGGTTTGAGGTTTGATGGAACTCGGAAACCCAATATGGTTCGGTTTGAACCGAACCGACCGAATGTCCACCCCTAATATATATATATATAGTCTCCCCTTATCCATAACTCCGTGACTTCCAGAGTTCCAGTCGATGACAAATAATCCGTCGTGAAGTCGTAGCAACACAAGAGTTTATACACTACAAGCACTGAAAATCGCATTTTCTAGATTCAAAACCCGACACCACAATCACGACTTTTCTCGAAAGGTTACAAACAGAAGGTACTTAAACTAAGAAAGCCTGGTTGATGCCTTCTGCTATGAAGTTTTTTTTTTTTAATCGCGAATGATATACTGTACAATATTACAGCAGAATACGAACCTCATCAGTCATCGTAATCATCATCTTTTTCCTATGCATGCCATTGCCACTCAGCCATTTTGCCGCCAATGTTCTTCGGCGTGCGTATTTCCCTTTCACTATACATTTTAACTCTAAATTAGCTGCTGCTGCTGCTGCTTTTAATGTGAGTGAGTGAGTCCACAGTACTGCATTCTTTCTTTCTTTCTTTATGGGATCACGCAAACACTCTGCTGCCTCTTTAAAGTGAGCTTCAGGTAATTACTACAATTGTTGCTACTTCAATTTATTTTTTTCTTTTTTTACAGCGACGATGGATTTTGCATTCTCTGGTTTATTCTCGCAGTATATATCATTTTTACTTGTGTTGTTGTTATGACATGCAAATGCAGCAAAAGGAAAGCAAAAGGAGGAGGTGGAGAAGAAGAAGGGAATAAATTAAAGGGAACTGTACAACTTACAAAGCCAGAGAAATGCCAAATAAACGCCAGAGAGAAGAAGGGATACTTTTCAACCAGAGGAAGGAAAAAGGAGAGAAGCGAAAATGAAGAAGAAGAAAAAAAAAGTGCAAAAGCCCATCGGCCATCACTCTCTCTGGCTGGCTGGCTTGTTGATTCTTTCCTTCGGTCTTCTCCTCCTTTTCCATTTTGTTCTTTCCTCCCACATAAAAAAAAAAAGGAAAGTGAATGCATCACCGCGGTTGACGGCCGCGGTGAATGCCTGACGTAACACTGAAACTTCAAACAAACGTAACTTTGCGCTTGGTTATCCGATTGTAGCCAATTTTTTTATTCAACAGAACTTTTCAAGATCTTTCAATCTGGAATAAGACTTCATCCAAAAAAAAAAATCATTTGCTACCCCGAACGAGCAATTTTTCGATTTTGACAAACTTTGGAAGATCATAACTTTGTGCTCCACAATCCGAATGTCATGAGTTTTTTTTTTTTTTTTGCATAACTTTTGAAGTACTACAACTTTTATTATAACCATAATTTTGGATAGTATGTGGATTTTTGAAAAGTAAATGCAAAGTTATTCCCAAAATTCCGTATACCCAAAAATATTTCTTTTTTAAAAAATCATTTCCTAGTCAAAGTTGTAGTTCTTAAAAATTTACGACGTTCGGATTGAGGAGCTAAAAGTAATGTCCTTCCAAAGTTTTCAAAATCGAAAAATTGCTCGTTCGGGGTAACAAACGACATTTTTTTAGATAAAGTCTTGTTGAAGATTGAAAGATCTTGAAAAGTTATATGGAATCAAAAAAAAAATTCGCTACAATCGGATAAGCGAGCGCAAAGTTACGTTTGTTTGAAAGTTTCAAAGTTAAGTCGGGCATTCGCCGCGGTGATGCATTCACCGCTTTGGTCTGACGCGGTGAATGCATTCACTGCGGTAGACAACAGCGGTGATGCCCAAACATGTGTATTTTGGGAAATTTTTTTAAAAACATGTGTATTTTTGGAATTCGTCCACAGACCCCTAAGCTTACTCAACAGTAGACATGAAGAGTGGTTTGACTCGGTTCGGACTTCGTACTCACACTTGTGATCCATACCAATGTACCAGAACATGGCTAGGAGCAAAACCATATGCTATCTGGTTTGTTCTGGTCTGGCCCAGATCATGCAAACCATGTTGACTAGCTAGTATTTATATTCCCAAACCTAATTCAACGGGATAGTAAAATCAAAGGCTAGGAGATGAGATGGGTATTGGAGTTTGAGCTGTGTATGAAGGTGGCCAATCTTCATGTCCTGCAAATTTGGTCCCCCTCTCCATGTAATTAATAACAATTTCTGCATACCCAACAACAATTTGCAAATACAATAGTACTTTTCTCTTCTTCTTCTTCTTCTTCTTCTTCTTCTTCTTCTTTTCTCATTCCCCAAGGAATTGTCCCCTATTCATCTTCACCTCTCTCTTTGGCTTCTCATATATCAGAAAGGAGAGAATATGGTCTTTCTTTGTTTCTTATTTGATTGATATATGTGTGTAATGAGAGTATGGGAACATATAACACAATGAAGAAGGAAAAAAAACCTTTTGTTGAGTAGAGTGGCTAAGATGATCGATAACAACAATTTGAGGTGGGAGTGACTGTTAGGATTGATGGAGAAGTTAGTGACAATACATTAATGAAAGGACTATTAGAGATTGACTGTTAGAGAATCAGATCAGTATAAGAGGGAAGGCCAATACATTAATGAAAGGAAGCGACTAAAGGATGTAAGGGGAAAGAATATGAGAGCACGATGTTTAACATCAGTGGGTAAAAAAACAAAAGAGACTGTGTCTTGCTTATCAATTAGACTAACAAATAACCTAACAACTCCATCAAATCAAATAGCTTGTCATAGAGCGACGATCAGAGTTACCTCGCTAACTTTCAATGTACTTTTTTTTTGGCGAATTAGTTTGGTTCAATTTATCTATTTATTTGAAATGTATGTTACATGTTCATGATGCATTGCAAAGTAATTGGTATAACAAAGATCAAAGTAGTGATGACCCTTTTCTTTACTTTTTTCCCCCCTTTCTTTTTGTTTGTTTGGTATTAGGGTTTGCTTTGAATCTCATGCCCTTTCTTTCCTTTGAGTCTACATTCAGACAGAGATATATACTACTAATGAGGTGGGAGCCATGGAGGGAATGTTCCCAACGGTTGCTTCTTTGGTTTTGCTTTAATGGGTTTGGAGCTTTATTGTTTTTGTTTTTGTGTATGGTGGGTCAAATTAAAGTATCTTTGTAAAGGAAAAAAACCCAATTAGAATTCGATGAAGAAGATTCTTGTTCACTAGGTGATATATGAACCATAAGACCAAAAGGCAAAAGCACTTTGTCTATCTTCTCATGTCTATTTCTGTATAAAATCATACTTATGTTTATTTTATAAGGTGTATATATATATATATATATATAATTATTGTATGGGTGTGTGAGAATCACTTAATTTTAATAATATAATTTAGACTTATGATGAGAGTGTTACTGTGTGAAGTGAGTGCATTAGTCGAGAAGTATGTTCGTGTTTACCTTTTTTTCAACAAATAAAATTTGGTTCAGTGTTAATACCATTGATTTTGAATATGAAAGTTCTAAGTTTGAATTCATTTTTGACCTTTGGAAAAAAATTGTTATTAATTGAGCTGATGATTTTTGGCAGAAGTTGAGTGTCAATGGAACCTACTGCAAGAGTAATAAGTTAGCAATAATCATTATAATAGATTTTTTCCTTCTTTTATTTTGATTTTTACTTTTTTGGTTTGTGTTTTCAAAATTCTGGTGGTCACAACTCACTAGCCCCCTCATCTCATCTCGTTAATTATGACACCAAACAAATATCACAAATCACTTGTGTAGATATGAACATGAGATTTCGTGAAACAAAAATCTGTCCAAAGAAAACTTTAATGGAAAAATGAATTTTATATCATTATGTTTATTATGTTGAAAGTATAAGTTCGTAAAAAAAATATGAAAAGCTATAGGTATAAATTGAATTTGTCCGGTAATGTTAAAGTATATATTCATATTGTATCATAAATAACTTTATATGAATGTATATAACTAGTTAGGTAGACGCTGAATTTGTATAATAACATTAACATTGATTCCACCCAAAAAAAAAAAACATTAACATAGAAAAGAATTTTTTAAAACGAAATAATCTAGACGTGCTTATGAGCATAGTATAGTGTAGGGGTGGCTATACGGTCCGGTTCGGTTAAATTGGCCTGAATTGATCCGGTCTCAGTCCGGTTTTTTTGGAACATAAGGACCAAAGATTGGATTGGACACAATTCAGTATTGATCCGGTCAGGTCTTAACCCGGTCCGGTCCCAATTCGGTCTTGATTTTAGATTGAACTTGTGGGAATTTGGGTGGCCTAAGGACTCAAAGAGTGAGGAGTTGGTTAAGTTTTGGGTGTTGGGTTATCTTATTTGGTCTTTATCCGGTTTTTTATCCGGTCTCAAATGGTTTTTTACCTCACGCCCGAAGATTGGATTGGATTGTTTGTTATCCGGTTTCGGTCCGGTAAACCAAATAGCTCAGACCAAATAGCCAGCCCTAGTATAGTGGAGCTAACAAAAAGAGGGGGTTTAACCACTTATCAGTAACATGACAACCTAACTATATCATTATATAATTGTCATGACAACCAAATAATCTGCTACAAAATTGTAACGTCCCGAATATTTTCCCAACGAGATATTGTCTGCTTTGGCCTAGATCCACATTGAGCACATTTAACTTCGGAATCTTATAAGAACTCTTTCATTTTACCAAAAAAACTCGTCTTGTCAGTTAAAAGGTCGATTTCTTATTATGAACCATGAATCTCTCACGTGCTATGTCGATTTAAAATTCACCTAAGGTGCTACAAAAACCTACTCTATCTATAGAAAAACAAGTCAAACTCCTATAAAACCAAACATGAATCAAAAAGCTAAGCAACGTAACCTATATATATGATCAAATGTTGTTATATATATGATGAGTACTTATGACCATTAATAAAAATGGGAAATTTTGCTTTGTTTGACGTCGGTATTTTGGGTATACGACTCACGTTAGTGCGATGCCACTAAAGAAATGAAAAGCTCTCCTAAGACGGTAATATTGGACCAATATCTCTTCGGATCATGCTAACCTTAAAATGGCAAAACAATAATTACAACGTTTGCATGTTGTTGTTTGTGTGTGGCACGATGATGATGATGATTGTGGAGCAAATATAGAGCTTTGGGTGTAAACAAAGTGATAAAATGGTTTGGCAAAATGAGGCATGAATCTCATCTTTAAGGAAACCTACTTGGAGCTTTTGATTAATTTGTTTCCTAAGGCACAGCACCAATGGACTAACAGCAATGGGGTTGGTGTGGGGTGAAGAACTGGGGAACCAAATAATTACAATAGTTAACCCACTACATTCAAAGGATATATACAAAAAAAAAAAGCCTATAGAAATTATAGAATTAATATAATATAGGCCGAGACGAAATGATAGGTTACGAAATGATAGAATTAATACTAATCATATCAAGAGATTGTATGTAAGATACTGGTTTCGTAAGTTTTGTAGCCGTTGGATTTTGTACCGTAAGCCAGACCTAGATTGAGAAAAGATATATATTATATAATCAAGTGTTTTCTTTTGCCTTGAAGATCATGAACAAAGTTGAGCGATGTTAGTTTTAACTTTTAAGTAAAAAAATGAGACGATTTCTTTGGCATTATTTATAATGTATGTTATCTATTAAGTTAAAACCTTGAAATCCATGAATTTGCTGATAATTTATTTTTTTAGTTTTCTAATTCAAATATCGGATAATATTGACATATATAGGACACAAAAGATAAATAAAAACCATCCTAGCCAAGTCTAAATCTAATCAATTAAGAAAACATAAAAGGAATGTGCTCATATCATATTCAGCGGTCGGTACGAATCGATTATTCGAGTGGGGAAAAACATTTTCCTCTCTTGTAGATATGTTTTTTTTTTAAATTCAATTTTGTATCTCAAATTGAAAGGGATTGAAGAAGCTAGCTGAGTCTAAAATTGAGATGAGATAATAATATGTACAATAATGCAGGAATATCTTTATGTATATCTTTGCATCTAGCAAGGTGATGCAGGTTTTGTAATTGTCAAATCCGATTCCAGATAAAATAAGAATAAGGAATATTTTGTCTGTAGCTATTTGTTTGCTTGTTCATATGTTAAAATAAAGCAGCTTCACAATGGAATTTTAAATCTCTTTGGGAGGCTCAACAAGGAAATTTGGAAAGATAAGTATTTACAAATTGGCCTCCATACCATACCATATCTCATATTTGCTTGAATGCAAAGAGAAGTAATTTCCATAGGGACCTCAATGAAATTATACACTATGTTCTCTTCAACTCGTTCTTGATAGGCATGAAATGCTATTGACCAATTACATAGTCACGATTCATTAAATTCGTCAATCCTTATAAAAAAATCGACAATTTCATGCCTCGCACGACTGTATGTTATCGTCTTAGACTAAAGGTTTGGATGATCTGATAATTTATATTTTGACCGACCTAGTTAGCTAGGAGAATAAAATATTTGTGAGTTCCATCCATTCTTCAATCTCCACAACAAGAGGTTACATATGTACGCCTATCGTATGATATAAGCATGCATTCATACTTATTAATACGATGAATCACTATAAATTGATTATTACTTTTAGATTAAATGAATATCGGGGTACGAGTTAGAGAATTAGGGACATAGGTTCATCCATTGGATGTCAGGATACGATATCATGCCTCAAGTTCTGGTAAATTCATTAACTAAATAGCAAGACTCGACAGACACACGAAATACGTATTTAATTTAAATTATATTTTTAGTCCCTGGGGTGAAAGATCGATCATAGAAAATCATGTGAAAGGAGGCATCGGAAGGAGAAGGGCTTCATTCATGATTATAACTTCATCGATCTTCCCCTTTTTCTCTCTTTCTCCAACATTTCATGTGAAAGGATGAAATGCAAACCTTCACAAGCAATTTTTGTTTTTCCTTCCAAGAGGGAGGAACATCATTGGCACGTTGAGTAAAAACCCTAGCAAAATACCCATTTCTACGTACAATTCCAATAAAAAAAAACATTATATTATTTCTTCTCAATTTTTTTCAATTTTCCCGCTTTTATATTTGAAAATATAAATGAGTTGAAATTAAATTTTAGAAAACCAAATATTTGATCTGTTTGGGTTGGGTTATTACTGGAAACAGCAAGTCTGTAGAGTGAAGTGAAATCACCCACCCGCTGGGTTTCTATATATTCTGATGCAAATTTATGAAATGCCATCCTCTTCTTCTCTTTTTCACCCCATTCCATCATCAATTCCCCCACTCTCCTATCACTATTTCACTTCTCATCTTCCCGTATTTTTTCTGTGTGTATTAAATCATTCTACACGGTACCCATGTTGCTCGGTGCGTTAACACGCGCGCGGGCGTCAAACAACTATATAAGTCATAAAAAAATATATATAACATATGAATGGTTCACACTGTTTAGTATAAACAGTGCTAACCCACGAGAAACAAAGTCTTCATGGTCGATATATTACTTAGCTTTGTGCCGCTACGAATTATCAAACACCGCGCGAGATGGTTTCGTAACAGCCTAACCCTAATGATCGTGTTGATAAATAAACCAAAATACACCCCCAATTAGTATTTGATGGATTCTCGAACGTATAACTTATACAACAGTAGCGCCGTTGAAGTAAGGCAAAGGCATGCACACATATTGGCATGAGATACGTGAGGCCCTTAAATTCAGATTTTAAATGCACCCAAAAAGTTTCACACAAAAACAACCCAAAGAGAATGAGAATTGAATTTCAAAGAAGTACACACAAATCTATATTCTGAATACTGATATTCAACCCTTCAAAAAAAAAAAAAAATTGTCAAAAAAAAGAATGAAAATAAATAGCCTATCACTCGCATGGTTCTAACTTCAATGCTTCTTCTTGAGAAAAAGTCAGAGTTAAAATAAGGGAAAGTAAGAATGTGTAGGATTTATGTAGGGCAGTAAATAAGCAGATATATAGAGGTTAGATGGTTAGATAGGATAGGGGGGAACATATATGTTTGTGAAATATATATAATTTGTGTATATATAGAGGTAATTTTGGTTTTTTACTTTCAGAGGTAAATTTAATATGAGTAATTATATATAATTGGTTGACCACTAATTTTATCAATCGATAAAACTAACATCATGCCATCTTATAAAAAAAATATTTGTCATATCTGCTAGAGTTGTCGACACAAGTTTGTGTCGATGATTAAGTTATATATGACCCGTTATTTTATAGTGAATGATTTTTTTCTTTACATTAAATATCATATACACACACTCATATACTAAGACATACATTGATTTGTAACGATTCATCACACTAATAATTATCATTGTTGACTGCATGACTATATATCGTAAGTAAGGAGTATTAGACATTAAGTTCTTTTATTCAAACAACAATAGTAGTAGTAGTATCATATGGGTGATCACTCTGGTTGGTAGAAATTACTAGATCGTTTACTAAACACTCTATGTGTCCGTTACTAGCACTATTGAATGGTCAATTAACTAATAGAGAATCGGGAGGTTGTTTATGATATTGTGATCCTTAGATGAACGATGAGTAGAAATCTAAAGTCATAATAATCACTCCTCTCTTTCAATTTTGTTCCCTAGTACATATCATAAAACTTCAATAAAATTGGAAAAATGTATGTATTCATAAAATTTGTCAGGAAAATACAGTGATCTCACACCACCTCATGGCTGAGTATCAAACAAACAACTCTTGATTGATTATTTGACTAGACAGCATGATTGATATGAATTTTTTTCTTTTCTATTGTGTTGTAATTTGCAGAAAGCAAAGCTAGCTACCCTGTTCATGATTCTGAGTGTGTGAGGGAGTAGTTGTTGAATTTGTACTGGAAAATTAAGATAGAGAGAGAGAGAGAGAGAGAGAGAGAGAGAGAGGGGGTAGCTTAGGGCAGCAGGCTTAGCTAGCTCCCACTGTGGCCTCTGACACACACAGCAGAGTGTGAGTGTGCTGTGGAGTGTGAGAGTGAGCAGCTAGTGGTGGAAAATGGCCTTCAAATTAATACCCTGCTGCCTGATAGTGCAAGCAAAGCAAAGCAAAGCAAAGCAACCCCAAACCCAAACCCAAACTCAAAACCCAAACCCAACCCAACACTTCAATAGACTCAAACCAACCAAAGAACCACCCTTTTCTCTTCATTCCACTTAAGAATGTAATTAGCCCTAATTAATAGCAGTGGTCAAGGAAACCAAGAGATCAGCTTCAGAAAGCACCAATTTTTTTTTCCAGCTACCATAAAACACTTGATGTTGTGGTGTATTAGTAAATACTAAATAGTAACAATTTTGCCCTCAAGGCTTTACCTTTTTTGGCCTTATCTTCTCTCTCTCTCTCTCTCTCTCTCTCTTGTGGGCATTCAACACTAGTGCTGTAAGCTGTTTTTAAGTGTGTGGGTTTATCTCCATTCAGTAACCCTCCAAAAACTCTCCTTCTCCAACTTCCTCCCTCCCTCCCTCCTCAATCCTTCACCATCTCCTCCTCTTCTTCCTCCTTCACAAACAGCAAACCAGAGAGAGTGAGTCCACTGCAGCCATTACTATGGTTCCCTTCTAGCTTAGCTAGCTCCATAGCTTCTTATATATACACATATAGAGAAGCTTTGTGTGGCCTTTTTTTGAGTGCTTTTTTGACTCCACCCCCTTTTCCCCCCTTCCATTCTTTACTACAGTGTCAGAAAAACATATCTGCACTATAGTCAGAGGCTGCTAGAACAAGAAGAAGAAGAAGAAGATGGGAGCATTAATGGTGTTGTTTTGTTCTGGTGGGAAAATAGCTGCTGCAACCTAGCTCCTTTCTTCTCCCACCTTTGGTTTGCTCTCATTCTCCTTCTTTTCACTTTCTCACTTGTCCACCTTCAAGTGGGTTTTTTTAGTAGTATAGTAGTTGCAATTTCTTGGACCTTTTTGGCTAGCTTGGTCAAGATTTACATCAATGGCTGATATCTAGCTATAGTGGGTGACTGACTGTTCCTCTCCTCAGCAATGATCCTGTTCTTCTTCATCATTTGAATCCTTTTTTTTCATATTAGGGGGATTTTTTTTTTTGTGGGTTTAATTAATATTTCCTTTTTCTTGGGGTCTAGCCTGTCCCTTTTCTCCCCATCTTCCATTTTGGTTGATACCAAATCTAGAGACAGCAAATTCACAAACAACAACAACAACAACAAATGGAGGTGTCAAGTAATGAAGATCAAGACATCCCTATCCCCATCAACACCTCCTACGGCCACTTCATCCACCACCACCACCATCTCAATCCACCACCCGCCGCCGCCGCCACCGTCCCTCCCATCTCCACCGCCCCACCGCCGCCACCAGCCACCGCCGTGAGCCACAACAACGGCACCAACAACAACACCACCACCGCACTCACCATACTCCTCGACGACCACCAACAAAAGAAGAGAGGCGGCGGCAGCAACGTGAGGTACAGAGAGTGCCTGAAGAACCATGCAGCCTCGATGGGCGGGACGGCCACCGACGGCTGCGGCGAGTTCATGCCCAGCGGCGACGAAGGCACCATCGAAGCCCTCACCTGCTCCGCCTGCACCTGCCACCGCAACTTCCACCGCAAAGAACAACTCGACCTCCTCCCCCTCCATCACCACCACCACGGCAGAATCGTCACCAACAACCACCACCACAATAACAACAACAACAAGGCTCAGCCGCCGCTCCTCCTCGGCCACCCGCAACACCACCACCACCACACGCCGCCGCCTCCCTTGCCGCACCACCACCACATGCTCATGTCCTACAACATGGCCGCGGCCGCGGCAGCAGGTATGTGTACGAGTAGTATTATTATGTTATATTTTTTTTAATAATAATTTGATAGAGTTATATTCCTTATTAGTGCAGGTATGTGTACGAGTAGTATTATGTTATATTTTTAGTATTTTTTTTAATAATTTGATTGAGTTATATTCCTTATTAGCTTATTATAATTTTCGTAATTTCCGACTCTAGTAGGAGGAGGATCGCTGTCGCAATCGGACGACCACGACGGAGGAGTGCTGCAAGAAGTCGACGATGACGGTAAGTATTAGAGTACGAGTAGTATATTTAATTGAATTTTATTTTCCAAAATTCCAATGCGGCTTAAAAATATTGAATTTTAGAAAGTAAGTATCGTATGTAAAAATCGCGAAAAAAAAAATTTACGAGTAAAAAATTTATGAGCCGGTATAAGTAGTATTATGTAATTCGACAGAGTTATATATTATAAACAGGTAGGATGGCGATGACTCCCGGTTCTGCCGCCGCAGCGGCGACCAGTCATCATCGCCATTACAACAACGGCGGCGGCCAGGGGACGGGGACGGGGAAGAAGAGGTTCAGGACGAAGTTCAGCGGGGAGCAGAAGGAGAAGATGCTGGCGTTCGCGGAGAGCGTCGGGTGGAGGATCCAGAAGCAAGAGGAGAGCGTGGTGCAGAGGTTCTGCCAGGAGATCGGCGTCAAGCGGCGGGTGCTCAAAGTGTGGATGCACAACAACAAGCACCACCACGCCTCCGGTCAACAACACGCTGCTTCTTCTTCTGCCGGCGGCGGCGGCGGTGAGGCGCCTGTCATTGCCGCCGCTACTACGTCTATCATTCACCCGCCGCCTTCAACGGCTGCTTGATTAATTATTTAGTTGGTTAGTTATTATCGTTGGTATTATTGCAGCTATAATCACGGGATTAATTAAGCTTTACGATTTACGAGCCTGCATGATGATGATGATGAGGTTGTTAAGGTTAAGTACGTACGTATGTACGGGTTAGTTAATTAGTAGATAACTAATGATGATGATGGTGGTGATTATGTTACTCACTCCTGTTCCATGCTATTTTATGAGTTTCTGGTAATTTTAATTATTACTGTGGTTGATTAATTATTGTTTGGTCATTAATAATCACTTTCTACGATGGAGTTCATCTGTAGTCATGAGTGGTGTTATAAATACAGTATGTTACGTGACGTACACATCAGTTTGCGAGGTTCGAGGGCAAGAGATAAAATAGATGTACAAGCTGGCTGCTTTACGTGTATGTGTAAGCAAAGAGTACAAACAATTCTGTTTTTTTTGGGTAAATATTTGAGACATGGGGTATATATATAATAATTATATGTCGATGAAAGAATATTACCTTTTTGTTTTGTTGTTGTTACTTCTTGATTGCATTCTCTTTTACTGTTTTTTTTTTTGTGTGTGTGGGATTGATTCTCTTTATATTCCTTGGTATACTATGTGGTTGTTTGGAAGTTGCGATTGTTAAATAGATGTATTGTTGAGAATGCATGTATAATATTATACATGTATTGTCGAATTTGATGCATTCTATAATACAACGTTTGGTATGTGTGATTGTGTATGTCGCATCAGCTAAAAACTGAGACAAAACAATCTCAACTCAACTATCTCAACAATCACAACTAAAAGTTGAGATATAACAATCACTCAAAATGAGTGATAGTTTCTGTCACATCACAAAACTGCTAAAAAAATAAAAAAAAAATGATGCATTGTAAACAATACATGCATAATGACAATCTCAACAAAACTATCGCAACTTCCAAACGACCCCATATAAAAATCTTAAAAGTACGTAAATAATTTGAATATAAGTGACTTCTAAACTAAAAACCAGTCTAAATGATAAAAATTACTAGACCAGATTCATATTAGCTCCTTTTACAATTTTACTATATATCAGTGTATACATGCGTCACTTGTAAGTAATTAAATTAAGTAACCAATTGCTCTAAAATAGACGGATTTATTAGGTATTTTTTGGTGTGCATTTTCTTACTATTATATTAAATTTTTATATTACTTTAGTAAAATTAAAATATACATCAAAAGTAACTAATAATTTCTTGATAATTGATTTTCAAATTACACGATATCTGAAATTTCATTTTTTTCCTTCTTTTTCACTTTGGGGACATATATTAATATCATGATATTGAAGCCGCCATGTAATTCCCGAATTCATACTACTATATGATCTCCCAATGCTTTGGGTTTACCCAAATTATATAAAATTCCATGTCAAATTATATGGATCCCCTTATCATGCCCTCATGCAAACCAAACAATGAATCCGAATATTAAGTGAATTCTTACACCTCAACCTACAATACACAAGAGTTCTTCAAATGCATGAATTCAACATTACGTGTTTAACAAACAACCCCTAAGGTAACACGGGAAAGTTCGAAACAACTCCGGCCGGCCGGCCGGCCGTTAGAAGGAAGAAATTCCGACGACACGGCGGCGTCATTTTTTGATATATGAAAGATGGACGGCAAAGAGTAAATGCATCTCCTAATCTCGGGCCCTGATTTTGGTGCTAGGGGTTTGGAGACCAAAAGTGTCGACCCAAAAGCTAAGTCAGCAGCCTCCATGGCCAGGTTCAAACTTCAACGACCATGCAACAAGCTAGCTGCCTAGCTTCATATCTTCTTGACCTCTCAACAATTCGAGTTATTGGTACTAACTGGTTTAGGATAAAGTTCATGGTATATATGTAAATTATCAGGGGACAACTCTTCAGATAAATTACATCAAAGATGATAGAGAAGGAAAAATATACTATCAACAATCTATTACTGTAGTAGTATGGATATAGAATGGAATGATGCATAGTCAACTTCTCGAGAAGAGAGGAGTCGTGGTGGTCCCGAGAAACGAAAGAAGACTTTCGTTTTTTTGGGTGTGAAGCGCAGTGTCAAACCAAAATACCCAACAAGCATTACCTCTGAAAAAGGAGGTAATCCAGCCGCACCTTCCAGTACGGCTATCTTGTTTCGGTATGTATTAACAAATCATCTATTTAGAGATCTAATTTTAATATTTCTGCAACGGTTATAAGTAGACACTATATACAAAGACGATAACGACAAAAGAACAAGACTACACGTACGTCTCAACTGATATTTTTTTTTTTATGTTGGAGAAACTATAGACTAGACTACCTCTCAAATGGACCAACACACCATATGACTGTACACCATGTACTACCAAATTCAAACAACCAAAAGTCCTTATATGACTTGCTAAATATCTCCTTTGCTATGTCGTCAAAGGGGGCAAAACAACAAAGACGAAGGGAAGATGGCGACCATCCTTGTTTGGACAAAGGTGACATACAATGTGCCCAAATGGAGAGTACATTTATGCATAAGCATAGTTCCCATTACAAATGTTTCATACATATTCATGTCTTCAAAATTTTCAAAACATATATAGAACAAAAAAAAATGATGCCAAACATGTTGAATGAATATATAGGATTGCACTTCTCGAAACTCAAACACAAATACTTTAAAGTTACGGTAATTTATTGTTTTGTTAATCGCACACCATTTTTTATATTGTAAGAATTAATAAACCAAAAGATGTTCAAGGTTGTTGAAAGACTAGGGATTGTATACTGCCGGTTGGTGCACGCATTGGGGCCCGTACTGAAGGGTTTCGAGATTAACCTGAAGGTGTTTTGACGATAGGGATTTCAATCACGAAATTTCGAATGAAGGTCACAATCTACAATTCGTTACGGTCAGACTAGATGTCTCTATTGGTTAATTTTCGTGTTAAGTTATCAGTATCTTGCTTAGAAGAAAGAAGAAGACGATGGTACCAACAAGCTGCAAAAGCTGATACTATACTGTTGTGGCGCAACGCATGTGTATAATTATTAAACTTTTTTTATGCAAAGATAAGTACTCGCCACATGGCCGGATAATAAAATTATAATGTTGTCCACAATCCGGGGGCTAAAAGGCCAAAATGGCTTTTTAGTCGCGCAATTTTTGCTTCAACCTATGGCTAACCCCAAAGCTAAAAAGTCAAATAGAGGTTTTGAGGAGCTAAAACAGCTCTGATTTGGGGAGGGGCAAATAGAGGGGGCTAAATGAGCAGGTTCCACTAGCAAAAAGTAACAACATAAACAACTAAAATTATGTAGTTTGTTTTTTGGTTTTAGTTAATTAAATTAAAATTACGTGTTTTGTTTGTTTTTTGGTTTTTTTTTTTCAACTTAAGAATTCATTTCGATATAATTTTCGTCCGTTTGAATGTTATTTGAAGAACAAATTTATAATCAATAAAAAAAATTTAAATAAAAATAACAGTATCTCCGAAATTGTTCAAAATCTTGGAGATTTTGATGAACGAAGTTCATTTCGGTGTAACTTTCTTCTGTTTCAATTAAAAATAAAGTATATCGGAAATTGTTCAAATTTTATCGAAATGTTCGTATCGAATTATCGTGAACGAGTATAAAAATTTTAAATTAAAAAACACAAGTTTAACTACTCATAAATTAGGATTACTAAATACGAAACAGAAACTTTTAGCTTTCAGGGTTGCAGGTGTTTTTATTTTTTAGGGGGGCTAAAAGGTCATTTTAGCCCTTTAACCCCGATTTTTGCCCCCTCCGGGTTGTGGCTAGCCTAGGAGACGATAGTAAAGAATGATAGCTCATATGTAATCAGACTCCCGATAAAAGAACTTGTCTGCCACAAAGATGACAACTCTATGAAAATTTCCATAAGTAAAGATGCACGAAACGAAACTGACTCGGATAAATAGAAAGATGAGAGCATTTAGCCAGGAATACCATTATACAATAAAGGGGAAGAAGAAGAAACTCTCTCCTAGGCCCCTTCTTTTAGCTTATTATCAATGGCTCTGTGTTGCTACTTGTGCTTCAATGGGATGGAACATTATAATAATAATGAGGATGATGAGGGATGAAAGCAACAACACATGCTACATTTGTATATGTGCAGCATGCAACTCTCACCTATCGGATCCTCTGTAATAAATTCCTTTCCAAATCTTGAATAATTCAAAACTGTTCTTATCATATGACCCAAAGAAAAAAGAAAAAAACCAAAACAATTTTGTATTTTTCAATTCCTTGTTGGAATTATTGTTATTAAGCCCTACAAAATTAAATCCTGAAAATCGATGGGAGGATTGGACTGGCAAGGACAGGGGTCCCTAAATCTGTAAATTATAAGCAAATCTCTATATGCGAATAAGGTTTTGGTCTAATGATATTACTATTGATTTTGAAGTTTAAATTTCTTAAGCACATAACTGAAAAACAAACTTATATGGAAGAGTTGAAAACCTAATAATCCTTCATAAGGATAGAAGATGCATAGATTGATGGGGGGTATTCATTCAATTTTAATTGCACTAGGAGGTGAATGCGATTATCATATTTGATTGAAGTGCTCGATCTATAATAGAACACGGAATTGTGTTGCTCGTGGACTGTGGATTACTGTATATATAATTTACTACGATCAGTGGTTGTGCCTGGTATGTGAAACGAATGAATGAAAGTCTAAAATATATATATTTCGAGTGAGAAATAGACACGAGAGATTGACTTCACGCATATTTTGTGTTCAAAACTTGTTCTCGCAAAAAAAAAAAAAAACCAGAAACGATAAAGAGGAGGATACAACTTGAAACTTCGGAAGAAGGGCCCCAAAACCAGTTTAGAAGCGCCATGACATGATATGACAACAGTAGCTTTGCGCTCGATCGGCCTTGGCAACATTACATGTGATCACATTTCTCATGTGAAAAAGCCTACACGAAACTATAATGTTTAACACATTTCAATAACTCTAAACCCTAAACCCCGGGGCATGTATACGGATAACTCATCTTGCACTGTCCTCCAAAAAGGATTATAATAACTAGCACCTCTAGCAAAAAAATACTACACTGACATTGTTACAGAATACTGATGGAGGCGAATTTTGAGGTGAAAGGTAAGAGTGGACATGACGAAGCAGAGAACCCTCTGCATGATATTCTGAACCAACCAACGAGCAAATTTATGATTTTTCTAAACAACTACTGCTGCACTGAATCAAACCCAGCACCAGTCCACCACTACCAGCAGCAGCTTGACTTATTAAATTACTGCTGCACTGACTGTACTGTAATGTAAATAGGACTCACCACCTGATTCCTTTCACCCTACCCTTAGCTACCCTGTAATAGACCATCACTCAGCTCTGCAGGCTCCTAATCTGTAGAGTAAAACGATGGATGTACAATAGACCCGACCCGTCAACTCACCAATCTCTTTCACTCACTTTCAGTAGTCCAGGAAGCAAGGATGGCAAGCAAGCAGACGACCCAGATTCCCGTGCTGGCTTTGTCTGGTAACAAAAATGAATTGGGGTGAGTGTGGCGTGGTTCGGTCGAGAGAATCGGACCGAATCGGAGATGGGCTTGAGCATGGATCAACCCATTGCCATAAACCATCAAGAAAGGATAAGGAGAAGAAACATTGAGAAGGGAACCAAAATGAGGACAGATACCAGAAGAAAAGAAGAGCAAAACAACCCGCGGGGAAAAGTAACAGAAAAGGGAAAACGGAAGAGTGTTTCAGTTCAGCAATATGCTGCCTGCGTCTCCTCCTCCTGGGTTAGTCATCTTCTCTATGTACTTCTACAGTTCTACTACTGACTGTACTACTACTACTCACAGTCACAGATCCAGTGTGCTTACTACTCTGTCGGCACTTATGATTCTCTCATTTCTTTCACCAAACCAAAACCCATCTTCAGAATGACTCCCATCAACCCAAAACCCACCAAAAGGCAGAGACTTTTTTCTCTTGGTGGCGTGGAGTCGGCAGAAATTGCCAAGCTTATACTGTTATACATATGAGGAGGCCGCAGCTCCTCTGGTTCATCTTGTTGCTGCCCTTGCCTCCCTCGTTCGCCTTGCCTTGCCATCACACGGTTAGTTTCTTTGTGTTCTTTATGTCTGTTATATACTTTTTCTGGGAGATTGATCATCAGATTAGGCCTGTTAACCGGTGGTAACAAGCCGAGCTCGCCCAGGATTGAGAAGCAAGTCTGACATCCTCCAACCCTGCAACCAAAGATGCACCCACCATCAGGTTACGATCATTTCAAAAACGCCAGCCCAAACACTATATGCGTTTGTTGAGGAATAAAGATGTCACAAACTTATATTGGATTTTTACCTGTTCAGCGGCTTTACTTTTGAAAGGACTGTAAAGGGTTGAGACCATCTTGCATGACTCAGCAATACGATCGCCAAGGTCTGCATTCGACAGAATGTAGCTCAAGGTTTTGTCCTGATCCTGAACCTTTTGAGAGGAAGATCTACGGCTGTCCTGTGCCGAGTGTACGGAGTGCAGCAGAACATGAGCCTGCATACAATAGGTGAAAATATCATCTCATAGCTCAAATAATTATGTTAAATCATATACTTCTTCTGGGAAACTATAGCATGTAATAGAAAAGAGTGAGATCCTACATGGAATGCTGCTTTCAGGATATCATCCGCCTTAGCCTGGTCCTTCAGCAATGCGTAAACTTTGTCCTTTGATGGGTTATAAGTTACTAAGTATCTCTCATTCTGCCAGAAAATCAAGTGTATCCATTAAATATTCAAACTATACATTAATGGGAACCCGAAAACATTATCAAAGTCTGCACTCTATGCAAAAAAAGGTGCATACTTCAAAGAAAGGCTCTATGGCGAGATATGAACTTGGATCCTGAAAAGCATCTTTAAATCTTGGACCTGCCAAATAGGATACCCCACGTCAGGATAAATTATGTTTGTAACAAAAAGGAAATTCTGCAGGAGAGAGAGAGATTGCAAGCATACCAAGGACAATAGGTCCCTCCTTCACACCAGGAGGACTGAATATCTTCTCCCTCGCATTTCCCTCTTGCAATGAAGGAACTCGCCCTGCAGAGGTGATACAGAGAACCAAAGTAGTTAAAACATTTATCTACAGACATAAATATACACTGCCTGCGATAATAGTCACCAAGACTCTTATGCTATACGATCCGAGAGAGAATATGGTTGCAGAACCATGGCCCACTCAGTCTAACCTGTCTTGAGGAAGGATTCTACAGCCACACTGAATCTGGCTCGGTTTAAGGTATGCAGAACGACAGATCGTACCTGACAGAGAATTGCGAAAAGGAGGTCACTCAAAGTTAGACTAACCTTTCATGCACCTGAAAGAAGTTAACGCTATAAACAAGCATCAGACGTTTGTCCCAGTAGGCTTCTCACCTCTTGATAAGAGCTGAGGAGGTACCCACATGAAAGGAGTGAAAATGTGGTCACCAGTGAAGGATTTCTTCTTGTAAGCCATATGCTAAGGCCAGTTCCCAACTTCGCAAGACAAGTTAACAAACATTTAGAACAAATGAACCAATGCACATGAACAAATATACATAGAGATGTCAAAGAACTTTTGGCTAACAATAAATATTCCTTTTTTTGCAGGTTGAAAGATGCCATGACGACCAGCATTGTTAGAAGCCTATAAGTTGAACGCATGTCACTGCACCTAAAGATCTAACCCTTGTTGCACTATACCAATTATTCTAACTACTCTTGAGGTTAAATTACTTTCATCAGTCGTAAATATCATAGTTTTACCAATGACCTTCGATTTTTTTATGATTGGTAGCTTTCTTTTTGGCTCAACAGTCACCCTCTCAAACTAGAAAACCAATAAGCATACTCAACAGCAGCATCCACAGTACCAATATCCAATGGCAATAACTACTTCATTCAAGTGCGCACATTGATAACTCATGCTGATCCATACAAGTCAATGAAGAACCAGTCAGGCATACCAAATCCGCGATGTTGCTGACACACTCTCCCTTGGCGGTGACATCCCCGATATTTTCACCTTTAGCAAAGGCTTTGTAGATTGGTGTACGTGTAGAGGTAGATGTCACAGCTGCAACATTCTACAAGCAATTACAAGAACATCAGATGCTGCAAAACGTCAAGTCTCATGCCAAGCTAAAAGGCTCGATACAATTATGATACCTTGGCCACATTTGCAGCACATGCCATAGGAAGAAAAAGGTGTGGAAAAGCGGCAGTTGCCAACTCTACCCCAGCACCTAGCTCCATGAGGAGGTCACCAGTAAATCTCAGCTGCAATAAATAGCAGTTTCAGTTAACATCTGGGCAGCATAATGAATGATCAATTAATGCATGATACATGTACGTACCTGTTTCAGATCATAATCGAATTTCTTTCCCTGCCGAGCAAAAAGCATTTTTCCAACACGACCAGCTCCATCCTGTGGGCAGATAAAAGAGAATGATAATGCAGTGAAATCAACTTATTGCAGCTCGGTGGAAGGACAAAGCTCTATATCGCAATTGCAAGCACCTCTTTCGTGTTATCACTAAGCATTACCTTAAGAATCCAATTAATAGCGACAGCTCCTGGAATGGCTTGCTTATGAGCAACTCCAACAGCATTTAAAAGGGTCTTCGTCGTGAAAACGCCCATTGCCCCGCCAAAGAAATGCTGTGAAGAACATACAAAGTTGCGTATAAGTAATCAACAATGGATGCCGAAGTGGTGTAAGCAGACACATCTAACTACAAAATTTGTTTCCCTGCTCTTGGAATCATAAGAAGATACCTTTAAAGCTCTGAAAGTCATATAAGGAACATAGGATGGAGTGACACTATCAGGGAAACCTTCTGGGACCACGTAGGATCTTATGAATGACACCAATTCCTGCAACCAGCAAAACAACCCGCAAGAACTTGATTCAGAAAGAGTTGAAGATCGACAAGTAACAACCCCCAAGTTAAAAAAAAAAAAAAAGCTTGAAAACCAAATACAAAATTGAGCAAAGCTAGAAACTTTGAAAATCCAGCAGACAAACATCATGACAAGATTCAGAATCATAAAAAAAAACGGAAATTAGAAGTGGAAAAGCAAGCAGCTTGAGGGAGAAAGAGCAATGCAATGACCTCAACTGGCGCCTGGGGTGTGTGCAAGCAGACAGCACGAATCGAATTCTTCTTAAACCGGCCGGACCCATCATTCTCGGCTACGTACTTCCACCGGCGGCCATCAATCTCCTCGCAGCAGATCAGCCTAAGACTCGATTGAACGAACTCGTCTTCCACCAGCCCCATCCTCATCCTGTCGGGAAAAACAGGTGGCACCACGACGGCGGCGGTTGGGAGCTGCTGATGCGCCGCCGAATTGGACGCAGTCGTAGGAGAAGGAAGCGGAGGAGCGGAAGCGAGATTGGCGCTAATTCGTAGGGTTTCACGTACGAGGAGCCGCGCATCTGTGGCCGTGGTGGTGGTGGAGCTGCTGAGCGACTGAGCCGTCGCTGATTTGTTGATTTTGATCGGAGGCGGCGCCATTGAAGATGCAGCGAGAAGAGGGCAATTGGGTTTTGGGCGGAGAGGAAGAGGGGAATGCAGGAGAAAAGTGGGTGGGGAAGGGAAAGGCGGGGAATTTATGGAAGGAAATGGAAGAGGGGCATTGGAAGTAACGAAGGGAAGAGGAAGAAGCAGAGTTTGCGTTTGTGTTCGATGTGGAGAAGAAGAAGAAGGGGGAAAAGGGTAGACAGCAGGTGGGCAAACAATACAATTGGCATCAACGGAGCTACTGAGACAGCACAGCACATCAAAGGCCTAGAAGAAGAATTTCTATTTTCTGCCAATAATGATTTATTATTGGGAAGCAAGAAAAAAATAAAATTTTCCACGATGGATGGATCTATGAAAATCTTGGGACACAAACTCAAGGATTGTATTTTTGTCTTGTTTTCAACCGTCTTCTATGAGCTTATGATATAAAATTCCCGTATCAACAACTCACATGCAAGACTCGTGCCTCATCACTCTTCATTTGGTTAATGGTGAGGTAATCTTTGCTATTGGGTTCATTTTTGCATATGAATGTGCATTAAGAGGTATAAAGAATGACTTAATAAGACTGTTATTGCTTAATACCAAATGTAGGATAGGCTAATGATAAAGTTGTCGAGATAGTGAAGGTTTGGGAGTTGCAGATCCCAAGTTTGAATCTAAACGAACCCCGTTGGTGTTCTTTCTTAATTAGGTTTATCTCTCTTATCTATGAATATGCTCTTGCTTGATAAATTATGTTCAATTTCTTGCCATAGATATAACCCTTGAAGAGGAAAAAATATATATTTTGGATGGACGATTAAATGCACAGATGTTGCTAAAACTATGATACTAACAATTAAGGGGTTTTAGAGAATAACTTCGCCGCATGTTCCTTCTCTAGTTAAAAGTGTATCTTCACTATGAATGTGTCACAAATTATTTATTAATTAAGTTTTCCTCCTTCCTTTATAAGCTCTCAACAAAGGAGTGCAACACTTTTGCAGACAAAGATGATGAAGTGTATTGCTTGTGATGAGTCAATAATCATAGATACATGAAGCTGCGATTATTTTCTTGTTATTGTATATCATGGTTGAATATTGTATGCAAGGTCATTGTGTCAAGAAAGTTACTCACAAGTTATTGAGATGCAGTGTTAACGACTTTCCTTATTAGGATGAAGTGTTGGGGCATACAAAAGTTGCTTGAATAAGATAGGTATATTAAAGAGAAATGGTGAAATAGGGATAAAAGACTTCAGGGTTTGGAATTTCGCACACCTTGAAGTTTACATTTAACTTATAATGTTCGTAATGTTTTGTGTCATTGAGGTGTAGAGATTTCTCCATGCGAAACCAAAATCTTAATAAATGTAAAGAAACTCGAGGTTGCATTTGCTTTATTGCTTCAATTATTTCGTGTTCCAAGGCTTGACAACACTTAGTTGCCTAAACATGCATATAGTATTAGTCAGATGCCAAGATATGGATGAATAATAAACAAATATGATCATCGACTAACCAACTAGGAGTGCCATGTTTTCTTTTTTCACAATTTACTGGAGCAAGGGTAAACAATTAAACTATGAAGACAACTAAGGTTTGTTGTTCAAGTTATCAACAATGCTCACCTCACACTCTTGATCCATTCATTTTATCCGAGATCAAATGGTTCATACAGGAGGTTCGTATCCGCTTTTCATCTTTATTTGATGTTATAAATATTATTTTTGCGTCATTTTTTCTTAATCGTTTGGCTTGTTGCATGCCAATTTCTCAATCTTAGATCTATTCCCCTAGTCTCATCTTTTCATCATTTCCACTTCATCTATAGCGGATTCATAGAGATAATCATATTTGTGAATTTTGACAACAAGATATTCATTGATCACAAGAGGAATCATTTTACCTCTATAATCACCATCTTTGTTTCATAGAAGTACGTTTATCTTCTCTATATCAACATATTGTAGTCTGTTTTCACTTTTCATTAAATTTTATCTTTCAAGTCAATGTTAAAAACTTACCATTGAAGAGTGTTGGATGGAGTCATGGAGTATGAGTAGTTAGGTACTTCCCCCATACTCCCACATTGATAATTATACAACCTACTTTCACTAACATTGCGACATGAATTTATATTGGATTACACTGTCTTATCAGTTATCATGCACGTTCCTTACATGGGTAAACCACCTCCATACAACTTTTGAATTTTTATTGTTCTTCATGAATGGGGGTTCAAATCCTTAAGGGGTCGTTTGGATGGGTTAATTTTTTGTGTGGTATTTATAAAGTGAAATAACTCACAAATCATGAATGTGAAATTTGTGTGTTATTTGGGAAAATTGAAAGTTAAATTGTGTTGTTTGGATGGTCCAAATAATGGGTTATTTTTTCTGTGGTATTTGTGAACACAAATTGCAAAAATACTACAATGCCTCCTTATATATTTAATAGATACCCAATCCCCTACCAACTCTATCTGCTCACGAACAGAAGGTGGGGAGCCCTTTGCTGTCGAGTCCTCTCCCTCCCAGTGATTCTCATCGGCGATTCTTACCTGGAGGCGCCTTCTATGCCCAGCTCCGACCATCTTCTCCCTCCTCCATTGCTGCTTCATTGCCAGGATATAGAAATAATGCAAGCTTCTCAATCTGGCCTCGTGAATGGAGTTGTTTTGTGCAAATGTGGAAGTGAAGCCATAATGCGAACTTCCAGTACTCCACGAAATCCAAATCGTTAATTTTGGTCATGTCCGACTTATAAATCGAAGGTATGTTTTTTATTTATTGTATGTATATATAAAACCCAAAGTTTAACGACTGGATTTAATGGCTCTTCATCAACAGATATTTGATTATGGTAACATGGAGGTTGCAAGTGCTTTCCGATGTAAGTTCAAGCTCACGGAAAGGAATTTTTTGCTGTTTGGTTTTCAAGTTGGTCGCTACTGTGACTTTTTTGATTGGTGCGATCTTCGCACCATGAGAGATAGAGAGCAGATGCACCTGAAAAGGAAAGCCGAGTTAGAGCTTCAACTAGCTGAACTGAAGGAGGAGAACACTAGGCTGCTTAAACAACAGTGTTCTTGTGAGTCGAGACACGAGTCTGATTGGGCTAGTGGGGAATGCAACCTTGTCATGGAGGTTGAAGTGATTAAAAGAAAATCGACATCAACAACTAAATTGATGAGTTGATTAACCATTAACTAGTGACGATTGTGTGTTGTGTGTGGTACTATTGTAGCTGGAAGTTTTTTTTTAATCTGTAATCATGCTTGTTTAGAACATTGAGATTGATGTATGTTTGTAAGCTTATTCTGTAACTTTTGTGTAATACTAGTGTTCTATTGTTAGTGAACTTTGTTGTGTTAACTGAGCTGATGAGCTATGTCAAATGTTGTTGAATGTTTAAGAACAACCAGCAGTATACTTGCTGCCAAATTGTGCAGAATAATAGGACCAACAGATCTGTTGAAAACCCATAAATACCAGCTCCATAGATGCTGCCAAATGTTGCAAACAACCATCAGTGATTTACAATAATTCCTAATATACTAGACATGACCAGTAGTGCTGTACAAAAGTTCCTAATATGCTAGAGCTCCTAACCAGTAGTGTTGTACAAAAGTTCCTAATATGCACAGATCACTTCACCAAAGTACTCTACAAAAGTTGTCTTCCATTTGCAAAGACTGTCATCAAGAGTGCGTCTGGATGACAGATAGACAAAAACCATGGGTCTCTTTGCAAAATAGACAACACATGACATGTTATAAACCTATACAGTTACATATCCTAACTTTCTTCAATTTGACAGCAGATAAAAAACAAGGGTCAGCCTGTTTCCTTCGTCCAGTTCATAGAAACTCTTCAAATATGACGGTGTGGCATTGAGTCTCCTAAATCCCTGCACCTTCTGTAGTTGGGTGAGGCCATCGAGCTTGTCCAAATATGTCATTAACTCCTTTCGCATATTTTCATGCTCCTCACTCTCTCCTAGAGCTCTAGCAATTGTGTCAAATGACTCCTTGATCAGCAACCTCATTAGTGCCATTTCAGGGCCATTATCATCGGATGGTGCTGTTGGACCTTTCTTCTTCTTTGATGATCCACCATGGGTAGTCTTGGCTGGTCTCTTCTTCTAGTTCTGATTCTTCTCTGCCACACCCTCATTTATGATATTAAACATGTCTTCATCCGTTGTAGGAGGGACCATACCATCCATAAAGAGCGGATGGTCTTCATCATCCTCCGAGCCACTATCAGAGGCATCAACATTAATATCCGGGCCATTTCCTGTATAGTTAACTACGTTAGTATGAACACAACAATAAACATAAATAAGAAACAACCTTATTAATTCCAAATGACAATTCTGGACCTAAGATTCCTCCACTTCCGGTGGCACGTCCATTGGCGAACACCGGTGCAAGGTCATCGAATTGTAGGGATGGAAGTCTCTTATAGCTTTTACAGGTTGGGTTTTGCTTCAAAGTATAAAAAGAAGTCAACAATAAATACAAGTACACCTACCAACCAAACATCAAATTTTTGCCATTAAAATCAAAACATAAATGACAGGACATACCGCAACGAATACGTCCCAAACTGCCTTGTCTGCATTTATACATTCTTGCACCGGATCCCAACCAAATCCTCTTAGCCCACGCATCATGACGGTCGAATGAAACCAGTGTTTCAGCTTCTTAAACCTATTCTGAATCGTAGGCTTTGCTTTTAGACCACATTCGGGCACTTTCTTCTCCATCATCTTTTGTATCTACTTAAACACACCGTTCTTGCAAGTTCCATTGGTGATGAATCCTCTCTCTGTCAGCTCCAACAAACATTCAGGAAGGGACCATCATGGGCGGTATCCTAGAAGTTGTATTCTGCTTTGGAGTCATCTCTCGTTTCCCCAACAACTTTCTTTCTCCTCCCCATACCTGAAAACATTCATACATGACATGGCATTTCTCGATGGCAGAATATAAACATGTAACTCATTTCCACTAGTAATAGCACGCAAAAGTGAGATAAACATGGCATAAGATAAACAGTTTGGCAATTTAAACAACATTACAAACCATGTTTTGGAGACATATGTCCTACATTACATATTAATAAAATGACAAAAGGGACAACTTGGTAGCATTCAATGTTTCTTCTACCAGATCTACCAAACAAACCATAAAGTTCAGCACCCTATTGCTCTGCCAAAACATGGAAAATTACAAAAGGTACCAAAACAAATCATAACATGTCTATCTATTTGCCCACATAGTAGTGGCCTTTTCATTGCGAAACTGGGTCCATTGTGCGCACGGTTTCATGCTAGTACCATCAATGGTCTCCACATCAATTGAAGGAATCTGTTCGGGCTCTTCGTCCTGGTAATTTCTTTCAATCTCATCAACCCCATATTCCATCTTGATAAAATTATGTATTATACAGCAAGCTATAACTATTCGGGACACTTGCTCTGGAGTGAACCATGTTGCATTTCTCAAAATGGCAAATCTCATCTTCAGAACTCCGAAAATGCGCTCTACTACATTCCTAGCATATGAGTGTTTCATGTTGGAATACTCATCAACTGTTTTTTGCCTGTTACCCCAATCTTGGAGATGGTATCTTTGACCCCTATATGGGGTCAAAAATCCAGGGCTGTTCGCATACCCGGAATAACACAGATAGTAATTTCCTTCATTCAAAAGTATATATAGATTCAGTTATGCTATTCATTGAACAATATCAAATGTAAGTTCCATTGAACTATATTCAAAATGTTGTACCTTCAGGCACAACACGGCCATTTGGTCTAGTGAGAGCATCCCGAAGCACCCTACTGTCATGAGCACTACCCTCCCAACTAGCAAGACAGTATATGAATTCCAAGTTGGGAGTGCAAACACCTAGAACATTCATAGAGATTTCACCCTTCCTATCTCAAGATCTAGGTTTGTCCTCAGTCAACAGACGAACATCAATATGGGTTCCATCTAGGGCTCCTAGGCACTTCTATTAACAGAAACAAATAGGTGTTAAAATATAGTGTTGTTAAACATAGCAAAGTTGAATAAAAAGATTGAAAAACATAAAATTTGACCTTAAAATGCTTCCACCTACTGCTGGTACAGTTGTTAGGAATAGGAACCGGCTTCTTCATGAGCAGATTGTTCAATCTAATAACATCCTACAGCACACGATGAATTGATCGAGATATAGTCTCACCAGATCGTCGCAAACCCAATTGCAAAGTCCTATTCTTCTCGTTATGTGAAATGGTACGGAGAAAGGTATAAATTATCTCATCAATGTCTACGTTCCTAGTTTTCTTCAACCCTCCTTCTACAATAAGAACCTCACAAAACCTTCTAAATAATGTACGATTCATCCTAACTTGGTCAAAGGTATAGGTGTCACTTAGTCTGGTTGTGTTTCTAAGGTGCCTTTGCCTATCATAGTGCCTAAACAAGTAGCTATCCAATGGTTGCCTAGCAAGTCGAGGTCTAGAGTGTCGTTTCTCTAAAATTTTAGCCAATTACATCCCTAGACTCACATATATCACAATCAGATTCATGAAAGCGCTAATTGCAGCAACCACTTGTCGCCTACGCGTCGGATTCAATGCGGACAAACGCGACATCCTTTACAAGACAGGAAATTTTGAATTAATCATTTACATGAAATCCGTAACTTTTATGGAACATCTTACTAAGCTTCCCAATGGTTTGCATTAAACAATATCTAGTGTTTCCAAAAACCATATTGAGAAGACCGAGCCATTTCATGAACATTGCAGAAAAGCACCCAAAACAAAATTGAAAGGGAAGCATATGGTTCCATAACAACAGTAAGTGGTTCCAAAACAGAACAATAAATGCCCCAAGAAACAACAACAAACCAATAAATCGACATCACAAATGGTTCCATAACAGCAGACCAAGCGAGTTGCCAAGAAAAACCCTCGGCCGAAGCCGAGAAGGAGAGCGCATCACAACACATAAAAATGAACCAAACAGAATAATCAGGAGAACAACACCCTTTTATTTTGTTTTCGGATTGAATGTACGCAAACTCCATAGATATAGGATATAAGATGAATCTTGTATTTAAAACCCTTTTCTAACCCTAAATCGGAAAATACTTTTGTGGAACATGGCAAGAGAGGGAGAGGAACACGATACGAGAAATAGATAAGAAGATTCACTCACCGACCCTAGCAGACGATCCGCTAACTCCGGCAGCTTCCTTGTGCTAATAGCAGGTCGATGACGCCAGCGATTGCTCTGTTCACTCGTGAGCGGTTCGCCAGGAGAGAGTGACGGGAGCAAGCAGAATGAGAAGAAAGAAGAAGCCAAAGGGGAGTCTGTCTCGATATGATGCAAGCAATGACAAAGTGGGGTTTCCAAAAATAAGCAAGGACAGAACTGGAATAAAAAAGCCCTCAAAACGCATTATTTATGAATAACTCCTCCCCATGTCGTATTCTAAATACTGCATTTATGAGTTATTTATAAATAACTCATGATCAAATAACGCATCTCATTATTTCCCACCCAAACGAGTTTTTTCGGTCTGAATAACTCGTTTGAATACCCCATCCAAAGGACCCCTAATAAAATAGGAAACAACAGTTGTGAGTGCAAGGAACAACTTCACTTGCTGACGTGGCATGTGAGAATTGGCCTAACATTGGATGCCGACGACGAGGTGGCGTTCCTAGCTTCAACATCAGTGGCTACTTTTTTTTTTTTTTGCCATTCAAAACCCCAGAAGCGGGGAATGAAAAAGATACATTATCTGAAAATGATCCAAAAGGATCCTTACATACATCGTAACCAAGAGACGAAGTCGAACCCCTTAAACATACGGGGCGACATGAACAGGGCATGACGAGCCACATAATGAGCTTCCCTGTTGTTAGAACGACCAATGAACCTAAGCGAGTAATCCAGTAAATCATCCAACAAGCAACATATTTCCTTAAGAAGAATATCGACTTTGGAATGGTGAAAATCTCTGACACAACACTTGTCAATTATGATCTTCGCATCCCCAGCCACACTAACTGAATGAAGATTCCTCCTCTGACATTCAAGCAAAAAGTCCCGCAACGCAAGTGCCTCCAACAACGCATACGCATTAAAACTCTGGCCCATTGGACATTGGTATCGTATTGGACAAAAAACCAAATTCAGTAAAATTTGGGTCTCTGGCTACCCACCATTCACAAGCCCATAGTTTCTGTCTATCTTGGACTGCTGTCACCTCACGAGTCCAGACCCAGAAATTCTTAGTCCACTCACCTCACTAGCCACCTGTCAAAATTTACTGCGACTTCAAACCATGATATTCGCTTCTTAGGCAAGCCAAACTGGCCACCTCCACCGCTCCCCACGACTGCGGTCTTGCTTTTTAAGTAAATAATAATTCGTTTAATTCACGTATTTATGGACACATGTATTTTTATGTGTTTAAAATTTTCGTTTCAGTATTATTATCAAATTGTTTTAGTTTTCGTTTTAAATATAACTAAACTATTGATTTAAATTTATCATAATTAATACGTATTTTACTAATTATACCGGCCCAATTTGGATCGAGTACAAGTTCAAGGGGAGAGTAGCGAGTATCGGCATTCGTCACCGAGTTGTGAGTCCTCAGTCGCGCACTTCACTGCACACTAGGATTTGCCGAATTGGAAGACAATACAGACGGAGAGAGAACTAAGCGACGCTGCTATACAAAAAGGTTACAACTGAGGAAAGAAAGAATCCATCCCAGCCCAGCCCTCCTACTTCTGCAGTGTTTCCATCAACGTCCACCACCACCGCCGATCATTCTCCAAGTTCCAAAAGGTTTCTCCTCCTCCTCCTCCGTCTCTTCTTGTTGTTATTCCTCCATTGTTGTTCATCAGATTTTTACTCTCCAATTTCGTAACTCTGCTGTTCCTAGGGTTTCCTTTCTTCCTGCATTCTCCTTTTCCCCACCACTCGTCTACTGTTTGCTTAGGGTTTTCGCTTTCTTATTGTAGGTTGGATTTTGATTAGGGTTCTTTCCGTCCCGTCACAGTATATTTTCTTTCTTTCTTTTCCGTTTGGTTTCCCTTTCTTCTAATTCTACTTCATCAAACCTTCTACGTTTTAAGTCATTCGCCGGTCAGGTTTGTACAGTAGCTGCAGAATGCAGTAGTTCGGTAGTGAAATTGTCGTGGGCTCCAGTTCGACTGCTTGTTTCTTGCTGGATCGAGTTTTCCTCACCATGACTATCTCTTACGTAGGTGTTTGTGATATACCGGACTTGGCCTCGTTGAGCGTATTGATCACCTTAGGAAAATGGCGAATTTGCAATTGACTGGTATTCTGGAGAAGGTATGAATACGATCTACCCTGCACAGTGTTAAAATCTGGGATGCTGAATTTTCTTGTTTGGCTGGCAGTCGGTTTTCATTTTGGTTGCGTTTATCTATCTATGTACAGATGACTGGAAAAGATAAAGACTACAGATACATGGCTACATCTGATCTGCTGAATGAGTTGAACAAGGATGGGTTCAAGACCGATGCTGACATGGAGATAAAGTTGACAAACATCATCCTACAGCAACTTGACGATGTTGCGGGCGATGTTTCTGGACTGGCTGTAAAATGGTACTTCACGTTTTCTTCTTACTTTTAGCTAGGTTATCTTTAATTTTTGGTACTTTACTGGTCATTATGGAATGCAGTTGGAGTATAGGACTGTACTTAAGTAGCTGTTTGATGCATACAAATTTAGGACCAAGTAAGTATATAGAAAGCTATGTGGCAGTCCATATTCTATGATATGCTGGTTCTCCTCGTCATGTATTTATTCTTTGATAATAAAGCTTCCTTTTATAATCTCTCTGTTCATCTGCCTTGATGATATGGTGTTACAGTCTTGCCCCATTGGTGAAGAAGGTTACTGATGCACGAGTAGCTGAGATGACTACTAAACTATGCACTAAGTTGCTGAATCCTAAAGATCAGCATCGTGACATTGCAAGCATAGCTTTGAAGACTATCATAGCTGAAGTTACTGTTCCGTCTCTTGCTCAGTTGATTCTCAACTCTTTGACTCCACAATTGATAAGCGGAATAACTAGTCAGGTGAGTAATTGAATGCATATGCATCGCAGGCGTTACCTTTGAGGATATCTGGTATTTATATTGTTGTCTTGGCTGCATCAGGGGGTGACCACAGAGATAAAATGTGAAGGTCTGGATATTTTATGTGAAGTCCTCCACAAATTTGGAAGTTTAATGGCTGCAGGCCATGAAACTCTCCTGGCTGCTCTTCTATCCCAATTGAACTCCGTTCAAGCTAGTGTTAGAAAGAAGACAGTTTCTTGTGTTGGTAAGTTTAAGTACTACATATTTATATCTTCAGGCCTGGGCTTTGTATCCTGTGCTATGTATCAACTGTATGAGGGATGTTTATCTAACTGGTTTCTATTTGGTTTGATAACATTATGCCAACTTGAACCTGTGGTTTTTGTTCTTTTCTACCTTCCACTTGGCTCATGTCCAGCTGAATTTACCTCCTCATAGACACTATATTCTTAGTTCCCATGTAGTTTATATTACTGGATTTTGCATAATATATATCTAAGGTTTCCAACATTCTTTTGTTTTCAGCTGCTCTTGCCTCAAGCTTGTCAGATGACTTGTTGGCCAAGGCAACTGTTGAAGTTGTTCAGAAATTGAGAAGCAAAGGTGTGAAGCCTGAAATTACTAGAACAAATATTCAAATGATTGGTTCTCTAAGGTAACCAGTGGTGCCCTGACGTGATTTGTTTATAAATAATGGCTAACGTTCTACCTAGTTCATTGCATTATCTGTTACATGGATCTTCTTAAATGAAATATTGTTGATTTGTGGACTTGAGAATTATGACATTGTTTTAATGGAAAAGAGAATTAAAGCGATCAAATTCTGTATTTGCTGTTGTTCTAGATCCTTTTAGATACTTACCACTCGTGTTGTTGAAGTTTTGGGTAATTATTATTAGTATTATAGTTTAAGTATGTATTCTCGATGTTATGTATTTTAACATTGACTTTAGGTATTGATTATTATTATGTGGTCCATAAGTTGGTGTAAAACCTCTTTTTATCCCAAATTCCACCGTTTTTCCTTTCACGTAGAGCCTTTATCTTGAATGCATTTGCTCTCCACGCTCTAAAGTGTTAGGACATCAGAGTGCGTGCATGTTTCTCTAAGTTGTAGTGTAGATTTTCTCTGCCCAAAAGATATTGATGTTTTACTCACTGCTTTGTTCTTTGGTTTCTCAGCCGTGCTGTTGGATACCGCTTTGGACCCCATCTTGGAGATACAGTTCCAGTGCTGATCAATTACTGCACTAATGCATCTGAGAATGACGAGGAACTTCGTGAATATAGCTTACAGGTAACACATATGCTTTATCAACTTCTTAGTTACTCAGAGTGTGTTTTTATTATTTTGTTTTGTTCACTTGTGCATTGTCTGGTTTTAACTTTTCGTTCCAGGCACTAGAAAGTTTTCTGCTCAGATGCCCCAGGGACATTTCTTCGTACTGTGATGCCATTCTACGGCTTGCTTTGGAATACCTAAGCTACGATCCCAACTTTACTGATAACATGGAAGAGGACACCGATGATGACACTCATGAGGAGGAAGAAGATGAGTATGTGTTCAATAAGCATAAGACTGATTTTCTGCTGTGCTTTTGGTGCCAGTGACAGTCTTATTTATGTCCAGCTTTTGATTACTTTGCAGTGAAAGTGCAAATGAATATACTGATGATGAGGATGTTAGCTGGAAAGTTCGAAGAGCTGCTGCTAAATGCTTAGCTGCACTGATTGTTTCTCGTCCTGAGCTACTGTCAAAGCTGTATTTGGAGGTATGACTGTGGTAGCCTGTGAATCTTTTTCAATCTGGGGAAAAATGTATTTTTCAAAGTTGATAAGTTTGCTTTTGGGGCATTGGGTGTATGGGTTTCCTAGAAATCTTTTATGCCACTAGCCTAGATTTCTTACATTTGTCCCCTGATTTGTGCAGGCATGTCCGAAAATAATTGATAGATTTAAAGAGAGGGAAGAGAATGTGAAGGTAATCTTTGATCAGTGAATGGTTGCCAATTCAGTATCATTAAGATTGTTGGTCAAGTCAATTGATTGAAATGAATTGCAGATGGACGTGTTCAATACATTTATTGAGCTACTACGTCAGACTGGGAATGTTACAAAAGGACAAACAGACATGGATGAATCAAGGTAGGATTTCCTAGCTTTAACCTGGAACTTCTTAAACCAAGATTCTGGAGCCTATTTGAGTCCATATAACAATCGTTGATTAAGGAAAATCATATGTGAACCACACTTTTAGTATCTCAAAAGACACTTTGCATAAGAAATATCCTAGCCATTGAAAGTTACCAAATTTTGAGGGGTCGGTATCAATTTAAAAGCTGTCAATTATTTTATCTGAATTGTTATTTTTGGGTAGTGCAAGATGGTTATTGAAGCAAGAGGTTCCAAAGATTGTAAAGTCTATTAATAGACAGTTGCGTGAGAAATCTATCAAGACAAAGGTAATGGTTGCATTATGTGTTTTAGATGAGTTAACATAAGCTCATTATAACCTAGCTTTGCCTCTGCAGGTTGGTGCTTTTTCTGTTCTGAAAGAACTGGTAGTTGTTTTGCCAGACTGTCTAGCAGAGCACATAGGATCACTGATTCCTGGAATTGAAAAGGCACTAAATGTAAGCAGGTTATATTATATCATATTTATTAATATGACTCGGTGGATTCACTTGCCTTATTCAAATGCTCTTGTAATTTTGTACAGGACAAATCTTCAACCTCAAACTTGAAGATTGAAGCTCTTGTTTTTACAAGATTAGTATTGGCTTCACACTCACCACCTGTCTTCCATCCATATGTCAAGGTAATTGGAGTTGGTTCACAAATTGACTTTCTCTGTTGAGCAATTGTCATGTGGACGTGACATAAATGCTGTTTTGTGTTTGATGGATGGATATGACACTTCAATTCCCCCTTTCCCTCTTCCTTCTGATGGATGGATATGATTGTCCAGTCTGTGTACTTTTTCTCATGGTTTTAATGAGCTTATTGAGCTTCTTTTACTGTATGAGCTTAATGCTAGTTTTCATCAGTACAGACATGAATCAAGGTAATTGGAGTTGGTTCACAAATTGACTTTCTCTGTTGAGCAATTTTCATGTGGACGTGACATGAATGCTGTTTTGTGTTTGATGGATGGATATGACATTTCAATTCCCCCTTTCCCTCTTCCTTCTGATGGATGGATATGATTGTCCAGTCTGTGTACTTTTTCTCATGGTTTTAATGAGCTTATTGAGCTTGTTTTACCGTATGAGAGCTTAATGCTAGTTTTCATCAGTACAGACCGGGTTTGACTTTTGTTGGGCTGTATGCACAGGCTCTTTCTAGTCCTGTCCTATCTGCCGTTGGTGAACGGTATTACAAGGTTACAGCTGAGGCTTTAAGAGTATGCGGGGAACTTGTTCGTGTCTTGAGACCAAATATTCAGGTTTGTTTTTTTGGACCTTCTTTATATTTCGTCAGTCTGTTTCACATTGACTAATTGGATTTCTGATTTAGGACTATGGTTTTGATTTCCAACCTTATGTTCACCCAATATATAAAGCCATCATGTCACGTTTGACGAACCAAGATCAAGACCAGGTTTGTAGAATCAGTTAAGTTTTCCCGACTTTGTGATGTCTTTTTGCATGTAATTGCATTCCTTATCTTTCTTCTTTTCCAGGAGGTTAAAGAGTGTGCTATTTCTTGCATGGGACTTGTCATCTCAACATTTGGTGACAGCCTCAGAGCAGAGTTGCCTGCTTGTCTACCTGTCCTTGTTGACCGAATGGGGAATGAAATTACTAGGCTTACTGCTGTAAAGGTAGTGTTGCATGATTGGTTGTGTGAATAATTAACTAGGACTTGTGTGTCAGAGCATAGTAGTGCTGGCTTCTAAGCTATCACAAGGTTGTGCATAAGAGATTTTAATTTGCTCGTTATTGTGATAGCTTATACGTGCAGTGTTACATGTTCAGGCTTTTGCAGTCATTGCGACTTCTCCTCTACGAATTGATCTAGCTTGTGTCTTGGAGCATGTGATTGGAGAGTTGACAGCATTTTTGAGGAAGGTATGTCGTTACTCGTTAATCTGCTGTTGCACAGATTAATTTTTTTTTTACTAGCTTTCTAGAAAATAATAATCTGAATCTTGCCTTGTATTTAGGCCAACCGAGCGCTCCGGCAGGCGACTTTAGGAACACTAAATTCACTGGTTTCTGCTTATGGAGATCTAATTGGTTCATCTGCTTATGAAGTCATTATTGTGGAGCTGTCAACGCTGATAAGGTGCTTTTTCACTAGGATTATAATCTTCTTTGTTTAATAATGAAGCTGAGTTTGGGACTTTGTGCATCATTAGAACCCTTATGATTGCATCTGATTTCCCCATTCCTTTATGTCCAGTGATTCAGACTTGCACATGACAGCGCTTGCACTTGAATTATGCTGCACCCTAATGGCCGATAGCAGATCAAGCCAAAGTATAGGTTTGGCCGTGAGAAATAAAGTTCTTCCCCAGGCATTGACTTTAATCAAAAGTTCGTTGCTACAGGGTCAAGCTCTCTTGGTAAATACTGCTGATACACCCCCATGAATCATCGTCTATGTTTAAAGCTTCGTGACGGACCTTTATTGATCCTTACTAGAAGCACACTATCTTTCTATGTGAACGAGGCATGCTCAGAGATCCATAAATTTGTTCTAAGATCACATCTATCATGTTATTGTCCTAATCTCTCTCTGGCTTGTTACTCTTCGTTTTTTTTAATGTTTGAATCATATTCTCTCATCTGCTTGAAACTGGCTTAGTTTGAATATGAAATCCAGTGAAACATGGCAGAAATAATAGGTGGACCCATCCTAGAATGGGTTTTGGTAAGACATGAAAGGCTTTTAGGTGATTGAGTAGAATAAAAATCTTCTCTATTGAATTTTTCTTTTTTTGATGCATGTATGTAAGAATAGACATTAATATGTTTTAAGTATAAGCGTATTACTGATTGCTGTTGTCAGTGTGCCTACCTAGTTTTCTTTAGGCATGCCTTGCCTACGGGTTTTAAAAACTGTGACTTTTAACGTTGCTACTGATTCAAGCCCTCTTTGATTTCTATGTTAAATATTATTCTCTTAAAGTTGGTGGTTGATTCTGAACCTTTAATATCTCATTCTGTAGGCCGTGCAGAACTTTTTTGCTGCTTTGGTGTCTTCCGCTAATACAAGCTTCGACACTTTATTGGACTCACTTCTTTCTAGTGCTAAACCAACTCCTCAGTCTGGTGGCATTGCGAAACAGGCATTGTATTCTATAGCCCAGTGTGTGGCAGTGCTTTGCCTTGCTGCAGGAGATCAGAAATGTTCATCAACAGTTAGGATGCTTACAGAGATCCTCAAAGATGACAGTAGTTCTAATTCTGTGAGTTCCGTTGTCCAGTAGATCTATCTTTGCTGTGATTCCAGTCATTGGTAAGTTTCTAATTGATCACTCTGTTCTGCAATTGCTTTTAGGCTAAGAAGCATGTTGCCTTGCTGTGCTTGGGGGAAATAGGGAGAAGGAAAGATTTAAGTGCACATGCTCATATTGAAACCATCATCATTGATTCCTTCCAGTCTCCCTTTGAGGAGATTAAGTCTGCTGCTTCCTATGCTCTGGGAAATATTGCTGTCGGTAATTTGTCGAAGTATCTACCGTTTATATTGGACCAGATTGATAATCAGCAGAAGAAACAGTATCTATTGCTTCATTCTCTCAAAGAGGTAAGTTAGTATGCTTTACTGAAATTTTTGCTGAAATTTTAGTTGATGTGACAAAAGTGATCTGTTTCAGTTAGTAACTTCTACTCTTTTCCCTTTGTAGGTTATTGTGAGGCAATCAGTTGATAAGGCAGAGTTCCAGGATTCTAGTGTTGAAAAGATACTGAAGCTGCTGTTTAATCACTGTGAGAGTGATGAAGAGGGTGTCCGAAATGTTGTGGCTGAATGCTTGGGCAAAATTGCTCTTATCGAACCTGCAAAACTTATCCCTGCTCTCAAGGTACCTGCTATAAGATTCCTTGCTTTGTTTTTGTGCAAGCTTTTTCATTTGTAGCCTGCTGCTTAGTAGAGCTTCAATCTTGTTTTCATATTCTATATTATATCATTGTAGGTGAGAACAACTAGTCCGGCAGCTTTTACAAGAGCAACAGTTGTGATTGCTGTGAAATATTCTATAGTTGAGAGGGCGGAGAAAATAGATGAAATTATATTCCCTGAGATATCCTCTTTCCTCATGCTCATCAAGGATAATGACCGGGTATGTTGTAGTTTCTCATTGGCGAAATAAGCAAAACTAAAAGAGGTTTGTAAGTGGTCTGGGATTATTGAGCCTTGATAGTTTGTTATTTTGCAATGTCCTATGCAGCATGTCAGGCGTGCGGCTGTGTTGGCCTTGAGTACGTTTGCTCACAATAAACCCAACCTGATCAAGGGAATTCTTCCTGAATTATTGCCACTTCTCTATGATCAGACAGTAGTTAAGGTAAAGCTTGAAAACTTGGATCTTGTATCATGCTAATAGTAGTTTCTTTTTTCTTTCAAACTTCTGAATTCCAAACTTCTGTTTTATGCAGAAAGAATTAATACGAACGGTCGATCTTGGGCCTTTCAAGCACATTGTGGATGATGGATTGGAGTTGAGGAAAGCTGCTTTTGAATGTGTAGATACATTGTTGGACAGCTGTCTGGACCAAGTAAATCCGTCGTCCTTCATAGTCCCCTATCTGAAATCTGGCCTCGAAGGTACTGAAATGAATTCTCTCATGAGTATCCCTTCCCCATTTATGTGTCATTTGCCTCATTAATTGGCTTCGGCATAAAATATGAGGAGTTGCTTCTTTTGTTTCAAACTGAAATAATATTTTTGTTTGTTAGAGAAACTCTTGTTAGATAAATCCTCTCCGTTCTATGCTGACGAGATGAAACTAGTCTACTGCCAATGAGCTAATTTTCTGGATGTTTGCAGATCATTATGATGTGAAGATGCCTTGCCACCTCATCCTATCCAAACTGGCGGATAAATGTCCATCTGCTGTGCTTGCAGGTATGTGAGGGCTAACCCTAAACAATGGAATTAAATGAATTTTTTTACATGCTCGAAACCATCTGATTGTGGTTTGAATATCCAGTCCTGGACTCATTGGTAGATCCTCTTCAAAAAACTATCAATTTCAAGCCAAAGCAAGATGCTGTGAAGCAAGAAGTTGACCGTAACGAAGATATGATCCGCAGCGCTCTTCGAGCAATTGCTGCTCTGAATCGGATAAGGTGGGTTCTTTCCCTTTTCCCATTTCATGCATGTATGAAAGTATTTATTAGAAGATGCATCCACATTGCCGTGAAAGTGTGTAGCGTCTTCATGTGAGAGAGATCTAATGAAATGAACCTTTTGTGTAGAATTGTAGCTGATCTTTAACTCTGGGTTCTTTTTCCCGTTTGTGTGTTGGCAGTGGCGGTGATTGCAGCCTTAGATTCAAGAATCTGATGAGTGAAATCGGAAAATCACCAACACTCTCGGACAAGTACTACTCAATCAGGAACGAGTAGGAATGAAGGAAGGGACTCTTTGTGGACTGCTGTGCCTGGGGCTAATATTTTGCATGGAAAAGATGAAGAGTTAAACCACTAGTGTGATGCTTGCCTGCCTCCTGCTGTAACTGTTGTGCTGCGGAAGGGTGTAACCAAAGTAATTGGAGTTCTGAATTTTGAAGGAAGAGCTTTTTTTTCTAGCGCAAGAGCGCGACAGAACGATCCGGTCCCTTACTGTTTTGGAGGATCATACCATCTGCTTTCATGGAAGGAAATCCTCACTCTTGGGGTGGCTGGATGTATAGGGAAAGGTCGAGACAGATGTGGTTTCTCCTCCTCTGTTGGTCGGAAAACTGAACTCAGCTGTATGAGATTTGATGCCGAATGAAAAGCACACTTTTTCTTGTCATGTTGAAAGACGAAACAGGAGTGGCTGGGTGATTGTTTACTACCCACCCATCTGGTTGTAGGAGCAGTCCACTGACAGACAAACAAGTTTAGTATATATGATTCTCGGCTGCCAATTTTTTCACTGGGTTGTTAAATTATACGAATGAATCCGTTTGCCTTTTTCGATCTATAGCAGGCTTGATTATATTTCCCGTTATGAGATGCAATTCCGTAATCTCGAGCCTTGCTCGCTTATCAACGAGTTAAACTCGAACTGACTCATTTATCAAAACGTTGGTTCGTCAATATCATGAGTTTAACTCGAGCTCAAACCTGCTCCTGAACAGTTTAGCTCATTAACATTCCCAACTAGCAACCCAGTAGTATTACTCAACCCAAAACTTGTAAAACCTGGAAAAATGGCCGGTTTCACAATTCTGTCAATTCGCGGGCTAACGGAGCGCCGGCCAAATGTCAAACGATGTCGTTTAATGCAGCAGAGGAAAGTGATAAAAGAAAAATGCAAAAAAAAAAAAAAAACCGAAAATTGATTCGTCTCTCTCGGCAATCGGCATCGTCTTCCCCGTTTTTCATTTCAGTTCAGTCTTCAGTCCCAAATCGTATCCCTAATTTTTCTTTCTTCGTCTCCCCCACACGGCAGCTGTGGCGGCATCCGACCATCACCAGCCCTCTCACTCGCTTCGCCGGCATCGTCTCGATCAGTCACTCTAGCCGCTCGCCTTTCCCCGATTCAGGCTCTCCCCTGCTCTCCAATTCCCCCGCGCGGCCCACTCTTTCTCAGTGTTACCTCTCCACTAAGCTTCGCTTCCACTTCGACATCCTTCCGCGGTCTCCTCGCCCCCCGCGAAGGTAAGCTTCCTCTTCCCCCAACCCTCTGCCATTCGTCTTCCTCCCAACCTTAACATTTCTCCTCGCCATTTCCAGGACACAGTGTATCAACATTTCCGCCGCCTCCCCTCCGCCGAGAAGTATTGGGAACTGACAAGTAGGGAGAAGAAAGACCAAACTATGCAAACAGCTTGTCATCTCCGTCCAATTTTTCACTTGCCCAACCGGTATGCTTTTCTAGGTTCGCCTTGTTTTTGTTAGAGTTCGAATTTTGTGGCTCTGTATTGTTGGGTTGAAATGTGGAGATTTTGTGATTGTTGGTTGGCAGAAGGGTTGTTGTAAAGCCAAATGGGTGGACAAAAGTCGGAAACTTGAATTGTGACAATCTGCGCTTCACCAGAAGAACAGAACTGTACAAGTTCCCATCACAAACCACATTTGATGCAGTATCTGAAGCAAATGATGGGCATCTTCTCTCTGCCTCTATGGTGGAAGAAGTTGAAAACACAAATCACGCCCCAACTCAGGAAGAAGCGCTGCCTTCGTTCGACAAATGGTCCCCTCCTGAATACCTGTGGAGGGGATTTTCAGTTTTTGTGTTGGCGGGTCAGGTAATCTCGAGGACTTTAAAGGGAAAAGTTCATTGGAGGAATACCCTGCAACAACTGGAGAGAGTTGGACCGAAGTCAGTAGGGGTATGTCTCTTGACTGCTGCTTTCGTTGGCATGGCTTTCACCATTCAATTCGTTCGAGAGTTCACAAGATTGGGCTTAAATAGAGCTGTCGGCGGTGTCTTGGCTCTAGCATTTTCACGGGAGCTTAGCCCTGTGGTCACGTCAATTGTGGTTGCTGGACGAATGGGAAGTGCATTTGCTGCGGAGCTGGGGACGATGCAGGTATCCGAGCAAACCGACACTCTGAGGGTGCTTGGAGCAAACCCGGTTGATTATCTGGTCACCCCACGAGTGATCGCTTCGTGCATTGCTCTACCGTTCCTGACTCTGATGTGTTTCACCGTGGGGATGGCATCCAGTGCCTTGCTAGCGGATGCTGTTTACGGGGTCAGCATCAACATTATCATGGATTCAGCTCATAGAGCACTTAGATCGTGGGACTTAATTAGCGCAATGATCAAGTCCATGTGTTTTGGTGGTATCATATCTACTGTGAGCTGTGCATGGGGAATAACAACGATTGGAGGTGCCAAGGGTGTGGGGGAGTCGACAACTTCAGCCGTCGTCATCTCTCTCGTGGGCATCTTTGTTGCTGATTTTCTGCTCTCTTCCTGTTTCTTCCAAGGAGCTGGGGATTCTCTCAAGAGGTTATAGTTCTCCATCTATTCTTTCTCCTAGTATAGAAGAACTTACTGCTTTTTTACCTTGTAGTGTACCCTGGTAGTCAAATGTTAGATGCTGCCTCTTCCCTGTGTTGTTGCCTGGCATGTTCTTGTTTATCAGATGAATGCACAATTAGCTTTGCCAAGTCAAATGTTACTTGGAGATGCTCCAATTATGATCCAGAACCCGTATGCGAGGTTGTATTGGAAAAGTTAGTAATAGATTATCTTTTTGTTGATTTCCTAGTTAAACTGGGGTCGATCGTTTCGTACTGCTAAAATTGTCTACCAATTTTAGTTCCGATAGGAGGGTTTTCCGATCGAACTACCGGTTCATAGGATACCTGCATTTCTAAATATGACGGATAGAATATCTCCATTACGCCCCCATCAACGCGCGTGTAAAACACCAGGCAACACGAAGTCTCCCTTCTGGTGCGCGCGCTGAAATTTTCCCGCAACTATAACTAACGCCAAGCAGTAACAGACACACAACAAAGTGGGGCCCACCCCGGCCACCGCCCCACCCGTCGCCGTCACTGTCACTTCTACAGCCAGGAAAAGACATTTGATTCTCCGATTAAGAATCCATCCATTCCCTCGTTGACCGCCCATCTCCTCTCTTCTCTTCCCTCCTCAACCCCATGTAGCCAAATTCACAACCCCACGAAACCTGAGAGATGGGCAGCCGCCGCCTTGATTTAGCGCTTCTTTCTTTTGGGTTGCTGCTGTCCATCTCCGCCGCGGCCGCCGCCGCCGGCGGATCATCATCATCATCATGCCCCATGGACTTCAACTATGTTTCGAGAATCCCATGGAACAGATCGTCTTGTGAGAATTACAATCTCCCCAGACCCAGTTCCGACAACGCCACTTCTCAATCGGAAATAGTCAGCAGAGACCCTTGCTGCCGGACTCTGCTTTCCCTGTTCGGTATATCTCTGTCTCTTCATCTCAAAGAAACTTCCCTTTTCCATCTTTCCGACTTGCCCACTTCCGTCGCCTGCCTCCGCGACTACCAAGCCAAGCTCAACTCCTTGGGTCTTTCCAACAGTGGTGACCTCGTCTCTTATTGCCTCGACCCTCAGAGCTTTGTGATATCGCCGAACGTCTGTGCTCGAATTCAGTCGAGCGGCGATTGGGTTAAAGCGGTTGGTTCGTCGACTCCGCTCGACGCGGCTTGTAAAGGCGACCTCACTGATCTGACCGCTTGTGATTCGTGTGTGGCGGCTGGGTTCAGGGTGCAGTCTTCGTTGGTGTCGATCGATGGGGATAAGTCTCATGCCACTAGTTGTTTTTACTTTGCGATTCTCTATGCTGCTGGGGTTATCAACAAATTTGGGCCAGAGAGTTATGGTGCTGTGTCGTGTATTTTTGGGTTGGATTTGGTTTCGAAACTGGGTTCGTCTCATAAATCTCGGTTCCCTCTTGTAATTGGTTTGACTAGCTCTGCTGCTGCTGTGATTGCCATGTCTAGTTTGGTTGGCTTCTGTTTTTTGCATGATAGGAGGAGGAAGAGGAGGGGAGGAATGGAGGAGGGGTCTGGTCATGGTTCTGATGCAGAGGAGCGGCGATCTAGGCCGAGATTGAGGCCGAATACGGGATCAATCTGGTACAAAATTCGTGATCTTGAGAAGGCAACCAGTAGCTTTTCACAGAAGAACTTTATTGGCAGGGGAGGGTTTGGAATTGTTTACAAAGGGGTGCTGTCCGATGGGACAACGGTGGCTGTCAAGAGGATTTTGGAGTCTGATTTTCAAGGTGATGCAGAGTTTCGGAATGAGATTGAGATTATCAGCAATCTCAAGCACCGGAATTTGGTGCCGCTTAGAGGTTGTTGTGTGATTGATGGAGAAGAGGATCGTGATACGGTAGAGAGTCAGAGGTATCTCGTTTACGATTACATGCCGAATGGCAATCTTGATGATCATTTGTTTCCTGCAGCAGGGAAGGAGCCACTGAGCTGGCCTCAGAGGAAGAACATAATTTTGGATGTGGCTAAAGGGCTAGCTTACTTGCATTACGGTGTGAAGCCTGCGATTTACCACAGGGACATTAAGGGCACTAATATACTGTTAGACGGTGAAATGAGAGCAAGAGTTGCTGATTTTGGTTTGGCCAAGCAGAGTAAGGAAGGCCAGTCTCATCTTACTACTAGAGTTGCTGGAACTCATGGCTACTTAGCCCCTGAATATGCCCTGTACGGGCAATTAACCGAAAAGAGCGATGTCTACAGTTTCGGGGTTGTTGTACTGGAAATCATGTGTGGAAGAAAAGCACTGGATATGTCATCTTCAGGTTCTGCGCATGGGTTTCTGATCACTGACTGGGCTTGGTCCCTAGTGAAAGCTGGCAAACTAGAGCAAGCTCTGGATCCTTCCTTGTTGAGGGGCGGAGGCGAGGATTCTTCGACTTCGAATCCAAAGACGATAATGGAGAGATTTGTGCTGGTCGGGATTCTGTGTGCTCACGTTATGGTTGCTTTAAGGCCTACCATCTCAGATGCATTGAAGATGTTGGAAGGGGATATCGAAGTTCCACCGGTTCCTGATCGGCCATTGCCTCTATCGCACCCTTCTTTCTCCACGAATAGCCATGCCTTCAGCATCTCTCCGGCGTTGAGTGGCCCGCAATTATACAGCAACGACATGCTGAGGTAAACGTACAACTTTCGTGAACCCTGAGGCTGGTTTCAACATGTGACCTCAACTTGGAACCAATGAGTTGAGTCTACCATGCCTATGCATGTTTTAAGCACACCTCCGATTAAGAGGTTTAGAAGCCTGCTAATTCAGCAAGAATCAGTTCGTAGCTCCTGACATGCCGTGAAGTACAAACTACTGGAGAAATTCAGCAGACATCTGATGACACTAACTTGATTTTGGATGCACACAGGAGCAAGTATGTCTGGTTTGCACTCCAAGGATTGGTGACGAAGAACCCATTTTCGGACACTTAGTTTGGTTACTGTCACAGGATGCAGTGGTTAGGAAAAGTTAATAATGCATTTGCTGTTTTACGTAGATCATTTTGATATTCAGAAGTGTACATATATGCAGTAGTACAATTGATAACTGTTCGTTGTTTATAGAAGATACGTCAAATAACTTGCCACTTGCCTATTATGAGCGCCTCAAATATATATTTACACTGAGGCAAAATATCAGCACCTCCAACAAATCTTGCCCCTTGCCTATTCTATTCTATCCCATCCTTGAATGGACCATCATCGCGTAACAGCTTCATTACCAGCTCAACCTGTAAAGGAAATCATTCAATCAATCATCACGAATGATATGAAAAATAAAATGCACTAAGAACTGTCCCTCTTATATAATCCAGCCACCTGAGACGATTCTCTGACTAAGAACTGCTGTATGGCTTTCCGGAAAGATTCATCTGTCAGGTAATGGCAGCTGTACGTCGGCACTGGTAGATAGCCGCGCTGAATCTTATGCTCACCCTGAGCTCCAGCCTCCACAGTACTCAAATTGAGCTCAATCGCTGCTTCCATTGCCTGCACCACAATACCACGAGTGGGTAAAAACAGGAAAAAAAGGGAATTTATCACTCATTGCCCTGGATGGATATTGCTTCTACCAATGGAAGGGGTTTGCACTTCCCGTTTTACCTGGTAATAACATGCCTCGAAATGTAGACCCGGATAGTAGACTTTCGGGTCGCAACCCCATAGGCGTCCGAATAGTGTGTCTCCGCCGATTAGATTAAGTGCCCCTGCAACGATTTCATCCCCTTGTTCAGCAATGACAAGCAGGACTTGATCTCCCATCTTTGATCCCATGGTGTGGAAGAAATCTCTTGTCAGGTATGGAGTGCCCCACCTGGGAGAAAGCAAAAGGTTGGTACGCTTATATCATGACTTACAGTTGACCAACTTCATTTGCTTATAGCGCAAGTTTGAATCAAATTGTTAAACAAAAGAGAGGTGGTGTGAGTAGTATACTTGTTATCGGTGGTGTTTCTGTAGAATGTGTAGAAAGAATCCCAATGACTTGCCTGCCACAAGATGGATATACCATTACTGCATTCCTCATTATGAAAAAGCCAAAGGAACTGAAGAGTGAACAGGACAAGGCATACATGGCAGTCAAATCAAGGTACCTTTATCTCATAACCTCGGAGCCGTTTCATGGTGAGGTTTTGTGTAGAGATCTGCAAGTATAATTAGCTCAGGCTCCGACAAAAATCTTACCTAGCAGAAGAACGTGAAGTGAAAGAAAAACCTTTTTACGCTCTTGGCGAATGTTTTTCCGTTTACTTTGCTTCATATCCATCAAGAATTCATCGAAACTGCAGTGTGCCAGTGTCAAGGGAAATGCTTAAGCATGGGAGAAAATTGATCAAAACACAGAGAACCACCACACCCAATCATTCTGAATGCATGATCACTAATTTTAAGTCTTAATACTCTAGAATAGGAGTGCAGATTTGACGATTGAAACTGATATGCTAGTAGACATATATCATCATTTGAACATAAAAAGTTTGCCTAAAGCATTTGATATTTGGTGCTTAGAGTTCAGTAACTTCAGTGCTAGACCAAAGAAAGAGTAGAGGAATGCTCAAGTGAACAGTGCGACAACGTCACTTACTTTTTATAGTTGCGATTTTTCCAGTGGTATTGCATTCCAATCCTCTGAAGGAATCCGTTTTCCTTAAATCTATGCCACTCTTTCTCTGTCGGAAAGGTAATATGTAATGAAGAAAGCTGGGACTGCCAATACAGAAAAAACCATATTATTATTGTGGTAGTTAATTTCACATGAATATGATAAATACTGTGCTGCAAACTTGGGCCTATGCTCTGTTAGCAATAGTTCATTCTGCATTAAGTGCTGACAAATCCAAGGAACCAATACCTTGGTTGTCAGGTCCTTGAGAGTGGAAACAATAACATCAAACACTTGATCTCTTAGTGAGGTATTACGAATTAGAATCCTAGGACCAGTGACTGGAGTGAAAGGTACACAGGATTGAAACTTGGGATAATATCTTGTTCCAAAACCATAATAGGCATCAGCCCAAGAATGATCAAACACAAATTCTCCATATGAATGGCTGCAGAACCCAAACCAGAAAAAGATGAGAAAGCAAAAAACCGCAAGGAGCAACCAAATACTAAGAACAGTAGAAGAAGCTGCATGAAACTCTGTTAGATTATCAACCTTTTGAGATAAAGTGGAACAACACCTAGAACACCACCATCTGCATCCTTCGCAACAATGTGGCTAGGAACCCATCCAGTCTCCTGGAAATTAAATTAGTAAAGTGGGAATTTTCAGACTCAACAAGAAAGGAAATAAATAGAGTTAAGTAGAACAGTTAAGGATTCTCATTTCAATATAAAAATTTAGGATTTTCAACCTTGACTGCACAGCCTGTCTCTTCCAAGCTGGAAAGGAACCCATGGGATAAAAATGGATTATACTTCTCAGCGCCCGTAGAATCAAGATTGCATGCATCCCAAGCATCTGCTGAAACCTCGGAGATCGAAGAAATAAGTGAAAGCGAAACCTTTTTGGATACCCTTTGCTCTTCTGAGGCTCGCTGAGTTCAAGCAGGAGTCAAAACGTTAGCTCAAAGATAATAATAAGGGGTACAAATGCAAATATAGGTTACATGGTGGAACCCTTCAAATGCAAACACCTCTGGTTCTGACACTGTTATCGTGAAATCACCTAATGAAAGGTCCAATCCCTTTGGTTCCACAGACTTCTTTGCTCCCCAAAATATTGCACTGGTTTTAGATGCCTTCCCTGCGTTCTCAGCCTGGCCAAAGGACGATAAACATTTCCCCTAATGGACAAAATAAGAGCTGGTTAAGGCTATACAGGAACTGAAACATGAAAGCATATAACAATCCGGAAACAAAATCTAAGTTACAGTAGAAAAAAGCTGCCAGAAACTTCAGTTGGAATCAAAAAACTAATCTCAAACCAATTGAGTAGATAAGCTTCCGTTGGAGAGCTTAAACCACTCCGTTCAATCAACCCTTCGATATGGCTGAAATTCCAAGAACAAAGTCCAACTCGGACAAAAACGAACATTCCCAGAACATGAAATTCCCAAAATTCCACATCAAGCACTTACAGAAACATCTATCATGAAACCGACCTGCTGATCTCATGCACACAGTACAAATGCGTTCAGAAAGTAAGATCAGCAGGAGAAGCAGAAGCCTTACAAAGTGAGATGGGAATTGGCCCAGAAATGGCGAAGGCTTGCAGTAGCAGTAGCTCACTGCCACCGCAGCAGTTGCCATGGCCACACACGCTGACACACCCTCACCTCTCCACTTCCGGATTCTCCCTTTCTTCTCTTCCAACGGCCAAGGAACAAAGGAAGAACCAGTGAGTGGGTGAAAAGAAATTAAAAATGCAAGAAAAAATACAACAATAAACGGATATTTCATATTGGGTTGGGCTAGAGCGCAGAAGTCTGGAGCCCAGAACGGAAGATACGGTGCCGTTTTGGCTTCATCGTCTTCGTACTGTATTGGAGTACCCACACACACTAGACTTTCGTCTTCAACTTCAACCGCCGTCGGCAGGCAGGCTTGTAATCCTTCCCTCCTCGGCATTCCTGAGCCAGCCACCGTATTCGAACTCCGGCAAACGCTGGAAGGTATGCTCTTTCTTGAAGAAAGGAACCTTTTTTTTGCCATCTGGGTTTTTTTTTGTTCTTCCTGGTATTGTGTTTATATACTCGAGTTGGTTAGTTCTCCGTTGTTGTCGTAGTTTGAGCAGGTTTTTATCGAATAAAATTGAATATGTTTGTTGGGAAATTTCAGCTTCTCTCATCCTGAAACTACTCCAGCTCTCATCTTTTCAGTGACCATTAGCACTGATGTGTAGCTATATGTCTGAGATACAATTGCTTCCTTCTTCTATATCAACCCTTTCCGTTGTTCTTCTTGTTCAACTTGGAATCGTTAGTTACGTGACTTACGTCATCTCCGAATGGCTATTAATTTTGTGCGTTGTGGTGATCAGAGTTGCTTGGCAAGAAATGACGGTGGAGAAATTGCAGATGCCAAGAGTTCAATTCCATATCTGAAGCTTCAGTCATGAGAAATCAAAAGCAATCCCTCCAATGCTTGCACGGAAACTTCCCTGCCATCTCTTCTTCAACCGGTACAGCGTTTCATATATTCGTGGTTATTCAGGCTATCACTTAGCTAGAGGTTACTTGAACTCTCATATAAACTCCTTTCTCTCCAACCAAACCCCTGCTACTCTGCAGCATCTTCTGCAATCCCATGCTCTCATTATCACCACAGGAAATGCAGGGAATGTATTTGTATCATCAAAGCTCATCGCTTTCTATGCAGCTTTCAACCAAACCCGTTGCTCCAGACAAATTTTTGAGCTGGTCGACGAGAAGGACACATTTCTTTGGAACTCCATTATCCACTCTCACTTCTCGAATGGTAATTATGCTGTGGCATTCGACTTTTATATCCGGATGCGGTTGCATAATCCATCACCCAGTCAGTTCACTATTCCCATGGTTGTTTCCTCCTGTGCTGAGCTTCAGTGGCTGAAGGAGGCGAAAACTGCACATGGTTTAGTGGTGAAGTCTGGCCTTTTCATGGGGAACTCAGCAGTCTGGTCATCTTTTGTATACATGTACGCAAAGTGTGGGGTCATGGATGATGCATCTCTTGTGTTCAACGAAATTTCTGAAAGAGATGTAGTGTCATGGACTGCTCTTATAATAGGCTATGTACAGAATGGTCAGAGTGAAAGGGGTCTAGAGTGTATCCGTGAGATGCATGGGAATGATCTCGATGGAGAGAGAATGAATTTTAGGACACTTGAAGGAGGATTTCAAGCCTGTGGGAATTTGGGTGCTTTGATTGAAGGTAAGTGTTTACAGGGTTTTGCTGTGAAAACTGGACTTTGGTGTTCGCAAGTTATTCAGTCTTCCCTTTTGTCAATGTATTCCAAGCTTGGAAGCGTCGAAGAAGCTCTCGATTCTTTCTCCGAAGTGTTCAATAAGGACCTCTTCTCATCGACATCAATTATAGGAATTCATGCTAGGCTAGGACTTATGAATGATTGCATGTCCTTGTTTTGGGATATGCTAGCTGCTGGCTTGCATCCAGATGGGATTGTTATGAGTTGCATGCTTCTGGGTTTTGGTAATTCATCGAGTGTGACTGAAGGAAAAGCTTTTCATTGTACTATCATAAGGAGAAACTTTGCCCTAGATCAGATTGTCACTGATGCATTGCTATCTATGTACTGCAAGTTGGGACATATAAGACCAGCAGAGAAGCTCTTTCATAGGCTAAACAAACAGAATACTGAGTCTTTAAACTCCATGGTTTGTGGTTATGCCAAGGCGGGAAGGGAAGACAAGTGCATAGACCTTTTCAGAGAGATGCAAAAACTGGGCTGCAAACCAGATCCCAACACATTGGTCTCTGTAATCTCTGTGTGTTCACAGATGGGAGCAACTGCCACCTTTTGCCGCTCCTTACACTGTTATAGTATAAAGAATTTCATGGAAGACGATAACTCGGTTGTCAATTCAATCATTGACATGTATGGAAAGGATGGTAAGTTAACCATTGCAGAAAGGATTTTTCGTGGGTCTCAAAAAGATGTTGTCTCTTGGAACACAATGATCGCAGTATACTGTCATGGCAAGTGTTTTGTGGAGGCAATTGCATTGTTTGAGGAAATGGTACAGCAAAATGTTAACCCTAACTCTGCCACATTTGCAACGGTGCTCTCTGCTTGCTCTCATCTTGCTGACCTTCAGAAAGGGGAAATGGTTCACCGTTTGATTAAGACCGATGAGCAAAATGTATCTCTTGCAACTGCATTAGTCGACATGTATGCCAAATGCGGTCGACTCAACAAATCAAGAGAAATATTCAACTCAATGAAAGTCAAAGATTCCATTTCCTGGAATGTTATGATATCAGGGTACGCAATGCATGGAGATGCAATATCTGCAATCGAGATATTCGAGGAAATGGAGGAGCAGTCGAATATCAAGCCAAATTCCCTAACGTTCCTGTCTCTCCTTTCAGCTTGTGCACACTCGGGTCTTGTTGAGGAAGGGAAGCACCTATTCTGGAAAATGAAACAGCATTCTGTGAGGCCAAATCTTAAGCATTATGCATGCCTTGTGGACCTTCTTGGAAGATCAGGCGGTTTACTTGAGGCTGAAGAGTTGGTTTTGTCAATGCCCATTTGTCCTGATGGTGGCGTCTGGGGTGCTTTGTTAGGAGCTTGTAAGATTCATAACGACGCCATAACAGGGATAAGGATAGCAAAGCAAGCGATTAAGACGGATCCGAAAAACGATGGATACTATATAGTATTGTCTGATATGTATAGCTCCATTGGAAAGTGGAAGGAGTCGGAACGAGCAAGAGAGATGATGAAGGAACAGGGTATAGAGAAGACTACTGGATGGAGCTTTGTGTAAGCTTTTCGACCAAGAAAGAAGGTCTACTGCCAAAGTTGGCTTGAATTACAATTATCTTATTGCAGCATAGGATTCCTGAAGTACTTCTCTTGTACATAAAGAGTAAAAGCTAGAAGATAGAAGAAGAAGAATCGCCTAAATCATGGACTACCTTTCTGAGCTAAATATAAGAACTTCAACAAGCAAGCTGTAGCACCATGATTTTTTTCACACGGTAAGAGAAGCACCGTTGTCTGCACCAGTTAGATTGAGAATCATGGTAGCTGCCTTCACTGCCCTGATTAATCAAACAGTTGGCCGTCAGAACAGGGAAATTTGAAAGGGTGACTTTTGATAATTTGGCATTGAATTCTTTATAAGCTATAAACAAAGCTTGGTGGTTGGTCTGGTGAGACTGCAAATAAAGAGTTGGATACCATGTATCTGGAGCCTGGTAAAGAGAAGCTGAAGTGCCAAAGCATGAGGAGAGCATGTCTGTGTGGATCACTCCTGGATTGAGTGCAATGATTGCCATCCCATCAGGCAACTCTTTTGCCACTGATCTTGACAAACCTTCGATCGCCCACTTCGATGCACAATAAGGTGCAACCTGAGACAAACAAACGTCATAGCAAAGAAGAATTTCAAGATGAGCAGACTTTGGTCAGTAGAAGCAAAAGGCATGCAAACTGGCTTCTTTGATCATCAATTGCTCTCTTAGTTCCCCTATCTTACTTTGGCATTTGGATACTCCATCCTCATCCATGAAAATGAAGGTTTACCATTTTCCAATTTCCAATTGTGTTGTTGAATTCAGGCCTACTTAATCTTAAATGTAGCAGTCCAATGATTTGGCTTTCTGCATTGAATCTCCATGGAAACTTACCACCCTACTTAACTTTAGTATGCTTGACAGGTTCAACTTCCATTTCTGAATACAGAACTGCAGAAAGCAAGAGAGAAAGCAGAAGAAATAGGTAGTACCAGTGCAGCACCGGATCTTCCCCATCCAGAGGACATGTTGACAATAATCCCTTGCTTGTTGGGAAGCATCAGAGGGATGAAATGCCGCAGCACATTCGTCGCCCCTTTCACATTCGTATCAATCACAGCATCAAATTCCTCCTGCGGCACCTCCCATATCTTGTTGTTCTGGTTAATAGTTCCCGCATTGTTCACTGCAACAACCCCCAAAATTTAAACCAATGAGATCAAGAAAAGGAAGGTCAAAAGGCTCCCCCAGTTCCTGAAATGGAGTAATGATGAGAATGGAAACAAACCTATGATGTCAGGAACCCCCTTCTTCTCCATTACCACTCGAGCGAGCTCTGCCACACTACTGTCGGACCTCTGGTTTTACGTCGAGCACGAGGAATTAGGGAACACGGAAATGCAAGCGGGTGGGAGAAAAAAGAAAGGGCAGTAGAAATTTTTACGATGTCGGCGTTAAGGAGGAGGTGGCGGTCGGAGGAAGCGAGGTCGGAGATGAGTGCATTCAGCTTATCTTGAGTTCGGGAACACCCGATTACCGTATGCCCTCTCTTCGCCAATTCCACTGCCAGCGCTCTACCCAGTCCTCGGCTCACTCCCGTTATCAGTACCTTCTTGGCCCCGCCGCCGCCGCCGCCGCCTCTGTTCACTAAGCCGAAAGACGAACCAGCCACCGCCGCAGCCGCCGTCATCGCGAAAAAAAAAAACAAACAAATTACTCTTCCCCGTTCAGTAGGTCGCTCCTTTCATCCAACTAGTACAAACAACGGGAAAACTCGGGAATAAAGCCCCGTCGGGCGCCGACGATGATGGACGAGAAAAGAATTCCGTTTTCGCTTTGGAGGGAGGAGAACGAAGCAAGAAGAAACCCCCCGAAGAGATAGACTACCGTATTACGTCTGCGAGGGTTGCGTTTTATGGAAACCGCTAAATCAGAAAGAAGAAGAGAACCCTAGCGATGTCAAACATTACTCCAACGGTCACTCGCTATTGCAGTTAGCGGTTCTCATTTCCCCGCCCTGCCCAGCTTCTAAAGCGCGCGCCTTTCCGCCATAGATGAGCTCTGGTATAAAAAGAAAAGCTGTTTTTTTTTTCTTCATTTCAATCTTCAAAGCTGTTGAATTTCGAGAGAGTTCGTAGGGCTAATAGTTTTCCCTATCTTCTCCTTTTGTTCTTGTAGAGAAATGTCGACCTCCAGACACGGCAGACAGGGTGGTACTCTGATGTGTGTTACTGGAACGGGAGGATGGCAAATGAACCGAACGGGTTTCGATACGAAGGAGCTACACCGAATCCCATTAGGGTCAGCTGCGAGATGACGTAGGAGGAATTACTCGACAAGATTTGCAAAATCACAGGATTCGACCAGCTATGTTTCAGTCCAAAGAGCACTTGTAGTATCCGGCTTGCAGAGAATTCATACCTGTTCCCATAGAGAGACTAACGATTCCATGATTATCAGGTCAACGATGAACGTGGGTTGTGATTGCTACTTAGAACTCATTCTTAACCCATGAACAATGTTTGGACTTAATTTGAATCGAAAATGTATGTAGAACAAAAGAATGTCACTAGAAATTACCATATTGATGATTCATTTTGCTAACCAGCAGCCTAATACTTAAAAAGCAACCAAGTTTGCATCTTCCTGGAGGCGGAGGAGCGAGCAATAAGGTTAGTATCGACAAGATTGTCAGCGAGAAAACCACCGCCAAAATCCTACCTCAGGGAATCGCCTGGATCGTGTGATTAGTACAAGTCTGAGAGTAAAATCGCCCGGTGACGGCATTGTCATCGTTCCGGTTCGTTAGTATTCTGTTTTTATCGAGGTTGTCAACTCGGTTTAGCTCGTTGGTCGGATCAAGTAAGTCGGTCAAGGGTTAATGCTTTGACCGTTTTAGATCAATTTAATTCGGATAATGAAAAAATCAAAATTGAAAATCTTGCAGCGGACCGACTGGTCGACCTGTGGGTTAACAACCTTGATTTTTATTGATAAATACTTAATAATAGTCAAAACTTTCGCGTATTTTAAAATATTAGTCAAAATTATCGAAATATAAATAATTAGCCAAACATTTTGTAACGCGTCAAAGTATTAGTTTTTGGTCTCTTAACGTATACTATTTCTTAATGATGGTCCACCACAGCGTCTACGTTAGCGTCCACATAGAAAATCAATAAACTTTTGTCTTTATTTATTATCTTATCATTAGCCAAAACTTTCAAAATGCAAATAATTAGCCAAATGTTAACTTTCTATTAGCAATTTTGTTAGTAATATTGATTTGATAACATGATACTAACTTAAAAGAGACACGTGGTGGCGGTTAACATTCGAAAGTTTTAGTGTTTCAACTAAAAAATGAGGTACAAATTATTAACGATAACAGAAAAATGGCTAATATTTTGATGCGATACAAAAGACTTAATTAATATTATGTATTTCATAAAATTTGGCTAATAATTTGAAAATTTTGAAAGATTTGACTAATAATTTTTAAAAAATTGACTAATAAATTGCATTTACCCTTACTGTTTTTTTTAACTAAAAATCGATAATGTTGGTATGCTAATCGCGACATGGGAAGTACATACGAAAATGTTAACAAAAAGTTAAATTTTGACTAATTATTTATTTTTTAATAGATTTGGCTATTTGTTTTTAGGAAGTTGACTGATATTTTTAAAATGCGGAAAATAGTTGCCTAATAATTAATTTTTTTTCTTCTCTCTCGTTTTAAGTTAACGCACATGGGCTTCTATTTGGGTTTTGAATTGTGCCGCCCTCTTTTTTCACGCCACCACCTTTGTTTGAAATAGAGAGCAGAAGGCGCGCGGGATAGAGAGAGCTGATTCTGTTACTCTTCTTCTTAGTTTGGAGAGGCAGAGAGAGAAAGAGAGACGGAGTGGTTCAATGCAGAAATGCATCTCCTAGAAGAAGCAAAACCACATTAATCGTTTGCCTGCTAACAGGAGATATTGAAAGTCATCATCAAGTCTCAAACCGAAGACCATGAACGTCAAAGTGGATCGACAAGGTTTAGAGGAAATCATCGTCATCAAGTTTAGTTTAATGTCAATGTTTGTTTAGACTTTAGTTTTAGTTATGTTTTAACTTTTGTTCTTCAAAAGTAAGGTGGCACACCTTTGTCATGTAGTGTCACTCTTGGACTATTAGCAGAGGAAGAAGCTTACTCCTCTGTTGAGTTTGAAGTCATTTTCTCTTTGGAATGCTTGCTAGCTAAAGAAGCAGCAACATATCCTCATCAAGTTGGAGGAGTAGCGGGAAGTAGCCAACAATGCACTCCCCTACTGATTTCAGTATGTTTGTTGGTAGGAGTGTTAGCTAGCAAAATGCAGCAACATATCCCAATCAAGTTTCAATCCATCTGAAGCAGAAAAGCTGAAGATTGAAAGTTCAGCCAACTAGCCATGATGCAGCGGCAATTTCACTTGAAGATCATCGGAATGCTAGCTAGCAAAACAAAAAGCAGCAACATATTCCATCTTATTTGGAGAAACTCAAGCTACAAAGCTGGGTTGGGGGTTGAGGAGTTGAAGAAGAATACCGGAAAATTAGCTAGCTACAAACGTAGCGGCTTATCTGAGTTAAATTGGAGAAACTCAAGCTACAAAGCTGAGTTGGGGGTTGAGGAGTTGAAGAAGAAGAAGAGAAGAAGATGGGATACCAACTAGCCAAAGATGCAGTTGTATCACCAGTTGAAGAAGAAGATTACAGCTAGCTAGCCACAGATGCAACAGCTTTTCAGAAGATTGGTGGGAAGTTAGCTAGCACGATGCAACAGCTTCACCATTTGAAGTTTGAAGGGAAGTTAGATAGCCAACAATGCGGCAACATTCTCAAGTCAAAACTGTATTCTCTCCAAGCTTGGTGTGCACCCGCTTGCGGCGGCGGCGGCCGGGGGGGGGGGGGGGGGGGGTAACAGGAGATATTGAAAGTCATCATCAAGACTCAAAACGGCGACCATGAATGTCAAAGTGGATCGACAAGGTTTAGAGGAAATCATCCTCGTCAAGTTTCGTTTAGTTTAATGTCAATGTTTGTTTAGACTTTAGTTTTAGTTATATTTTAGGGTAAATACAATTTAATATCCAAACCTTTCATTCTAAACAATATAATAGCCAAACCTTTTCGAAAACAATCTAATATCCAAATTGTCAACTTTCCGTTCGTTTGACCGTTAGTTGACACTTCAAAAAAGCTTTGTTTAGGGGAAATTGTCACAATACAACTTTGTTTTCTTGTTTTGGCATTGCAGATGACTGAATATTTAGATATTCTATACCATCATGGTGGAGTCATAGACTTCTCGGGTTTGGAACTACGATATGTTAGTGGTTTTTCAGAGAAGATATCGATGGATATTGATGAAGTGTCGTACTTCGAACTTTTTTGAAGTGCCAACTAATGGTCAAACAGACAAAAAGTTGACGAGTTGGATATTAGATTGTTTTCGAAAAGGTTTGCTATTATATTGTTTAAAATAAAAGGTTTGGATATTAAATTGTATTTACCTTATATTTTATCTTTTGTTCTTCAAAAGCAAGGTAGCACACCTTTGTGATGTAGTATTATTCTTGGACTATTTAAATCCAAAGATGAATGAGAAACACCCAAGGCTTCTAGGGTTTCATTTTTCCCCAACTCATCTTTGTTGTTACCTGCCTCGGCTTTCTCAATTTGAAATCCTCACTGCCCCATTCTTCTTCTTCTTCTTGGAGAGATACAGAGAGAACTCAAATCAAAGTGCAATTTACGGTGTGTAGAGAGTTCCAAAACCGAGAAGGAGCGAAATCATCAACTTCTTTGCCCAATTTCTGGGAATTTCGTTGTGCTGAATTCTGACGCCCACAAGAATGCGCAAAGAATTGGCCACCTTGCCGATCGTCGCTGTGGTGGGTGGGTTTGTTTTAGTTTTCTAGAAGCGAAAATCAATTCCTAAGCATCTTTTTGGCGAAACCGCACCAGCAGAAACACACATAACAACGACGGGGGAAGCACCGTACGGAGGAGAAGATCAGCCACCGCCGGCAATCGTCCGTCGAGCCGTCGGTCAAGAAGAAGAGAAGGTAAACACTTTTTAGCCATATTTTTTTAGCCCATTACTTCGTTGAAAAATATGCTACTCTGGCCCACTAAAATTTTAGCCCGTCTTTTTGGACTCGATTGATAGACGTGAATCATTTAAGTTCTTTCCACATTCTGCAGCCTGAACTGATCTGATTCTACTGCCGGAGATAATCGGCAATATCCTTTCCAGATTGCCGACGAGAATTGCGGTTCGAACAAGTATGGTAAAAAAGAATAAAAAAGAATTGGTCGCAGGCGTGGAAGAGTATTTCAATTCTGAATTTTATGGAGGAGATAGCATTGGGTCATGGGTACGCACCCTCAATGGCAGGATAAAGGAGCTCAATATGTTTGTCCATCCTCAAACCGACGTCCATTTTTTGGATCTGACCAGAAACATTAGCGCGCAACATCTTGAGCAGATGAGTATCATTTCCTACGATTTGTGATTTGATAAGATCAAACCAGCAATTGGAGATGGAGGGATTCACAATCCGTTCCTCACCAGGCTGCACCTCTCTGGTGTCGTTTTTCAAGATATGGACGGGAACCCATTTCAAGCCATGCCTCGTTTGCGTTTCCTGAAGCTTCGAGACTGCAGTTCCTTGGTCCCATTTACCATTACTGGTAACTCGCTGTTGGAGATTGATATGGATGGTGCCAATTATATGATGCTCTCTAGAGTCTATGCTCTTGGAGTGCGGTAAGAACTGTAGAATCGACCGTTATCATTGTACTTGTGACATCCGCTTTGGAGTTGAAAGTAGAATGGTCTCCTTGAATGCTGCCCCAATTCTCGAGTTTTCAGCCATCGGGGAACCTCTTGAAGAAGCAGTTTAGCCAAGTCCACAAAATGAAATTCTGGATCTGCTATGTTACCCAAACGTAGCTGAATGAAGATGGCATTGTTGGACCTTCGAAGAAGCTCCTTCAGATTCTCACGATATTCAGGCCAGTTATCGACTCGTCCATTGAGATGAATGTAGACAAGATTCACCATTGGTAGGTTTATCAGTATTTTCCCCCTTTCTGGCATGCCGCCCTCTAAATTCGATGATTGAGCAAATAAATAAAGATTTGTGTGTTAGTTGAGATACCTAACCAAAAATCTTTATAGTTTACAAGAGTCTAAATCGAGGCATTAAGTTAAAATAAAGAATATTTAATAAGGATGAGTTCAGTAAGACAATTGTAATAAGTCATTCGATTATATGGTTGTGAGCCTGTGATTCGATACCAAATTTTTGCTGTAACAATTAACTTTTCCGATATCAAAGTGTCAAAATACAAATATGTACCTTGAGTAAAACCAAAGATATGACATACCTTGAGTAAGAAAATGAAATCTAAACCTCGAATTTACTAGGATTTGTTGCATGATATTATACTCTAACCCTTGATGACTGAAATCTAGGTCTTAATTCTATAAATCTTATAAACTAAGATCTATTAAATTAGAAGCAACAATTGATGGTCATGATTTGTCAAAATATATGAAACAAATTACATGCATAATCTTATATGATTTAGATAACTAAGACCTAGGGTTCTCTCATCAAGGGTTAAGGTATAGTGTCATACTCAAAAATTCTGTTAATTCGAAGTTTAGATAGCGTTTTCTTACTAAGGCTATATAGTACCTTAGATAGCATCTAAATATGGTGTCGTTTATCGTACCTTGACTAAACTCAAAATAGATGTGTCTACAATACATCCAATCATTCAAATGCATGTGATGGTCACAAAGATTGTATGAACAAACACAAAAGATAAAGAAATTTTAGCGAATGCACATTCAAACATTTGTAAAATTATACACTAAATGATCATGTTAAGATGAGAACCATCAATAATGTACGTGAATGTATTGGACTGAAATTATAAACCAACATTTAGACAACCAAGAGTTGAGGGTTAGTCCAAATTTCAAAAATTAGCAATTGATGATTTGTATAAGATCCTAATTTCAATGTCTTGATAGACAAATTTTGTATAGCGAGACTTCGTGAACATCCACAGTGAAAATGAGCGAGGATTAGAGGATTTCATCATAATAAGGGGTACGATGTGTGTCAAGTTTCAATTGAGATAAACTATATTTATCCTGTAATCAAGTATCTTTATCCTGATGTAAAAAAAAAGTATCTTTATCCAATAATTTGAACTCTCATCAAAAGGTTGAGAGTTCGTCCAAACTCAAGAATCACGAATTGGTATATGTAGTATAAGATAATAAATTTGAGTGTCTTGAATGATAAATCTTGATATAAGATCCTAAACGGGACGTGATAGACTTTCACGACATGATTTATGATTAGAGAATCAAACCATCATAAGCGAGTGTGCTAACTATTAACTATTAAGACAAAAAAATATTTAAACATATAGATAAATTAGTTAATATAAATAATAAAATGAAATTCTTCGGCCAACGGGCCGGGTATTGATACTAGTAGTAAAAATAATGAAGCAACAGTAAAGAAGAAATCTAACTCTCTCTCGACCCATTCAACCGGTACCGGTCATGAAATCGACATGACACCATCGGTATGACCGGTAATCCGGTATGATCGTTTTACGAATTCCTTAGTAAAATATGTAGTTTTAGTGAATTTAAGTATGAGTACATGTAATTTTATTTGAAATATCATATTTTATTCAAATATCAATATGAATTGCACGTAAATTGTCTTCAAATATAGTTTATATATGATTCAATTCATTTGATATTAATGATTTTTTATATTTCTACATATTTTATTGACCGGCATGAAACGACACAAACCGATTGTACCACTGGTGAAATCATTCCACTTGCTAAACCAGTTTGATAACCTTTCTCTCCATATATTATTTATAGATATAATGCAAAAACAAAAGCAAAGTAATTATTGGATAAAAGATAATTAAATATTAAATGAAGAGAGAGGGACAACTCCATAAATAGGTCAATAAGTATTTTTTTGGTAAAACATTATCCACCTTGGCAACTTGAGAATTTACCATTGCTGAACTAAGGTGATACTACCATACCATGGTGTACTACTTTCATCTAAACTTGCAATTACTCTGCCGTTGAGAAACCTTCAGACATACCTTGAGCAGTTTTAGCTTGCAGAGCTTTGCTAGTTTGGTTCTTTTTCCTTTCACCAAAAACCTTCCTTGTTTTGACTATGAAGAAAACCACCCTACACTTTTTCCTGGATGTGGAACCGAGTAGAGTCTGCTCCAGGAATCCTCAGCACCGTACTGTTCCAGCCGCCAGATATCCGAAAATTCGTAGTAGGCTTTAATTTACTAAGAACAAGAACAGTGAACAACTTTCAACATATACACTAATAACTAATAAGCTTTATAATAAGTAGAGGACGACCATCCAACTAAAGCCCTAGCTAGCTCATATAACGATATTGTTATGTTGGTACAAAGAACGGGCGGTATGATCGAGAACCCAGCTAATTCAAAGCAGTAACTACCGATCTATCATGATTGCTCGATGCTGGTTCTTGACGCTGGATCCTTAGGGTCTTCAATTTGGTAAAAGGAGATCCTCGACACTTGATCCACGACTTGAGTGCAATGAAAGGGAAGTGGAGTTGTTTCCACTGTTTCAACTCCTCTGACGACTGCTGATCAAAGGGAGGGAGGGAACACACACAAAAATACCAATTAAACAACATGTACAAACTAATTAGCTTGTACACAATTAACTAATGACAGTAGGTAAGTGCATACCTGCTTCTTTTCAACTTCAAAACAAAGATCGAGAGAGCTTGCATTACGCAGGCTCGGAAGCAGCACGTCTCTGAATGCACTGCCCAGTACCCCCAGCTGGTCGATCGGGTCTACCCAAATGACGCGAACAGTGGCGTGTTCAAGACGGGGAAAGCTAAGCTCACCAAGCAGCACATGGGACAAGTCATGAAGGCGGCCACAAAATTGCAGATTCTCTAGTCTCGGAGCCGACAGCTGAGCAAGCTGGAGCCTGCCGAGGAAACTTTTCTCTTTGGGAAAAATTCGAATGTTCGGTTCCAGAATCCCAACCTCCAGGCTCAACAGCTGCGGGGCAATCACTTCGAGGGGCAACGACGAGACTTTCGATAAGCAGTCGATGAGTTTCAAGTGTTTCAAACTTGGGAGGCGTGCAAAAGCATGCAGACCAAAACAGAAGGATATCCGGCATTCCACCAATTCCAGCCTGGTGAGCTGACTGAAATCCAGGAAGTCGTCAATCTCGGTTTTCGTTCGCTCTAGCTTTAGAGTCCTGAGGGACTCCTTAATGGCACGGTAGCGACAAGACCTAGTGATCGACCAAAGCGGATCAGAGAAATCGTATATGTCGTCAAGGGCGGTGCCCGGGTGGCTGATCGACAGGCCCTCAGGAGGAGGTTGGCCACAGGTGGCGCAAGCAATAAGGACACCCAGGAAGGTGTGGTGCTGCTTACCTTCCTCCCTGAAGTACTCCAGGTTAATCTCTAGAGCAGCATCGCTGCGGCGGGGCCTGGAGAGGATAGATGTAACAACATCCCATGTGGAATCGCGGTAGGGTCCCGTAGTGCAGGAGTGCAGTACGCTGTCAGACAGCTCGAGGACAGACGGGACCGGGGCACCTGCCCACAGCGTCCTCCATCGCCTGGAGATGAGGCTGGTTCGGACCAACGATTTGATGTCGCCCACGTATGACAGGGTGTGCTCCAGAATGGGGTCCGGAAGATCATCCAGCTCAACCATCGGCTGCCCAGAAAATTTCGATTCTCGACGAGGATGGTGTCTGACCTGTATATATGTAATAACATCACTACAAGAGCTTGGTTTGGGATTCCCAAATCGAATCGAATTCGAAAGCTAAATCCAAACAGGAATAGGTCAGAGTTACATACATTAATTACTAGGCAAGCTAATCTTCGATCACGCTGTACAACGTTACCCTAGCTTTCTCCATTTACTCCTTCTATCTTCCAACCTGAATAGAATCAATCAACTTTTAGCTAGCTAGTACAGGGAATTCTCTAGATGTCTATGAACAAAAAGACAGACGCTGCCACTAAAACCAATGTGACACTTAAAACAAAAAAAAATTGCAGCGGAGAGCAGAACAGAGCAGCACCAATCAATTCTAGACCGAAGCAGTCACAATTGAAAGCAAGCGGTGAGGGCAACACCAGAATTAAACCCTAACTGGCAATTGCGGGGATAATATATAAGAACTGAAGGAGGATTAGAAAGAGCCCTCGGCAATTGGATTACCAAGATGGATGCGCAATCGAATCGCAACTGGTTCGGCGGCAACAGATCGCAACTGGGTCGGCGGCGAACAGATTTGCCGGCTGGGAAAGAGAGATTTTGGTCGAGACTCGAGGTGATTTTGGGGGTTTAGGGATTTAGGGCTAGAAGCTCGAATTTAATGGTTGGCCTCCCTTTATAAAAAATGCAAAGTATAAGGACCCCAACATAAAAAAGGAAAAGAAACGCAGAGTTTAATTTCGCGACAAAACCGTATATAAATCCGCCGTTCGTCTGAACTCTGGAGTCGGGACTCGGGAGAGGACAACTAATTAATTTTGCATCAATTTTGTTGATCGAAGACTGGAACTCGCCGGGAAACTGAAATCCGATCGATGGCGGAGGCAGAAAGGCTGATAATTGGCGACGAACAGGGAGGAGAGGGTGAAAAGGAAGCGCAATTAGAAGGAGAGGCGAGGGACGAGAAGACAATGGTTGTGGCGGCGAGTAGGAAGGAGAAGAGGAAAGACAAGAAGAAGATGAAGAGAAAGCAGGTGAGGAAGGAGACAGCGGCGAGGGAGAGAGAGGAGGAAGAGAAAAGGATGAATGATCCAGAGGAGCAGAAGCGGTTGAAGGAGACGGAGGAAGAGGAGAGGCTGAGAATGGAGAGGGATAGGAAGGAGTTCGAAGAGAGGGAGAAGAAGTTGTTGGAGGAGATGGAGCAGAAGAGGAAGGCGGAAGAGGAGGCGGCGGCGAGAAGAGATGCTGAAGAAGAAGAAGAAGAGGAAGCTAAGAGACGATTGCTGGTACTGTTAGTCTCTTCCCTTCCCTTTCTACACTGTTCGTTTATAGAATCGGGGATCGAGTTATAGTCGTGCAATGTGAAATGTGATGTTTGGTTGCTGAGAAATTTTGGGAAAGCGAGAGAAATTCCTGACTTGAAATACTTTTGTACCTCTGGCAGACTCCTAATGAGGATGGATGTGACGAGGATAGTAATTGGGAGTATGTAGAAGAAGGGCCAGCTGAAATTATCTGGCAAGGAAATGAGATAATTGTCAAGAAAAAAAGGGTTCGAGTGCCGAAAAAGAATGCGGATGCGCAAAGGAAAGAGGTATAAGCAACATTTGGTTGTGTTTATGACTTGTGTAAGTCTTATCATTTTGTTTCTCAGTGAATGCATTTCAATTTGGCAGGATGCCGACAGGCCTACTGCCAATCCTCTCCCGCCGGAATTGGAGGCTTCGACTCTTTCAGCACAAGAGATGCTGGAGAATGTTGCTCAACAAGTACCAAATTTTGGTACTGAGCAGGTATACTTTTGTGTGCTTCCTTTGTGATTCGAGACTGAACATGATGACTGTTCAGACTTTTACATGCTTCAATCATCACAGAGAACTAATGTTTTATCTTGGAACATACCTGTTGATGACAGGATAAAGCTCACTGTCCATTCCATTTGAAAACTGGAGCCTGCCGGTTTGGTCAGCGTTGCAGCAGGGTACATTTTTATCCAGATAAAGCATGCACCCTGCTTATCAAGAATATGTACAGTGGCCCTGGCCTTGCTTGGGAACAGGACGAAGGGCTTGAGGTCTGTTAATGCTGACTTCCATGTATCCTGATGAATAAGATTAACAAGTCTCTATGAATTAGCTTTGGTTTGTGAAGCATTTTTGTGTGAATTGGTGGCAAGATGAGAAACAGCTTTAACATGTGAGAAAAAGAGGGCATCCATAAAATAATCAGTGACCATTCGGTTTCTGGTCCTCTTTTTTTTCAATCTAACCTTAGATGCAGAATTTCTTACAACGTTTCCAGCCACTTTAACATGTGAGAAAAAGGGTTCTTGTAACGTATCCTTCCACTTGACGGGAATCAGTTTGACATTTCTGTCACAGGCTGACATTGATATTTGCATTCTGTGGCTTCGTTTTTTTCTTTACATTGTTCATTTCTTTCTCATTGGCTTGAATTTTATGGTCGGTTGCATATGCCATAGTTGTTATAACCTGTGCTGTAGTGTTCATATCAAGTCTTTTTTTTTTTGTTGAAATTTCAAATCTGCATCTTAATTGGTGATTAGCATTAAGGTTGATATCTTTCTGGGTTCTTTCTCCTTAACTAGTGTTAGTTGCTGGCACATTTGGGATTCTCGATTCTGGAGCTTTTGCCAGTGACAGTTTATTAGTTGCCTGGGTTTCTCTTGAAGGCACTGAAGACTTATTACATGGATGAAGTTGGACCACGTGAGCATTTCTTAGACTATCCATTTAGTTGAGGGAACTGGAAGTTGTTTGAATGTCGCTTCTTATTCCGACATCGATTAAACCACTAGCTTTATAGATTTAACAATTAGCTTGCATGAGAGGCAGCTTAAGATATTTTTAGTTCTTTCTGGGATATTTGAAGCTTCTCAGTTTATTTCTGATAGATGGCATACATTTACAAAGGGAGAATGTGTGTTTCATTTTCAATTTTCTGCTTTCAGTATACAGATGAAGAGGTTGATCGCAGTTATGAAGAGTTCTATGAGGATGTGCATACAGAGTTCTTGAAGTATGGCGAGATAGTGAATTTCAAGGTTCCAAAACTGCTATTCTAAGTTCCGTTCTGCTACTCTTGATTTTATATAGCCATCAGTTAGGCTAAGATCTTTAACAGAAGCGATCAGCTTATTCAACTGATTGGAAATTCCATTTCCATCATTTTTGGAGTCGTAGGATTGATGAACCAATATGTCTTATTCAGCTCCAGTAAAGGGTCACATTTGATTGGGGTTTTTATAATATTTTCATAGATGGACCGGATTCATATTAACTTTTATAAGGCATTAGAGGAAGCTTTTGGTCTGAGTCAGACTCAGGGCAGTAAGTTTTATGTTGAGTATCTTTCCTGGTGTTCTTCCTGAACAACCATATTTTTATCCTTGTACAGGTTTGTAGAAACAGTTCATCCCACTTGAGAGGAAATATGTACGTTCATTATAAGTCACTGGATTCATCTGTGCTTGCCTATGAGTCGATCAATGGCCGTTACTTTGCTGGGAAACAGGTACAGAGCGAAAGAGGCTTTTGAAAATATTACTAGTGCATATGTGATTTTGTTATACTGATTGACAGTATGCTTCTGTTCTCTGTTACTATATTGGCTAATTCTACTTTTGGTAGTTGTACTATATCAAGGTTTTAGAGGTACTATTTACAAGGTAGAAAATTATGATGGGATAAGTAGGTTTCACTTCAGTAGGGTTGGAGTGCTGTGCCTGAATGAGACAAAGGACAATTGAAATATATGGTCCAGCGATTAAGAGTATTCTGCTAATAAGCTTATGTTCCTGAAATGAGGCTCAATCATTTTTGGATTCAGATTAGCAAATGCTTCTACTTGATTTCTTAGTTGTGAACTGGGGATGTTTTTTTGTTTTGAATCGAAATGAACTGGGGAAGTTAATTTGCACAGGTTACATGTGAATTCGTTAACATTAGCAGATGGAAGGTAGCCATATGTGGGGAGTATATGAGGTCAAGACTTCAGGTATAAAACTAGCTGCTTTGCGTTTCAGGGTTCTTTTGTCTATTCGTCTTCTTCTTTTATCAGTTTTTCGGTCTCCAGCAAATTGAAATACATCTGAATCCTTACAGAACTGTTCTCGTGGAAATTCTTGCAACTTCATCCACTGTTTCCGCAATCCTGGTGGAGACTATGAATGGGCAGATTGGGACAAACCTCCACCGAGGTTTTGGGTGCAAAAGATGACTGCTTTATTTGGTTTCTCTGGAGACGCTGAGAGTTACGAACACAAGGAAGGGAAAATAGGGAGCGCATCTAGCAAGGAAAATGTTAATGATACAGACAGGTACACCCCTCTAGATTTCTCTCGGCTGAATTTGATTATATATTGAACCGGGAGCATAAATAGAGTTGTTATTATTATTTAAGCTGAACTGGGGTGTTATTTTATACCCTGTAATGACTGTTCCTTGATTCCAGGCTTCGATCAAGAAGATCCATGTCCAGGGACTTTGGGCATTGGTCCGATAGAAGAAGAGATAGAGACGATTATGTTCATGAAAGTACATGGGAGAGGAGACACATAGACAATGGACAGAGACCTATTAGAAATCTGGATGAACGAGACCGTCGTCATTCTGGTAGCAGGCTAGATTCTACATCTGAAGAAGAGGGTTGGTCAGATAGGGACATGGACAACAAGGAGGGACACAGAAGAAGTAGCCGATCAAGAAGTCGTAGTTCGAGAAACCACTACGAGGAGAACAGAAAGAATGATAGTAAGGATGTGATTTCAGATGAGGAGAGGAAGAAGGGGCCCCGAAATGGGCAACCAAGTCACAAGAGAAGGACTGGAACAGATCGCCGAAAAGGCAGGGACAGAGAGAGAGAAAAGAACAGTGTGAAATCTCCTGATGATACCATCTTTAGTAGAAGGTCTGAAGAAGTTGAAGATGGTGATCGTTGGGTTGATAGCAGACCGCATGATTGCAATGACTTCGATTTTCAGCGAGAGAAGGAAAGCCGAGGAAGGCAGCATGGGAAAAGAAGACGGCATGGTGGTCATGACAAGGAAGACTCGGATGGTGACAATGATGATGGTAGGAATGATGTAAGCACCAAGTGGTCGAAGCAGCATTCAGACAGGGAACAATCCCCAACAGGAAGTCAATCGAACCGAAGGAGACATTCAAGCAGAGGGCGTCCGGAGCAGCATTCCTCCACCACTACTTATGAAGATAGGTGGGGAGCCTGATAGTCGAGAGCGTGGAACTCCATCGTAGTAGAGACGATGTTTGTTATAGGAGTTGTTTCTATTCTGAATATGAAAAATGTCTTATGTCGAGAAAACAGTAGCTACTGTGTATCGATCACCAAGCTGATAGAGTCTTATAGCGATTATGGTTTCATTATACAATCTGGATCCGGTTCTTACAACTAAATTATGCATCATTAGTTTCGCCAGTTTGAATTACAATGTAATCTCATCGGTTCGATCTCGTGTGCAGAGAATTGCAATTCTCACTAGGAATTTCCAGTTGAAAAACACGAAATTATCAAACGAACCTGTAGAAAACAGCCAGAAGCTGTAATTTATATCCCATGCAAATTAAGAGGTTATAAACCTTGAAAGTTCTGAAGACGAGAATCCAAACTCAGACGGCTGATACATATATTGGAAACAAATGCAGAAAGATGAAATCAAACTCCAGCACCAAGTAAAGTCATGATCAGGGACTTTGTATTGTCGCCGAAACTGTGTTCAGCTACATCATCATCCAGATTGGCTTCAAACATGTTGGAATATTCTGTTCTAACCTTCGCCATGTCAACCTCTGCTCGACTTATTATTGCTCCGCTCAGTGTATCATCATCGTTGTCATGCATTCCCAGTCTCCTGGTCGAAGTCTTGACGACCTGCAAATTGCAGAAGATGTCAACAGTTTGGCACAGCGTTCTTCAGCACAAACCTAGCTAGCAACTCGGCAGAGAGGTAACAGAGGGGGGAAAACTACCTCAGCGAAGTGCTTTTCAGGGCAAACTATACACTGAACGGCCACCTTCAAAAGGGACGTCAAATCATCTCCTCCATAGGACTTCAAATCCTGCACAAGGAAAATTCAGCACTCTTATGCGTCTCCAAGACAAAGTGTCTTTGCTTGAACTGGTGAAACTTTTAATCCAAACAAACAGCTGAAAGTTTCAAAGCTGCCACAATCGAGCCAGAGTGACCATAGTCTGATATCTGCCTCCAGTGTCTCACTAAAACTCACTTGGAGTTGGAGGCATTCTTCCCCTCCCATTTTAATGAGTTATGAAGGTAGGTGCATAAGAGAGCTAGACCTCATAGATTGGCAGTTTAAACTGCTGCTCATACATCTTGAAAGAGTCTTTGAGCTCGCATGCATTCCTAGTGCTGAGGATGTAAATCAGATCATCATAACCCAACTCCTTTGTCTGCATGGCTTCAAACAGGTCGGCCGACTCCCAGTGTGCAAACTTCATATCCACCACTCTCTTGTCATACCTGTATGAGCCCACCAAACCCAGCAGCAGCTTTTGTTTGTGTGTTTGGGCGCGCATGGCGGCAATGCATGGTTATTAGTCAGTTCTGAAGTGTCATCAAGTTGGGCCCAAAAAAAAAACAAGGAAAGTCGGGGAATTTCTGTATCTTGAACTATTCTCGGTGGGGAAATGTTATTCTTTACCTTTCTGAGATGCAAGGAGAAGACTACAGCAGCAATGTCTTTCTCAAGTGATGAATTAAAGAGAGCACAGTAGGCCTGCTTTACAGACTGCAAATGGTGAGGCGAATTCGCGCAGACGATCTCAACTATTACTTCAAGCTGGGGATTCCTTCCTTTAAGTACTTCATTTGCTCGAATAGCATCCCTCTCAGCTGGATCATGTGTCCACAGGATTATCGCTCTCTGTAATTCGTCGAATTGGGTCAGACAGTCTCAACAAACCAATTATAACAACAGATAGACAGCCTAGAATTTGCCACCTTTACTCAACAATGAAAGAACATTACTCTGAAATGATCAGACAGTTCTGAATAGAGACGATCGGTAAGGGGTTCATTGTACACCTGCTGATAAGTGTCTCTGATGTTTCTCCTTTGGCTTGAGTTTCTGTGTCCTAAGATCGATATGATCACCTCCTCATCAGGCCCTGCACAAAAGCAAAGAGCGGAAAAACCCAGCCTAGCTTACAGTTAGACAACAATTAATCCCCAGATAAGTCACTCAGCAACTCTATTTTTTTATGAACCATTCAAACCCCAACTGCCTCCTGATCAAGCAAACTAAACCAGATCCAGATGTCATTAGACTGATCATACGGAAATACATACACCCAGACATGGTCCATAGTACAATCTCAAAACTAGAAAACCAGAACGAAAATCAGGAGAAAAGATATGAACTTTAACTTATAGGGGAAGCAAGAAGAAAACCTCTGCAAGCCTCCATGAGTGTCTTGCTGTCCTCGGTTGGAGAAGGAACAGAATCAGGCACTACGAGAGTGGCCATTTTTTACAGGTTTCAAACACAAGAGGAGAAGTTAACATCTGGTTCTTAGCCTGCTTGTGTTCAACTCAACTGGTCCTGCCACCTTTTTATTGTTGAGTTTTCCGACAGTAATTATTGTTTTTAGAAAATTTTCGTGAAGAGCCCATCATTAAACCTTTATCATTAAACCTTTTTTTAATCTAACATTAAATAAAAATCTTCTTTAATCTTAAACGACGCCCATTAGGTTCTTTACTTTTCGTTTTACTCCTACCTAAAACACGGTTTGTATAAAGTTTCAATTATTGACATGAGAAAGTAGCTAAATAATGTGAGTCAAGAGGACTAATTAATCTCAAAACTCTCAGTACGAATCTCAACATGAAACAGTGCATGGCACGAGTTGTTCAATCTAACGTTACAGAAGCTTCCATTTCATGTAGAACAAGCTTGTTGAACCATATCAGAAGAACCACTTACACCATCCATCGTACTCTTTTCTTTCTCTTCTCCGTCGATGACAAACTTCCCCTCTGTAAACTCGCAGCTATGAATCGCCACACCGAGCTGCTTCTCCATCTTCCTCACAACAAACACCTGCGACTCTTCACAAATCGTCACCACGATCCCCTTCCTCCCTAGCCTCCCTGTCCGGCCAGCACGATGAGCATAGTGAACCGAGTCGGTAGGCAAGTCCAGATTAACCACGAGATCACATTCGGGAATGTCCAGTCCCCTCGCTGATAGCTCATTGGTCACAAGTACCCTCAACTCCCCATTTTTAAACTTCTTCATAATCGTGGACCTCCCAAGCTTGCCAAGATCTCCATGCAACTCCGCAGCATTTAACCCTCTTGCCTCCAGCTTGTATACCACATCCTTCAGCTGCTTTGTGTGGTTCATGAAGGCTATCACACACTTGGCGTCCATGGCGTGAACACACCTCCTCAAAGCATCCACCTTGTGCTGCAACTTCACCACAGAATAGTAGTGCTTCAAAGATGGAGGTAAGCTTTGCGATGCTGACGGATTTGAATCTGATGCAGGCTGTGTTGAATCAAGCGGTCCAGATGGAGGAACCAATTCAAGCGGGGTTACATTCTTGGCTTGAACCAAAACTGGGTCGTTAGACCAACTTCTGGCAGCTCTTATCACTGCAAATGGCACTGTGGCAGAGACCAATACAGTGCGACGCTCGGATCTCCTTCCGACGTGATCCAGTATCCGGCGCATGGCTTCTCGAAAGTTGAACGAGAGGAGCTCATCAACTTCATCCAGCACCAGGAAACGGCAGCCATGGGTATGAAGCTTGCCAGCTGCACTGATCTCAGCTATCCTGCCAGGGGTTCCAACCACAATTGCTGGCTTGTTCTTCTTGAGAGCTTCTTCCTGTCTCGAACGGTTTGCTCCACCAACGAGCTGCTGAACCGCTCTCTTGTTTTCAGGGCCCAATATGTTCTCGACCTCCCTCACGATTTGCATCCCAAGCTCTCGGGATGGGGCCACGATCACTGCTTCTATGTCGTTCTTCCTCTTCCCGCCACCATCGTCTTTGGATTTCAAAGTAGAGTTGGCATCCTTCAGAGGTCCAATCCTAGATAGTATAGGGAGGAGATACGCCAATGTTTTGCCAGACCCAGTGTAAGACTGTATAACGACATCGTGGTCTTTTAGGATAGTTGGAATTGCAGCAGATTGCACATCGGTTGGAACCTTGAAGCCTTCAGATTCTAATCTCTCTATCAGCAATGGCGGCAGGCCAAGCTCGGAGAATGATTTGGCAGAAAACGGAGCGAGCTCTATATCATCAACTGATCCCCTCGTCTTACCAAGCGGCTTGACCTTACTCTTTGGCCTGTCAACTGGAGTCCTTAACGGTTTCACATTTTTCTCAACTTTCCTACTCTTTCCATTACTACCTGTTGTGGCCTCGAGCTCTATATCGTCAACCGATGTTATCGCCTTAACAACCGGCTTGGCTATACTCCTTGGCCTGTCAACTGATGACCTTGTCAATTTAACACTGTTCTCAACGTTACTCCTCTTTCCAGTACTGCCTGTAGTTGCCTCAAGTTGACTGCTGAATCCCAGGCTAGCAAGAGTGAGAGGGCCCTGGTGTTCTTTAGCAACCCGACTGAAGAACCTTACTGAATGGCGCCATGTCGATACACTAACGGGAAGTAACTTCAATTTCTGTGAAGGCAATGAGTAACCAGCTAGAACAAGCAACCTGGTTGTTGAAGCTAAAGCCGGCATTGTAGCAAGAAACCAAGTTCACACCTGTTCTCAAATCATTGGATTCCTGCAATACACAAACGCACATGGATGGATGGATGTCCTCAGAACTCAAGCTCGGGCTCAAAATCAGGTGCCAACTAGTTTCTTTACAGACAATCTATGCTTTAGGGAATTGAGAGATAGAAACAGGAAACACAGAGGCCAATATCTGAACTAAGGCACTACTAGCAGCTTTCGGAGTCGCAAACGAGCGTCCATCAGTTGTGTTCCAGACAACTTAAACCCAGATAAGTGAATATAGAGTGGACATCAATGGAGGTAAAAAGGAAGAATCTTGGCAGAGAAAGGAACGAAACCGAGCTCACCTGAAGCTGAAGAACTGAGAGCAGGCTAGGAGGGAAGCGGCTCGATTTCCAGACCGGGAAGCTTCGAAGACTGAGAATTTGTGGAAGAAGGAAGCCAGTGTGGAGCGAAGCAATGAAGGGTTTTAGCAGCAGCGGCTGGCTCCCCGATAATTGTTGGTAAATAATGGACTGAGGATTACGCGAAAATTTTCATTGCGGCAGAGTAGGCAGTGTCAGTCGGCTTCCTGCCTCCGTTGTGCCGTTTAGGTTTTATATCTAACAGCTCGAATAAATAAACTTAAATGTCAATTTCATCCCTGGACTATATTTGTTGAACAATTACATCCCTGTATTATGTTTTTCGGCAAACATGCCTCTACTGAAGTCATGGAAGACTACATTCATTGAGCATTCAAATACGTTATTAATACAACAAATCTATGCTCTTGACTGACATGAAAATCCATCACTTGGGAATCGATTAGGTTCGTATTGATATTGAATGAGAAAATACAAACCGATTACGAGTCAACAATAATATGCTAACTATGGTGCAGAACAAAACAGGAAAAGGAACAGCATGATTTACAGTATTTGGTCCCTAGTGTTTGATAAGTGTTGTTACCAATACCAGGTCTGTTGGGTGAATCAAGATACAGGCCCGGAACTAGATTATGCATTGAATGGTACTATAACCTCAACAAGCATTTTCGTCGAAGAGTAACAAAACAAAAGGTCAATGGCTTGCTGCGACATCCTCTCTTTAGAAGAAACCCCCTTTCTCAAATGTATGGCTCGCGGGTTGCTGTCGAGAGCTCCAGCTCTGGCTCGAATTCATCTAGCCGTGAGAAGTAGCTGTCCACCATGTCTGCACTCACATCCGCTAATGTTGGAGGATCCCACTGCATTTTGTCATCGTAAACTCCATCAGTAATTGAGGACTTCAACAAGAGAAAAACAAGACGTGTGATCCCAACTGAAGAACTGTCAGTACCTTTGGAGCGAAGTCCTTGTCGACTAAGCTAGCTCGTACACCCTAATATACAATGGCAGAATGTTATCATTGGTATGGTTTTTGTATCCCAAGTATTATGTGAAGGAAAGATGGAAAGAAACACTGTACCTCGAAGAAATCATTGGAAACCTTCTTCGAGATCCCTGCTATTGACATTCTATACTCACGAGATAGGCATTGATCAAGAGACTGAAATCTACCTTCTCGTATCTGAAAGGGATATATGCACAAGAAATCATGAAATATATGTATTATATACCATAGGTGAATGCTGATGTTCAGAAGAGTATTGACTTACAGAGTGCAAGGTAACCTTCAAGCTTAGTGGAGAAGCTTGTTTCAGTTTCTTAAGAGCTACCTTAACCCATTCACTGGAAGAGGTCTTGGCCTCATTTTCCTGACGAAATCAATGTTTAGAACGATTAGGCTGCCCCAGAAAAAGAACTGATGCAGTAGCTTAAAACAACCTAAAAATCCTTACCAGGGCATCAATAATCTCTTCCACTGTATCACGATTGAAGCATTTATCAATTATCTCTATCCTGAAGTACAAAAATTTGAACACAAATGTAAAACAAAACAGTAAATTTGCTCAAAAGTATGTTACTCATTGCTGAGGTAAGAACTCACATTATATAGGCAACAAATAAATGCGAACCGGATAACTAATATCCAAAATTAAACAAGTCAGGATATAGATCGAGACAATACTTATGAAGGACACTTGTCTTATCCGGATGGACAATGACACCATATTGTGCGAGAGACGTTTCAATGGCATCACGGTCATCTGTGATCAAATTACCAAGTCGGTCTTCAATCCAAGCACGTTTCTGTGAACAAGATGTTTTCACTATGGAATTACAAATTAAAAAGGGCAGAATACAATTAAAAAATTACTGAGAGAACACACCGAATGCAATGAGTAATGAGTTGCTAGGCCAGATGCAATCATTTCAACCCCATTAAGCTTATCTCCGGTGAGAGCTAAGTATTCCCCTGAAACAAAATAAGATCAATATTTAATTTGGGGCATCCATTGTGTCAAAGTTGGGATCTGTTTGGACCATTGCACCAACCTAAGTAACCCGGCAGGCGGGATAGATAGAACGAAGCCCCTGCATCTGGATGAAAACCTATTTGAGCCTCTGGATTAGCAAAAACCTGCCAAATTTTCCATAGGGTTAACTTCCCAGTACACATGAGTTTCACTTCATTACAGTTGACACATTTGAGCCAATTCCAGAGGTCATCAAAAGTATCCATACTAGTTCATGTCTCGCACTACAAATGAAAGGAGATGAACAAGACCAGGCTAGTATCAATTGAAAGCATTTTAGTCCAAAAGGTTACTTACAGTTTTGTCAGTGACCAAGCGGAACATTCCTGGAATTGAAATTCCAGCTCCGCATCCCATAGTGTACCCGTCCAGAATAGCTACCTGCAAGAATATGGATCGGATGATAGATAATCATAGAACTTCATCTAAACTGACTATCAAGCTTAGACAGTGGCTCGTCAGAAACTACTATATATGCTTTACTGCATAAGTAATGAGAATTGGCCAAATGTTCACATAACTTAAATTTATTGCCAAAAGGCGAGTATAAATCTACATTGTTTGCAAGTGTCAAACTTTCTCACATGTGGCTTCAAATATGTTGCTTGTAGGTAGACAAACTTGTACAACGTCTCAAAATATCGTTTGCAGTCTTCAATATTCCCTGCATAGTTTAAGATGGTGGGAGACCATATCAGCTACATTACCATCAGTGGAAAGGGATAAATGAAAGTTGAACTGCAAGATGCGCTACCTACAGATAAACAAGCAAAATAAGCTATCTTTGTAAGCAACCAATGCTGCTAATACTCATATCCGGGTGGCTTACCATCATCAACCATCTGGCTTAGGGAAACAACATCAGCACCGGAGCTGAAGGCCTTGCCGCCGCCACCCTTCAAAAGATCAAAGAAAGCAAGTTACATACTGATACTACCACTACATGTAAACAGAAAACATATAGCCAGAGACATTTCCGCAAACATCTTGCGTGCACCATGAACTCAGCTTAAAAAGCAACTTATGGCACCAGGAACCAGAGAAATGCAATATTTTGTTGCGTCTACATCTAAAGTTTTATGCTTTCACATGAAAACCTCATTCCTCTATGAAATTTAATTTAATTATTACACTAGTGAAGTAGCTTCAGAGCAATAGTGCGCAATTGAATAGAAGTATAACGCTATACCTTCATCAACACAAATCCAATACTCGGGTTTTCCTCCCATGACTCGTACAATCTCTTAAGCCGACCCACCTGCCAATTTTCATGGACAAAGTCACAAAACTGTGAACTGGAGAACACCACCTTCGTCAACGAAGGAGTAAATGAAAGGGTTCATTAGATAGAAGGAAACCATAGGAGGAGTAAGCGCATTGAGAGAATCGGGTCTGTTGAGGATTGCAGCCCTTGATTTTGCTCTTCCTTCCACCAAAACCTGCCGAAGGAAGGAAAAACAAAGTAAAAAACACTCAGCTTCAGTTTATTTTCGTTCTCTTCGGGGACAAAACGAGGGAGACGGAGCGTCGACCTGGTCTTGGAAATCGGCATCGTTTACGGCGGCGTAGTTAGGGAGAGCAGAGAAGCTTCGGTGGCGGTGGGGATTACAGTGTATCCCATTTCTGCTATTCAAGCAGTACTGTTTTACTGTTCTCGTCAATCCACCTTTCAGCCTCTGCATCTTTATCACTCTCACTTTCTCTCTAACGCCCTCTGCTGCTTTGCTTTCTGATTCGCCGCCGAACAGAAAGGGTAGGCCGCCTTACTCTGCTGTGCTCTCTCGCCGGCAGCGCACAGGAACGGGGAGGAGGAAATTGGCTGTAATTTCGGGCGGCGGACTGCTGGACTGGAAATTTGGCAGCTTCTGGGCTTGCTATGGTTGAAAGCCTTAATACAAAAAAGCCCAACAAAACTAGAAGCCAACCTGGTTCGTCCTGGCTTTTGCTATCAGTACACTGAGAAGGCCCAAACTTGCCCGCTCTAATTCTTTTTTTTTTTTTATAACTTGCCCGCTCTGATTCGAGTGAAATGATATTGGCTTGTTTCTTTTTAATTGTTTTATGATGTTTTTTTTATACAAAAAATAATCATTTTCATTAATTAGAAAAGAGATCATTATTATTTTCCGAAAAAAATTATTACATTCTGGAACTAAATCGGGTCCGAAAATCAAAGAAATGATATGTAAACGGGTACAATGAAAAGGTATTTCTAACCACCAAATGGACTATCCTATTACTACTCCGTCCTACAAGTCTGCTCATAAAACTCAATCTGAACCGCCAAATGTTTCCGCACAACTAGTTGTTGAGAGATCTAATCCTTTTGCATTCATTAATAGAATGGCTTGCAGTTGCTCATACAATATTGATGAGCCTACTCCGTCAATAATCTTCTAGTCCAAAACACCAAAATTTCTATGTAGTACGCACAACTAGCTAACAAGAAACGTCTTACATACTCGTCGGTAAAACGAAATCAATCATAGTGAAACATCTTTTTTCTTTCAGATCTGACGTTTGGCACACACTCTCTCTACTCTCTAGACTCTCTTTCTGAAAATCTTTATGCCCTTCCAGCGAGACTCCATCCGACGAGAATCGTTCCGGTGTGCATACACTCCACATTTGAACGCATGATATTTGCCCCCACGCCCAAGAACCTCCAGCTTCATCTCGTTATTGATGTAAACCTTAATCCTCCCGGAATCGAAATCGTCGACCACGTTCAGCTTGAACCACCTGTCGTAGATGTCTGCGACCACGACTCGACCCCTGCTGTAGCAGTGGAGGCTGCCGTCGTAAACCATGAGCATCAGCGAAGTCGCCGTCGGTGGCTTGCTTCCAAACACCTGCATAATCGACACACCGGATGTCCCTTTCGGCACGTAACCATACGCTTCGAATTCCCACGTGCCCGATTTGTATTGATACCCCTGAAACCACAATGTTTGCACAGTTTCACCGCATTGATATTCTAACAGCTCTAAAAAGAAGAAGAAGAGTTGATCGAGTTTGATGATGATCGTAAACCTGGATAGCGATCTCGGTGCGGGGCTTGGTCCTGCTGGTGCGGGAATGCGGCTTGTCGGTGGAGTAAACCCAGCACTTGTGGACGCCATTGACGAAGCTGTAACGCTTCTCTTCCGGCAAATTGTAAGGGCTCTGGATGTGGTAGTAGGACCGGTTGAATGGCAAGGAGACGAAACCTCTGGTTGGATCAACATCATGATCATGAGCTGATTCACAAGGCAATGCGGCCATAGCTAGTAAATGGATCAAACATTTTATAAGTAAACTGCTGATCATAATACTTAGTCTCATGACTCTGCTCTTGTCAGAACTAATCGCCATCTTCTTTCTGGGGAAAACTTGCAGGAAGAAGACCAATTTTAGTAGTGATAAACGATAATTAACCAAGGTGATGATAAGGAATGAGTTGAAATTAGCGGCTAGCTAGGCGATAGGCGTTGGAATATAGTAAGTAGTTTAGGTAAGGGAATCCTTTTGCATCATTCGCCGGCCGTATCAAGATCAGGAGACCGAGCTTCTTCGGTTCGGCTAAGGCGATGCCCGGTAGACCTGGAAAATTACAATCCAATTCGTTAACCCGATATCGAAACCGCCCGAAAACTAGAAATTTTTGTAACCCGAAAACCGAATAACTCGGATCCGATAACCCTTGATTTTTTGGGTTGGGTGGGTTTGCGGGTCGACCCGTTTCATTTTATATATCACTCCCAAAATGATAAAATCACTCATAAATTGGTGAGATGTTTAAAAAAAATCACAAGGATTTGAATGACATGTTAGGAGTTTAAGGATAATCAAATATCATATGTTTCTTGTAGTAGTATTACTCTTGTGATTGCTCTTTGACGATTTGCGCAATTTGTATTTCATTTCATTAGTGTGGGAGGATTTGATGATATGTTAATTGACATGTGTTTAGGTAAATTATTGTCATGCATATGTGAAAATTTGTGTTCTTTAAGAAATTATGAAGCATGTTTGATATTTTTTTTGAGAACGCTCATAACCCGAAATGACCTGTAACCCGACCCAAAACCAAATGGGTTGGGTCAATATTTAACCGCAATCAGCCAACCAAACATGACTCGACCCATAACCGAAGTCCCCGACCTGATTTCCAGGTCTAATGCCCGGTCATATTTTTCGACCCGGTTTGTTTTAGGTTGGATTTTTCGATTTATAATTACGAGAAGACTGGTCGTCTGTTAATACTTATTAATTATTTTTGAATTAATTGACTGCAGTTATAATTGTAGACTGCGTTTGAAATGAGGAGTTCTGATATGCTTCGACGAGTTTTCCCCCAGTTGTTCAACGACGAACAGTTGCTAAACATCTTTTTTCTTTATCTAGTATACTTCATAGGGTTAATACCTTATTTTGGCATGAACTATGACCATATAATCAACTTTGGCCCGTGGTTTCATAAATTAACATCTTGACCTCAACTATGTAACATATAGACTCAATTGGCCTGACACCTAGTTTGACCGTCAATTTGGATGGTCAACAACATTGACCGTTAGTCAACACGTCATGTCATCGCCTCGTCAGCCTAAAAATCATTAAAAAAATTAAATTCAAACTATTTTTAATTTTTATTATTTATAATCAAATTTATAAAAAATCATTTATAAAAACATAAAATAATTTTTTTGTGTAATTTGAAAATGATAAATTATATAAATTAAACAAAAATTATCAACTTATGTTATATATTTAACATTACACAAAAATAAAATATATAATTTATATCATATTTTTAAAATTTATAATATTTAATTTGATAATTTTTGGTTAATTATAAAATTTATCATTTTCAAATATCCCAAAAAATAAAATATAAATTTTATTTTATATTTTTTAAAATTTATTTTGTGGTTAATTTACAAATGATAAATAATAGAAATTAGGAAAATAATTTGAACTTGATTTTTTTAATAATTTTTAGGCTGACGAGGCAATGACATGGAGTGTTAACTAACGATCAACGGTGTTGACCATCCAAATTGACGGTCAAACCATGTGTCGGGCCAATTGAGTCTATATGCTACATAGTTGAGGCCAGGATGTTAATTTCTGAAATCACTAGCCAAAGTTGATTATATGATCATAGTTCGGGCCAAAATAAGGTATTAACCCTACTTAATACTACACACAACAATCGATCTAGGCTCTCTTTTTGAAAAATTTAATGTCTCTCCAACGAGACTCCATGCGACGAGAAGCGTTTGGTTGGGCATACACTCCACATTTGAATGCATGAAATTTCCCCCGCGGCCAAGAACTTCCAACTTGAGCTCGTTATTGATAGGGGTGTTCAAATGGTTACCATGGTTATTACCAAACCAAATAAGGCTAAATTTCATTAACCATGGAATACAATATCATAATCAAACCGTCCAAACTAATACAACAACCAAATTAACCAAACTAAAGTTTAATCGGTTTAGTTAATTGGTGAACCAGATTAACCAATATAAAATCATATTATCATTAAGTGAGAAATTTTTTGGTTAATTTATCAATTCACAATTTATATAATGAATAAAACATAACAATCAACACGTAGTTACAGTTGACCCTTAAAATAAATACATGCAACTAAGACAATTATCTTACGGTTAGTATAGAAGTATTCACCTAACAAAAATTTATCACAATGATATGGGTTAATTAATTGTTGTGTTTGTTTGAATTGACTTGGGGTCGTTTAGATGGATCAATCTAGAAATGAGTCAATTTGATCAATTGTCTCGTTTTATAAACGAGGCAATTAAAACGAGTCAATTCGAATTACCTGCCCCCACCCCAGGTAATTGAAATTGACTCAAAACGGATCAATTCAAAATACCTCAGGCAGATTGATCCATCCAATTTTTTTGCTGGCAAACGAGGCAATTTGGTACAATTGTCTCAAAACGAAACAATTGTGTCAAATTGATCCGTTACAATTCCCCATCCAAACGACCTTAGCAATTTTCATAGGCTGAAAAAGACCTTGCTTTCAAGTTTTCATCCAACATAATGTATGTGATTTATCTAAATTAGACGTTCATATGTTGTGGTCTACACTCTACATATACAAATATACATTATAGGAACAATATCAAACTTTATATTTTATGAGTCTAAAAGGATGAACGTTTAACTCTTGAGTGGTTATTCAAAGTATTAAGTATGTGCATATATTAGATATATGGCTAATTATTTATCTGGTTAATTTGGTTTGGCTGGTTAGGAGTGTCTGAAACCAAATCAAACCACCTAAACCAAACAAGCTAAAAACTTTAACCAAACCAAAACAATTATCCAAATTAACCAAACCAAATTATCCAAATAGTACTGATTAAAACGATACCATAGTAACCACACCGTTTGAACACCCTAGTTATTGATGTAGACCCGAATCTTCCCAGAATCGAAATTATCGATCACGTTCAGTTTGAACACTTGTTGTAGACGTTCGGGAGCACGACTTGACCCTTGCTGTAGTAATGGAGGTTGCCGTCGTAAACCATTAGCATCAATGAAGTAGCCGTTGGTGGTTTGCTTCCAAACACCTGCACAGCGGCGGATCCAGAACACAGTAAAACACTGGGCCGCATTTTAATATATATTATATACCGTAAACAAAAATAGTCAATATTTTAAAATTTTAGTATTTCAAATAAAAAAATAGTTACAAAATTACCAACGTTAACAGACAAATGACTAATATTTTGATGCGTTACAAAAGATTTAGCTAATATTTTGTATTTCGAAAAGTTTGGCTAATAATTTGGAAAGTCTAAAAGGTTTGACTAATAAATTGTATTTACCCAAAAATATATGATAACAATAGTTTTCATTCATTACAATGTCAATTGTAATATAAGGTTTTTTAATTTGGCAAATCCATCAATAATAATAGAATCTCCGTCAATATCAATAGTATAATCTCTCTCAAAGAAAATAGCTAAGCAATCAACGAGAAATTCTTAGCATTTTGTTGCGCAAATTAGTTTTAACATATTTCATTGCTTAAAATGTTCTCTCCATGGTAGCAGCTGAAACGGTCAAGGTCAACACTAGACGAATCAACCAACACATCTATTTGTTTAGAGGATTTTCTTATTTCAATGAAACTTATACACTCTTTTACATTTTAGACTTTTAGGTTTTATTGTTTTTTTTTAATATGAAAATCATTCGGGCTAAAATTCCTAGACTAAATTGAGAGTAATGGTTTGGATATGTTCATCTAGACCATTTTTTTAACTACACAAAATTTATTATCAAATAGCACTCGACCGACCATTAAATAATACTGGGCCGAATACCTAAAATCAAAATATTATAAGCTTTATATTAGTTATGGATCCGCCGGAAGGCTGGGTCGTGGCCCAGGTTGGCCCAGCCCTAGATCTGCCGATGCACATGCATAATCGAGACACCGGTTGTCCCTTTCGGCACGTAACCATATGCTTCGAATTCCCATGTGCCTGAGTTGTATTGATAACCCTAGAGACAAGAAGCCCAAATTAAATTTTATTTAAAGAGACTTAAATAAGCACGACATGACACGAAAAATACTTCTTTTATAGATAATAAATTTAAAGAGAATTATAAGTTCAAATATTATAATATATGAGTCAGACTGGTGTACTCTTTGAGTATATTATACTCCCGGTATTCATAGTGAGATATCTCTATTTAGACTTTGAATTAAATCGAGGTTGGAGTATGATACTATACCCTAACCTCTAATGGATAGACCTCAAGCCCGATTCTCTAAACTCAAACCCAAAGTTCAATTTAATAAAAATATTAATTGGCCGTTGAAATTGGTCGGAGATCAAAAAAGGAGATCTAACGGTCATATCACATGTAGTATGGTATACTCGTGGAGTATACCAGTCATTACCTATAATATAGAAATACAAAAATAATTATTTAATAATTAATGTTTAAGAAATAATTAGTTTACCGAACCAATCTGGGTGCCATGTGGAAGGTTGCAGCGGTGGGCTGCTGTACGTGTTGCAGCTAAATTTCACCCCTCACCTAATCATGGTTTTGCCGTAGGACTTGGTCTTACGTTTCATGGATTGGGGCCTTTGTGTCTCGAGGCCCAGTGTGGAATCTATTCCAACTCTACCAAATAACTTGCTAATCACATGGTAGATAAAAAAATGTTATAGATATAATATGTCTCTATATTATATCGTTTTATCAAACATGTGTTTTTACTATTTTTTACATCAAACATGCCTATGTACTTTGTAAAAATTATCAATGCTTTAAATTTCATCCAAACCATTAACCAAGGGTCGAACTTTGGTCTGGGCGGCACAAATGTCTAAAATATCCCTTTAGTATTTTTTTTTTGGTATAGCCAAATAATTCAAATAATTTCACTTTGAAGAGACCCAGAGAAATAAAACGGGAGACAAAACTGACATCATCGCTCTCATTTGTCGATGTCGGGTCTAAATCTCGGTTCAACCATGATTGACAATTTTTTCAATAAAAATTTTAACATAAGAGCATGCTTGATAAAACGTCATAGTACTATAGTAGAGGGGTGTATTGTACCTATAACCCAACCAAAAAAACATCAGACGTGAGATAAAACATTATAGACATTCCATTAATATCATGGCTGGGCTAGTGGGCTTGCTCGTACATTATAAAATACCAAATTACTCGTACATTACAAAACATCAAATTCCCACACAACTAGCTGGTTTATTGCTACACACATGATTCATCTAGGCTCTCTTTCTGAAAATCTTAATGTCTCTCCAACAAGACTTCATGTGACGAGAAGCGTTCCTTTGTGCATACACTCCACATTTGAATGCGTGATATTTGCCCCCGCGGCCAAGAACCTCCAGCTTGAGCTCGTCGTTGATGTAGACCTGGATCTTCCCGGAATCGAAATCGTCGATCACATTCAGCTTGAACCACTTGTCGTAGATGTTAGCGAGCACGACTTGACTTTTGCTGTAGTAATGGAGGTTGCCGTCGTAAACCATAAGCATCAACGAAGTCGCCGTCGGTGGCTTGCTTCCGAACACCTGCATAATCGACACGCCGGATGTCCCTTTCGGCACGTAACCATAAGCTTCGAATCCCCATGTGCCTGAGTTGTATTGGTAACCCTAATAACAAGAAGCCCAAATTGAATATAAGAAATGGTATATCAGGATATGCTCTAGCTCGTGTTGGTATTGTACCAGGGAACCGGGTCGGGCTGCCCACGGGCTAGTATGGTACGATACGGTAAGATCTAACCACACATGGGCACAAAATATATGGATCATCCGCACGAGAGTAAATAATTTATGAGCCATGTCATGATCTAAACTTTATGCACACGGACACGCGAGCAGGGCACGACACAATTTATGAGAAAAAATCTCTTAACGTACGTGAGAAAGAAAGGAAGACTACGCGTTGAGTCGAACGTTCGAACCTGAATAGCGATCTCGGTGCGGGGCTTGGTCCTGCTGGTGCGGGTATGCGGCTTGTCGGTGGAGTAAACCCAACACCTGTGAACTCCATTGACGAAGTTGTACCGCTTCTCCTGCGGCAAATCGTAGGGACTCTGGATGTGGTAGTACGACTGATTGAAAGGCAGTGAAACGAAACCTCTGGTAATTGGATCATCATTGTGAACTGATTGACAACGCGACAATGACATAGCTAGTAAATGGATCAAACATCTAATCACTAAACTGCTCATCATGTTTAGTCTCATCGTAACACTGGTCATGACTCGAGGACGGATCAGGGTTAATCGACAATATAAGAAAGACAACGATCAGCAAGAAAGTAAAAAACAAAAAACAAAAACACGAATTTACGTAGGAACTCTAACTAACCAACCCTGTTCAACAAACTTAGCTCGGAGGAACTGTCTACTGATGAGAAACTTTATGAAGGATTGTAGGGCATTATATAGACGCTGGGATTGGGTTCTTAATAGGAGTTTTCATTAATGACCACTTTTAATCAGTGATTAGGTAATGATAAGGTGACAAGGAATGAGTCAAAAGTAATTAGCCGCTAGTAGCACGAGGCGTTGGAATATTGTAGTTTGGAATGGCATGCATGTCAACTATTAGTTATGAGTGGATTAATTATAGTAGAGCTAGCTAGTACTCATTTATTGGTTCGAAAATAGCGATAAAAGAGAATATTTCATAGGGTTTATTAGGATGACAATGAGTCTGATTGGACGGAGTTGAGATCAGCTAGCTTATTCGAACATGTTTGATTTTTATCCATATATTTGGTCCAGTGTAGGGTACATAATTCTTGTCGCCAGCTAGGGGAATCCTTTGCATAATTTTCCTAGTTTATCGCACAATGGTTCAACGAACATTGGGTTTTTAAGGAGTTTGAGATGTGTTTGGTGTTTGTGATAAAAAAAAGAAGAGTTCTGGAAGTGGTTATTATATAAAAGAATGAACTAAGAATAAAAATATATTTTTCTAAAAAAATGGACGATAAATAGTAAAAACATTGGCAGAAAGTAATATGCCTCTCAAATAAACTGGGAAGAACTTCATTTGAAACGTTTGCTCTTTCATCTATTGTAGGCGTTTTAATCATATGTTATAAAAGGAATATGGACTACGGTTTGGTTTAGGGTAGAGTGCATAACCCTTGGTGTTTTGCATTTGTGCAAAATCAAATTTGGTCCTTTGGTTTGTAGTCAGGTTGGATCTTAGAGGTGCATGAGATTAATTTTTTTTTCTTACTACTTTTAATTGCCTTGTATTTTTTCTGTTTTAACCTTTTTTTTTTCAAATGAGACAGGTTCATTGTGATCTACAAAATGTTATTTATTTTTATATATTTTGACAAAAAAAGTTTGTACCACTCGTTATCATGTTGGTACAACTACGTACCACCTTCCTTTTTAAACAAAATCTCGAAAATAATTGCACAAAAAGAACGAGTTCATTATTGTGATCTACTGTGATGTACAATTTCTTGAAAAAAACCCGTATAGGACCAAATATACCGCATTATACCACCCTGATTTAAGGTGGTAACAAGTTGTAGACGGTGGTGAAAAATTGTATGGTGATTAATAACTTGATAGTCAGTAATCACACAGTGAAATAAAAACATTAGACATTCCATTAATAGCATGACTGGGCTTGGTTGTATAATATCAAAGTGTTTTCTTGACAAAAAAAAACTAGAAGGAACATAATTGAATTTGCACGTTTAACTTCTTATCAAACGATTAACAAACATGTTTCACACCTCTTTGAACAACGTTCTAACAAGGGTTTTCAATGTTTTGATGAACTACAGGACAAATATAAATTACATTAAATCTACTCCTATGGAGGTTTAGTGGGAGCTCCAAAACTACAACTATGGCTATGACTACATTTGCAAAGGAAAAGTTAAAGATAAAGATAAAGTTTGACAATAGGTTGTCTGGTATGATTTTGGCGACCCCTTCTCTTTCATCTTCACCTCTTATTTATAGTCACAAGAAGTAACTGTCTTAAAAAAACCTCTCTGCTGACGTGGAGCAACGGTTACCTTCCCAACTGCTCTGACGATGTCCTGGCGTCGGATGTGCCACCTCTTCATTATTGGTCCCTTTGTCTTGATAGCTTTTCCTTAGTTTTGCTTGTGAGTTGAGAAAAATGACGAAGACATAGAAGACCCTATTGCCACATGTGGGTGGGTACTCGAATCACACGGGTCAAAATGGCAAAAATTAGCATGCCCCCATCACAGCAAGGGGCCTCCTCTCCTTGACTCCAGAGTTAGTCGAATTTCACTCAAGATGATCACCTCCTGATCATACCACGGGGTTGCTGATGACTATCCCTGGCCATACCATGGGGTCACCTTATCTCGCCTAATCGCCCATCCATCCCCTTTAATCACACTCTAATTATCACTCCATTACCACCCCTCCCAGTTACCCTAGGGGGTGGTAAGCTGATCACCCCCCTTACTACTTCATGTGATGAGGGGGGTGGCGGTTTGAGGCTTAGGATAGGATGAGTAACCATTGGTTACTAACCTATTAGTAACTAAATCTGGACCTTTAGATCTAAGTGGGTCCAGAAAATTCAGATCTAAGGGTTGTCAATTAAAGACATTTTATTTGCCCTAGTTTTCATAATCGGCTCGTATCTTCTTCGTTTTAACTTGAATTTCAATTTTTTTTGCACATATGAAATGAGTTCGTTGTGCTCTACAAAATGAGATCAATTTTCAATATATTTCGAGAAACTTTTTTTTTACCAACTACATACCATATGGTAACTTCTTCGTTATTAAGTCGCTTTTGAAAACGTTTGCTCAGAAGGAACGAGATCATCATGATCCATTGGATCTACAAATTTCTAAGTGAAAAAAATACTAGACCAAAAATTACTATACTTTACCACTATGGTATGTGGGTGGTAACTTATGGTAAACATTGATGAAAGTCGTAAATGACAGTTAGTATACTCCTACTATCATGTATTCAACCTTCTTACCATATTGGTATGTTCATACCATCATGGTACATTTTCTTACCATATGGTATTAAATATGAGCATACCATATGGTAATGACTGGTAAAAAATTATTCAATTTTTTTGTACTAAAAATATATCAAAGTGGATATCATTTTAAAGAGCACATTTAATCTGATTTATCTGTGAAAAAAAAAATCGACTTAAAATGAGAGAGAATTCATTCGTTAAAGATTAAAGGGGAAAAGATAAAAGACTTTCCAGGAGAGAGGAGATGCTGATGTCATGCGGATGTGGACAGGTTACTAATGGTTACTCACCATAAGGTTACTGACCTGATCCGCCCCCGCGGTTTGATGTCCAGTGGCGGACCCAGGATTATTGAAGAGGGGTGTCGCTGATAAAAAATTATAATAATTAAATAAAAATTTAATAAAAAATAGTGGAAATTCATTTATAAGTTCACAACGTCATGTTTACTACGAATTATGACAATTTTTCATATGTTGAGATTTTTTAAAATACATTCATCGTTTATGTTGCAAATCAAACCTTTTTCGATATACACAACTACATAATCATTCATAAATTAGTCACTCGACTAAAGAGAATCGACCTACGTCTAAAATCATATTAAGTTAAAATTAATAAGTTTGCTACCAATCGGCTATTTTAGAAAAAATTGTCCTAAGTTAAAATAAATAAGTTAAAAAAAATTGTCCGAAAAAATGAAGCTCCTTCACAAAATTTTCGGGCTGAGGGGTGTCGGACGACACTCCTCCCCTTGCCCTAGGTCCGCCCTTGATGACGTCCACCCCCCTCACAACATCAAGGGGGTGGTGGTAAGTTAATCACCTCCTCGCCACATCATGGGGGTTGCTTCAACACAATCAAATTTTGGAACAAATGACTAAAAGTGACGCATGATTGTATGGAGTTATGGGCCCAAAAAATCTAATCAATGTGACCCACTTAATTAATTTAAAAAGGTATAATAAAATTGGTCTCACATATTCATTTAATCGTTTGTATTTAATTGATGTGGTACAAAGTGAATTTTTAGGATAAACACAAAGACCCTACGATCCCTCGAACAATTTTCTAGCCCAAACCATCCCCACACAACTAGTTGGCTAGCTAGGAACTTCTAAAAAACCGTCGCTAAACACTTTTTCCCCCTATTACTGGATTGATTTATTACTACACACGCGATCAATCTGTCAAGAACCAGTTAATCCCAATAACTCGAGTTGTTGGGAGAGATTCAATCGTGGATCATATACCACAACACTAACACGCCCCCATCCCAATAACTCGAGTTGTTGGGAGAGGTTCAATCATGGATCATATACCACAACACTAACACGCCCCCTCAAACGAAAACCACTCACAAGGGCATGGAAGTTTGCACAGGTCTGAAGACAAGAATATCATATGCTTAACAAATGGGGGCAACCGGGAATCGAACACAAGACATGTCGGTCACAGAAGGCTTTGATACCATGTCAAGAACCGGTTAATCCCAATAACTCGAGTTGTTGGGAGAGGTTCAATCGTAGATCATATACCACAACACTAACACAATTTAGGCTCTCTTTCTGGAAATCTTGATGTTTCTCCAACGAGACTCCATGCGACGAGAAGCTTTCCGTTGCGCGTACACTCCACATTTGAACGCATGATGTTTGCCCCCGCGGCCAACAACCTCCAGCTTGAGCACATTATTAATGTAGACCCGGATCTTCCCGGAATCGAAATCGTCGATCACGTTCAGCTTGAACCACTTGTCGTAAACGTCCGCGAGCACGACTGGACCTTTGCTGTAGTAACGAAGGCTGCCGCCGTAAACCATGAGCATCAATGAAGTCGCCCTCGGAGGTTTGCTACCAAACACTTGCATAATCGACACACCAGATGTCCCTTTCGGTACGTAACCATACGCTTCGAATTCCCATATACCTGAGTTGTATCGATAACCCTACAGACAAGAAGTTATTGGAACTAACTGATTTATATAACAAGTTACTTGTTGAGGTTAGACGCGTTCTAACCATAATAGCGATCTCGGTGCGAGGCTTGGTCCTGCTGGTGCGGGAGTGCGGCTTGTCAGTGGAGTAAACCCAGCACTTGTGGACTCCATTGACGAAGCTGTACCGCTTCTTCTCAGGCAAATTGTAAGGGCTCTGGATGTGGTAATAGGAGGGATTGAAGGGCAAGGAGACGAAGCTTTTGGTGGGATCGTGAGCTGATTGGCAAGGCAATAGGATAGCTAGTAAATGGAACAAACATCCAATCACTAAACTGCTCATGTTTGGTCTCATCGCGTAACTCCTATCACGCGTGGACGGATTGGAGTTAATCGACAATGCAAGAAAGTTTGTTCGGAAAATTTGGAAAAAAATGTACTACTGATGATGAATGATGAGAAACTACGGGGAAGATTGTAGAGCATTTTATAGAAGCTGGGATTGGGTCTTAATAGGGTTTTTTTTAATTATTATTGACCACTTTTAATTAATTAGTGATTAGGTCACGATATAAGGTGATAAGGGAATGAGTCAAAATTAATTAATTAGCCGCTATAGTTGCTCGAGGCGTTGGAATATTGTAGTTTGGAACAACATGCATGTCAACTATTGATTATGTGTGGAATTGTGTTTTCTTCACCTATGGAATATTGAAATTTGCCTAATCTCTTCGTGTACTGACTAGCGGTTTCTGATAAATGCTAAATGCTAAATGCTAAATGTTAAATCACATGTGTAATTAATTATAGTGGAGTTAGTTAGCTAGCTAGCTAGTATTCATTTCATTGATTAGTTTGAAAATAGCGATAGAAGACTAGAAGGAGTATTTCATACACCTTAGGGGCTATTAATTAGGACGGCAAAGGATCGGATTGGATAGAGTTGAGTATCTGCGTGCCTATTTTAATTAGTTCGGTTTTTGTTCATATCCATGGCCTAGAGTAGGTAGCATTTGTGTATAATCAAATTTGGCTCTTGAATTTGATTGAGATGTGATTGAAGAGTGGAAATGAAAAACATTTTATTTTTCATTTTTAATCGATTTATATCTTCTTTGTTTTAACCTGTGCACTCATAGAAAAATTTCATTGTGACATCTATAAAAATTGTATTCATTTTTTATATATTATGAGTAAATAATTTCGTAGCATCCGTTACTACTCGTTTCCACCCTGATATAGGGTGGTAGATATGGTCTTGAAAATTTCTCCCCATAAATTTCTAGATCATAGTATAGGCCATAGGGTCATACCTCATACATGGTGGTTACTGGTTAGTAGGGTATGCAATGGTCTGGTCTAGATCAGGCCAAACTCAAGATACGGTCCAATAGTAAAAGACATCTCAGAATCAAGGACCGGGCCGACAGTGCATTCAGTCCGCTTTGGTATGTCAATTTGGTCCTTTTTTTAGTATGTATAAAATTCATGGGACCGAGGACCAGACCATATTATATTCGGTTCGTTCTGGTTCGATCCATACATCCGTTACAGAAAACCCATTGACACCCCTAGTGGCTAGTATATTTCTACAATCATATGTACAACCTGTTTACACTGCAATATATTTATATCACCATGATATATAATCTTATGTACTAGCTAGCAAACATTACCACGCTGGTATAGATCGAAAGGTAATATATGCATTAATTTTTTTGTTCCAAAATGTATCAATGAGGGTTCCATTTTGAATCGTACAATTAAATGAATTAATTTGATTTTTTTACGTGAATTTTTGAATTCCTACTTAAAACGGAAGAGATATAACTTGTTAAGTCTGATTGAAAAATTTATGCATAATTAGTAACCAACCATGTTACTGATCGAATCCACTCCCCATACTCATACTCATATAAGATTCGGATAAAAAACATATTTTTTCGGATTCAGTATAATCGTGAACCCATTCATGAATAACAATTTTTATTGGGTAAATACAATATATTAGCCATAACGATTAAGCAGCAGGAAATTATAGCCACAACTATCAAAATAAAAATTATTAGCCATAACTATTGTAGTAGGTCAAGATTTGGCTAACAACCCGTTACTGTTTTCAAAATTTTAAGGGAGAATGCCATGTCATCATCTTAAAAAATATGATATGATGACTGCCACGTGGGAGCTAGCTCAGCATCATAAAAGTTTAGTCATCATTACTAACAGAAGTGTTAACGAAGACTTAACGGTTGGCTAATAATTTGTATTTCGATAATTGTGGCTATAATTCCCCTTGCTTAATAGTTATGGTAATTATTGTATTTACCCATTTTTATTTATCATCTCAACTAATGTGTTACTAATCAAGAGCATATATTAACATTATATGCAAGATATTCTCGAGTTGAGACTCATTCCATCTTTTCATGCATTCCTCTCCCGTTAATACGACAGACAAACGAACATGAATGACCATTTTTATTCCACTCACAAGTCATACGACAATGGAAGGAAAACAGTCTCTGCCTCTTTGTTGCTATTTTTAATCTAATTGAAAATTTGTCCCCTTGTGAAATACATTTTTCCCAAGGACTTCGTCTTTGTTCCTTTTTTTTTCCTACTTCTTTTGGATGCCATGCTGAAGAGAATTACGAATGGATTTATTGGAATTTACTTGTATTTGCTTCTGCCTAGACACCCTAGGTGTTCATGCATGTAGAGCTGCTAATGAACCAAGTTGTTCGTGAAAAGCATTTGATTCGAGAAATATTTATTTGTTATTTACAGTTTTTTGGTCAAATGAATTCGTTTGTGAATCAACTTGTTTAATGAAAAGTATATTTGAGTTGTATTTTGTTCAAATTGATTGTCTCAGTTGTGTTACTCGTTCGCTAATGAATTGAGTTTGTGTTTATAGTGATGTTTGAAACTATCAAATACATTTTAGTTGAATGGGATTATCTCAGTATCTCATAGATGGCTGAATTGAGATCACTGTTTGTGTGCTCCTTGTATATACTTTTCATTGTGGTATTATGTCTATTTAGAAGATTGTTATAGTTAGCCTCCAAATTTTCGAGAATGAAGTTGACCTACAATCGAACTATTAAGTTCGGTTTTAAATTGTTAAATTCACTTTGACAAATCGAGTCAAACTCAATCCACGATTTGTACAAATGAGGAGGAATTTTCAGTTGAGTTTCTATAATTTTTAGATACCAAATTCCTCGAAGCAAACGAGGCCTAAAACTCGTGTCAGGCCCAAGAGATTTCATATATACTATATTTTAAGTTTTAACCAATCTCAAGCTCAGAATTAGTAAAGTTCAGATGAATATGGACACATGGGAATATCGCCCATCTGTTGAGTCAGGCCCAAATCCATATCAGTTGAGCTTACTCAACGGGCTGAATCAATCTTTTCGAGTCATTGGTGGGTCAGAAATCCAAATCCTCAAAGAGCCCACAAGGCCACAACCAATTCAACAAAGAACAAGAAAGTTGATTAAACTCATTACACAGTGAAAATGAAAACCCCCCTACATCTAAATCACGACCATAATCATCTACAAACATAATGCAGAAACCATCCCTCCCTACCACAATTTTCCTTCTTTTTACAGTTGATGAACTCGGATGCAATCATGTCAGCCCCATGAAACCACCATTCCCCTCCATCTCTACGAGATAGAGTGTCTCCTGCGCCTTGAAGATGAGCCAGACGACTTGATCTCTCCAACAGCGATGGAACTCGGGCTCTCTGAACTCCCTGAAGTCACTGAGCTCTTGCTCTCCACATTCCCTCCCCACAACTTATCAAATATCCTCCTCGATCGAGAAGGCAGCAGCTGCAGTCCACTCTTGCTGTTCTTGCTCGCGTTCTTCTTCATCACATGACTCCCATTCCTCTGCTTCTCACCCCCATCTGCGGTAGTAACCTTCACTTTCAAGCTCGTCTGCTTCTCAAGGCCCTTGCAACCTTCCTCGTTGGTGTTCGAAGTGTAATTAGAGTTGTCGTTATTGAGGGTGCTTCGAGCATTCGCTGCTGCTGCTACTGCCGCTGCTGCTCTCACTTGCTCGAAGAAGAGAACTTGGACCACAAGTCGGAGAGGGAGACGTTCGTTCTGTGCTGCGTGCATGGAAGCATCCGGTGTGAGCTTCTTCACATCCATTACCCCACATAACTTCTTCCTCTCATCCTTGCTCAAACCTGGATGCTCCTGAAAGAACACTTAAGAAAAAGAACTCAGTAGCTACCTTTACAAATTCGTTAGCTTGGCAAGCAAGAAAACTCAAAATAAGAGGATTAGCTAAGCTACATACCTTCAAGTAGATGTCAATGGCCTTGTATACCCCATCGTGGATAGGCCTAGCAGGCTCGGGAATAGAACGAGACAGTTCTACGAAGCTGTCGAGGTCCACATTGACATCATGAGCAATCTCTGCCAGATATCCATCGATCAATTGACCAACGTACAGTAATGATCTGTGCCCAGGAGGGAACAAAAAGCTCTCTACTTCCCCACCATTCTTCTGGATGCTCAACTCTTGACAGCAATGCTTCTCGTTCATTGTCAGGAAATGATTAACAATACTTTGCACCAACTCAACGTCATAACGCGTAGTCTTAGGGGATTGTGCAGGGATCAACAAATCCTTAACGGAAACCTCGTGCAACTTTCCACCAACCCTTTCAACCAGATCTTCCCTCAGGGTATCATCAACTCCAGCAAAGATTGCAACTTTCAACAGTTTCAGTAAGAAGCTACAGGAACAGCCTGAAGTCTTATTATCAGGTAGAAGATGAATCAGGGTTTGTACAAGATACTTATGCCACGAGTTACTTGCTTCGCAAGCCAAATCATTTAAGGACTCAGGTAACCATCTGACAGCATAACACTTCAGTGCCTCCCCCATCACGAAGCCGTCTATTCTTCCTTTCGATTTCACGGCAAGAATAACTCTCTTGTACATATCGATTTCCAGTTCACAGATATCTTCCACCCACCAATCCTTCGGAACAACAGCTTGATTCCTCTCTGCTACTATCTCATTATTGGCAACATTCGACTTCCTATTATATGTGTAGGACCAAGTAACGCTGGCAGGGTCCACGGAGGTCCTGGAAGCAATGGAATCAATGCACCTTCCAACAATCTTCAAATCTTCGGACCATGGCAGCAGAGACTTGGTCGTCTGAAGAACGATGATCGAATCTTTCCAGCTACGGAAGATACTAGAGTTGAGAAACACCTCAACCTTGAACACTAGGTTGCCTCGATCAACATCCTCGGTCATCTCAAGGTACTCCGCTGCACATCGAGCTGCAACAACGTTGTAAGCATTGAGAGTAACAGTCATGCCATAGCAGAATTTGGCACATATCTCAAATGCTTTGTATCCACCAGGGAATTCATCTATGTTTATCTCATCCGAGTTCTCCTCAGTTGCTT